TCCAAGCAAATTATGTTTTCTCCGTCTCCGAGTTTAGTCAGCAAACACGAATATAAAGCGATTAATTCGACAGCACGATCAGCCTATTTTCATATAATTATGGTCCGTTTATGCTACCTCTGATCTATGTATACCAAGCACAGTGGCTGTATCGCCGTGTGCGGTTTGAGACAACACACACATACATGTTTGCTGAAATGAATATTAGACGATGAGATCAAAGGGATAGAATATAGTGCCGATGCGCGCGAGGACTTGTAATTGTTTACAGTAAACAACTAAAGGTGATACAAGGTCCTACTAGTTATTAATTCATTCTTTATAATTATTCCAGCCCACGTGAGCGTGTTTATTCTCAAACGTTCGTTAGCTCCTTCAACTTATTTGACGAGATAGTAAATATTTTTCATCATCTTGCGTCTCGAAATAGAACACACATTTTTCTAGTTTTCTTTTGGGAAATTACACATGAACTGACAATAATGAGACGGCTACGACAGTGTAATGATAAACGGAAACTTCTTGACGCGATGTTGTTATTAATACCCGTCTTTTTAATACACGATGTAATCGAGTTAAAGACACCTATTCAGTCTGTAATCAACATCGATATGACTAGCCTCATTTACATCACAACGCCGTCGACTCTTAGTCAAAAAACTTAAAAGCGCCGGAACCAACATTCTCGCTGTCTGATTAATTTCTGGCAGCGATTTATTTTCCCAATTACTCCAGTTTTCAGCCGATATTTTCTCAACAAATTAGAACCCAATGGAATTGAATAAGGATCAAAACCAATTTCGCGGCAAGCGAGAAATTTAATTATCAAACGGATCTGGAATATCAAACGTATACATCAATTCCAAAATCTGTTTAAATCAAGAATATATTGTTGAAGCTAATTGACTCTTACATTTTCTTTTTCCATGATTTAATTTACCCCATTTGTTTGCTTATTAAATCCGTTGTTTTTGGAAAATGTGGTTGAATATGAGAAATAAACAGATTATACACGGTTTTAAAAACTTATTATTTATTAATATTTTTAATAGACTAATTCGTATTCATTTCCTTATAAACTTATAAACTAATCCTATCAATTTCCCTGTTCATTTTCTAAACTTGGCATGACGCATTAATATATCTCTAGGTACCTTTGTTGATGTTCTTAGTGTTTCACGTCCGCTTCCACCGAAGGTAATATCGCAGATAAGTTCTCTCTTTTTTTTATCTTAGCGCACGCGCAGGGGTCTTTCCTGTGAGAGGAAACCGGAGTACCCGGAGTAAACCCAGGAGATTGAGAAGGCGCCCCTGTCTCCAAGCCACCCACATACGCTCACATCAGGGATCGAAACCACAACCGCAAGCCAGAGGTGACCGGCCAGCTAGAGGTCGAAACGTGACACTCTAGACCACTAGGCCATCCCAACTATCGAAGCTATTTTATAGTCAAATACATCTAGAGCAATGACAGGAACGAGGCAAGGATCCGCTAATAGTGTGTTTAAACTAACCTTTGGGTTAGGGCTCGTAAATGAAAATATCTTACAAATAGCATATTAAGAACAATTAAAGCTTCAACTGGAATAAGAAGGCGGTTATTAAGGTGGACTCGGGCACTCTCAGAAAATTATTCCATTTGTAAACGTAAGCATAATAAAGTTAAATATTGGGAAACTTGCACAACTCTTTCGAAATAAAAAGAATATATCTTCTTATTTGAAAACTGTTCAATCTTCCAGTGTTTTTCTCGGTTATTCACTAATGGGGGGGGGGGGGGGAGATCGACACAGTTCATAGAAGTGTTATTTATTTCATTAAGAAAATTAATGTAATTAATATCATATTTAAATTAAACATACATTATGCAAGAGCTAAATCTGCCTATTGAAGGTCTTTCTATTATTAGGCCTGAAATGTTTTCTAAATTATTAATTAGACATTAATTAACTGATCCAGGCCATAATCAACTCTCGATGGCATCTGATTTCTCCGATATTAAATAGATTAGAACGGTTCAACCATAGTTTGATTTAATTTAAAAATGGAGGAGCGAGACTTAGCTTCGAACAACCAGTATGGCTAATATCTTCGCTCGCAATAGAGTAATTTGAATGAAATTTTCAAATTTTTCATTTTACATTATCTATTTTCAAACTATTATAGCAAAAATGGCTAGCTATTTATCTAAATCTTCCATAATGTATCTTTAACCTAACTATCGAAAATCAAAGCGCTGATCCACTTAAAGCACAATTTTGGTGTCAGCCATGTTACATAATATTATGTGATAGAACTGGTTAAACACTTTCCAAATATAATTTTAACACAGAAATCATTGCTACGGTAGAAATGTAACGACGATTTAAAGAAAAGTTGTTATATATGAGACTGCGAGAGGATATCTGACAATTCATAAACAAGAATTGACTGTCACTAGATAAGAGAAAGCGAGAAAAATAGAAAAAGTCCGTGTATTTCCTTCTTTTTATTCATTCTCTAACATACAACTTTTCGCCTTCTAAGAAATTATCAGTGGGCTGAAAATCGACCGTGCATCTTTTATCGCTCCTAATATACTTCAGTCAGTTATATATAAGGATAACGCATGTTTTCCACTTTTTTGCGTCACTTCCCGTTTCATCTACCGTAGCAATGATTTCTGTATTAAAATTATATTTGGAATGTGTTTAACCAGTTCTATCGCATATTTAATAATGGCCGACCAGAACATTGTCCTTTAAGAGTCGTATTTATTTTTTATTGTGTTTGTTTATCTTAGCAAGAATATATGCATTATTTTTTTATATCCTACTAGAAGAATGCCCGGCTTCGCTCGGGGGTCATAAGCCCGAAACCGGAAGTGGTAGAGTAACGCCACCTGGCCTATGTTACTCCCCGGTCCGAGCTACCCCTATGCCCCAAATTTCAGACTCGGGACAGACCTAGTGTAGCCGCCAACCCCGAACAGACAAACAGACAGACAAACAGACAGACTAACGACAGTCACAAATATTAGTATAGATATACAATATTATTTGAATAATACCCAATTCCACGATATAGTCAAATTTACAGATACTATACGAATCTGTGTTTTAAAAACTGTCTTAAAATAATAATGCATTTCGCCTGTTATGTCTCTGCCCTGGCCAAACTATTCGTATATCTCCAAGTATTTTAAGTATATAAAATAGCATTCCCGTGTTAGTAATGAAATGAACGATGGGCTAACGAAATAATGCATTCGCTTATTTCTCATTATTGGTCATGTAGTTTCTAACATCAAGTTGATCCGCCTTCTGTTGTAAAATGTAAGATTTAGGATTAATTATACAGACGAATGGGAGGCAACTCCATTAAAGTCAGAAAATTAATCGTGGTATCACATGTACAGCTTGAAATAATATGATTGTTAGCACGCATTGAGAATGTGAAATGAAATGAAATGGGGTTTAACGTCCTAATGTTCTGCTCCTAAACTGGGCTAATGGTTTGTGTCGAGTGGATGTAAAGCCCCATTTCTTTATATATATTAATTAATTTAATTTAAATGCAATGAGATCTGGTTTAACGCCCTACTGTTATGCTCCGACTGGGCTAATGAAGACGGGCATACGCCATACAGTGTGTTATGAGGGAAATTTTGCCCGGGTAGCGGCACTACGGCCTACTCCTATATCGAATTCCAACTGCCAAGGGATCTTTTACGTGCAAGCCAATATGTACACGGGGCCTCGGTTTTTCGTCCCATCCGAACGACTAGACAGCTGTCCTTGTCAGGCCCTCCGCCCTGCATCACTGACAAGGGGGAAACCACGCCGGAAAATCTGGATGAACTTTCTCGACCAATGCAGGGATCGAACACCCGACCTCCAGGCTAGTGAGCCAGCGTCTTACCCACTTAGCCACGTGATCCCCCCATTGAGAATGTTACAAAACCGCTCCGTATACGCTCTCTAGGCCATTACCGGCATCAGTTTCAGAGCATGCACATGAAATTCTAGCCCGGTGCGCACCCAATATGCCACACGTGGGCCTATGATCCACAAACATATTGTTTTACAGTACATGTACTTAATTAACATAAACTGATTTAACAAACACACGATAAACATAAACAAACAAAAAAATCTAATTTAAAAAGGCCAAAACAAGCAATCGTTTCATGATGTAGATTAACTAAATTTTGAAAAAATAATTATAAAAGTACCGGTAGAACAAAAACCTGTGAACCTCCAAAACAAAATGTGGTATCAAGGGCTCTAAAATGCTACCCATGTACGACACGTACGCAACTACAATTACAAAGTGAATTGGAGCAATGGTTTAGACTTGGATTTCAGAAGTTTGCGCTACTGGATATTCGTAGCCTGACCGCAGGCACAAGCTCAGTGGAATAAATACAAACGTACATCAAAATGTGTTGGCTATGGTGTACTTCATTAAAATTTGTAATAAAGTGTTCTCGAAAAAGTGCGCAATCTCGGTCTCGTTAATGCCAGGTTCCCACTGTCCTGGATTGTCCCTGTTCGGATACGTTTCGATACGGTCAGACACGGTTGCTACGACTGACCTCAATATGTGATAAGACCTAATATGATCACCACGATTACTCCACGATTTAAACCACGATTTCAATCCTAGCACGAATCGTGATAGTGGGAACATAGCATAACGTAATGAAATGAAATAATTGGAGGGGCATACGCCATAAGTTATAGTGTGTAATGAGGGTAATTTTGCCCGGACGGCCGCGCTGCAGCCTACTCAAAAGTGTTATAGAAAGGCAGAGTAAGGCTGCACGTTCTGCCCTTGTGCGCAAGACCGGGTTATGGGATATTGAGTGGATTCTGAATTATTTTCTTTTTCAGCTATAGTTTATCATGTCAACTACTGATTGAACTATAAGTTTTCAATGCGCAGAAAAGAAATACTCCCAATTAACTGCCAATTGGAATACGATGTGGTCTTAAACCTATTTGTACGGCTAGAGTTATCTGCACGTAAAATGGCGTATGCGCATGTCTAAATTCTCAAAACAAAATCTTTAGAAATTTTTATTTTCTACATTTTTGGCAAAATTACAGTTAAAATGGGAAGTTGAAATTTAAAGGCATGGTTATGTAAGGTGAGACCGTCTTAATCGACAATAGCCATCGTGTAAAATATCGTAAACTATGGAGTTTTGTAGTGTTTTAGTTCATAGTTTACCTTAGTTTCCAGTGACCTGGTGTAGATTGATTGATTATGTACGGTATTCGGATTGATAAAACTTCACCCGGGCAAAGAATTTTGCAAACACAAACAGACGTTTAGAATGATTTCATTGACACAGTAGACATCTTTGATTTAGTTACCATACTTTCTTTATGTATGACCCATTTTTGCAGAGTAAAAACTGGCTTGATATTCTTTTATTTACATTTATTTCAAATAGAATTCTTGTTTGAACTTGTTTTGACAGTTTATTTGGTATGGAATACCAGTCCCACATGACTCATTTCAACCCTTCTACTAGTTCTACATCCTCGTTTGCCTTAAATATGAATTCTCTGATGATAAATTCTTATATGTAATAACTGCATGGGTTATGTAATGTAAGCTTATTATTACACAAATGCATCAACCACATAAATAAATATAGGTTACAAATTGCAATTTCATTTAGGCCTATATAATATCTAACCTCAGAAACTACCAGTATATATTACAGTCCTTTTATACCTTTTCCTCAGTCTACCATTAAGCCTTGATGCCTTGTTGACAACATTAATTCGTGAAATGGTTTGCTCCTGATGCTCCATTTGCTTTTTCCTTTGTAATCTTTGTGGCAAAAACTGTAAGCTTATTGTGTATCATCTTTTGAGTTAGACCTTACATTACGAAATGCCTTTCTGTTTGGGCCTATCTGTGTATTGAGAAAAAGAATGTGGATAATGTTATAAGTTTACAGGAGAAAATGAACCTTAGGTAGGTCATTTACAGACTTAATTCAATCTGTATTTTCAAATCGATAAGATAATATTTATTTTCTCTAGGTGACATATGGTAGATATTTCATAAGAAAATATAAACAAGAAAGACAGATCAAGTTGTGATGATGGCAGATCATGATATGATTCCCGTTCGTGATCTGAACAGAGATCCAGGTAACTTCTATAATTTATTCACTTTGGCCAACAGGTTACATTTGATATATATTAATTACAATATTTATTGTCGATTTGTAGAGTCAACTTATAACTTCTAAAAAGATTCAAAAATAGCTTTAACATTTTCCATTAATTAAATCTACAAAAGTAAAGGAAAGGAAAAAAGCTTAATGGTTTGAAATCTTTAGTGCTACAGATATTTCTGAGTTGGCTACTTACTCATAACAAAACTAGATGAGGCAGGTCTAGAGTATTGGTTTTATAGCTAATGACAGTCTGTTTATTCATTCATTCTTGCCTCTATATTTCATTTGTAGTGCACTTTGACAAGTTATGTATCCCAAGCATTTTCATTTAAAAAATGTTTGTGTAACACTTTTGGAAGATAATATAATTTACAATTTTTTTCTGTGAAATGTACTAAATTTACATTACCATTAAAAAAATACCTAAAGATGTGTTCATTTTACAAAATGATTTTTTTTTTTTAAGCTGGTCAGATGCGTCGAATGGTTAATAAATGGCAGCGTGATGAATTAGAAGATAAATATTTACGTAACTACGAGGAAAATATCATCCTGAAAAAACATGCCAGAAAACAAGAAGAAAAGATTAAAAAGTTAGTCCTAAAATGACGTAGTTTGTGTTGAGTGGATGTTAAACCCCATTTCTTTCTCTAATTTAGTCATGGGTTTGCATATATTTTATGCCCCCGTCAGACCGCAGAGCCTTGGTGTTTGTTTTGAACATGCTTAAAACAAACGCTGTGACTAGGCAAACATTCACGACCATGGAGACCACAGCACGATATCTGGTGTTTCAACCACGCTTCTACCGCGCTTATGGCGATCTTGACACACTCTGCGGCCAATTTCTGTCGCAGTAAAGACGCCACGCCAGTTTGACGGTGGTATTACATTTTTTTGTTATTTTACTGTATTGTGCCCATTACATTTGTAAAATATTTAGGTTACCATTATATTTTTGTAGGATGGCAACTAAACTGTTGAGACTTGTTAATGATAGAAAGAAGTTGGGCGGAGATGCTAGTAAGTACCAACATGATGTACCTTATTTAAGGATTTAGCACAATTGCTTCTCAGCCATTTACTGTTTTGGCATTTAACTAAGATTCTGTTGTCTTGCTTCCATAAATACACATATCAAGTGATCTATTTTAATTGTGCTTTATGCTCTATAGTACATTATAACTCACTGTAATTTTATCTTCAATTATTTATCAGGTAAATTAATTGGTGATGATAAAATTATGAATGACGATGTTATTGATAAGATGAAAGAATTAGAGAAACAGAATCACCTATTAAAAGACAAGGTTTGTTTTATTTTCATTTTTAGGATTAAAGCCTGCTTCATGTACAAGTATTTTTTTAACTTTTGGATCCAGATTTTGATTGCTGACAAAACTAAAAGAATTAATATGAAATTGATAGTCCATCATAAGATATATAAACTAAGTTGATTTAAATTCTTAAAAATTCTCGAATTTTTTCTAGTTTGTGTTAATAAAATGAGAAATATTTTTTGGTTTGTTTCAAGGTGAGGGTGGTGGCCGAATGGTTAATGTCTGCACGTTGGATCAGTCATTGAGTCAAGTTTTATGGTTTCGATTCCCCGGTTGTACGTGACAAGGAGTAGGGTCACCTGTCCGACCTGGTCGGTTTTCTCCGGGTCCATCAGTTTTCTCCCACTGCTAAAGACCCCTACTCGCAAGCGAATTATTGAAATAAAATTGAAACATATGTTAGTCCTGAAATGACCTAGTTTGTGTCGACTGGACGTTAAACCCCATTTCTCTCTCTCTCTCTCTTGTTTCAATGTATATTCTATTACAATTTGACCTATTGTGTATTTTCAGTTGATAGTAGCTAAACAACAGATTGCTACATTAAATCAAAGAGTTACTGGATATGAATATGTACAGGCTAGAATTGATACTGTAAGTATTTGTTATTTTTGATAGTATATTATGAAATAGTGTCAGACTTAAGCGCTTGACATGCCTGTACACTGTATATTTCTGCAATTGAATTTAGTAAGATTTTACACTTTGTATTTTTAGGGAATACCTCACAGACCAAGCAGTCCAACAACAAATATAAAAATATCTCGGAACATTAGAGTAGCAGGTCCTTCCCAAAGCCTTACACAGAAAAGGTATATAATCTTCAAAACATTTTTCCCCAAATGACTTTTATGTCTAAACTGAAGTAAAGGCACGTTGGCAAGTACTACATAACCTGCAATTCATTTTGTTGCAATAAGTGTGAATTTCTCATATTCTTTAAGAAAATAGACATTGTCTTTGATCAAACCCTCCAGAGCAAATGAAGAGCTTAGGGGAAGAACGATCTAAGTCACATTTTTGTCTTTTCACAAAACAGAGAATATTTGATGTGAACAAAACAACGAGTGGGTTTAATTACATCTTCAAAATGATGTTTAATACGAACCATACCAGTACAACTAACTTCAACTTTTCAGGCAAATTAAATTTTTTTAAATAAAGGGTACGATGGTCTTGTATCTGTCCAGGAGGCCATTTCAGAAGGGCCTTTGTTCGATGTGATGTGACTCCGATTGTTTTTACCTGAAATAGATTGTTCCACAGAAAGCCCATACAATTTGCTACCAGATGGTGCCATTTACTGGCCTTCGTTGAAATGTGACTTAGGTCGTTCTTCCCCGGGGCTCTTAAAATGTTTTCCCTATGAATTATTATTTCCATTTAGAGTCACAAAGAAATCTTGCATTTCTGATTGTGCTAACATGATTTTAACCTTTTGTTTAGAGCTTTTGATGGACATAAATACAACAAAATTCCATTTTTTCAGAAGATCTCATAGTCCCACCATGCATTATCAACAAACTAGTTTTGAAGACATTCAAATGAAAAAAAGAATGTAAGTAGGTTTAAGGTGATACATATGTCCATTATAAAAACACAGAGAGTAGACATAAAAGTTAGTTGAACTGTAATTATAATTTTACAAACAATGAGATGTTTGTATATTGTATATATTAATGAAGGGAGGTTGGGTGGGTGTCCAATTGGTCTAATGTGTGCACTTTAGATCATAAGGTCTGTCATTGAGTCAAGTTGCATGGTTCAATCTCATACATGTTCGTGACAATAAATAGAGTTGTCTGCCTAACCTTGTGGGTTTTCCCAGCATGCAAATTATTGAAACAAAATTGAACCATATATTAGTCCCGAAAAGACTTGGTTTGTGTCGAGTGGATGTAAAGCCCCATTTCTTTATATATATTAATTAATTTAATTTAAATGAAATGAGATGGGGTTTAACGCCCTACTGTTATGCTCCGACTGGGCTAATGAAGACGGGCATACGCCATACAGTGTGCTATTAGGGAAAGTTTGAACGGGCAGCAGCACTTTGGCCTACTCTAAAATATCAAATTCCAACTACCAAGAGATCTTTTACGTGCATGCCAATGCATATACAAGACCTTAGTTTTTGGTCCCATCCAAATGACTAGACAGCCGCCTCTTCAGGCCCTCTCTCTTGCTCCACTGACAAAGGGAAACCATGTCATGAAATCCTGATGAACTTTCTTGGCCAATTCAGTGAGCGAAAACGTGACCTCCAGGCTAGCAAACCAGCGTTTTACCGTTGGTCCGAATTCAATTTAGCCTAGACAAATATTTGGTTATGACTAGTAATACGAATTTTGCTGTTTAAAATTAAATATTTGAATATTTTGTTACTTTAAGCTTGTATATTATATATTTTAGGGAACAAGAAGTGGGTAATCAAAGAGAACAGATTGACATTTATAAAAGAGAGATACAGAATCTTCATGAACAGGTATGTTGGAACTCTACACAATTTTTGATTTGTGTTTAATATCTGCTCCTATCAATCAGCATTCCTTATTTCATATATATATCTGGTGTATTTGAACTTATTCTCTTGATGGATTAACCCAGAGAGTAGGAGATGTTATTTCCCATAAAAATTTAGGAATCATTGAGCATTTGGGTTCACTCTAAGATAAATCACTAAATACTCTATGAAATTGCGATGGTTCGATGATTTGTTGTATATTTTCTTTGCTACCGTGAGGTTTGCTTGAAATAAGTCAGATATCGTCCATTTATTGATTGAAAACAAACACTATATACCATAAAATTCTGGAGGCTCAGTGTAGGGGGGGGGGGTAAATTTCACCTTTTGACCGCTAGGGTCACTAAGACTAAAGGTGAATTTAGCAAGTTTACATTTTTATTGAAAGTGTGATTACTTTCGATCATTTTCAGCTTCTTTTCGTAATACAAGAATGACTGCGCATTCACTTTCAGTGCATATGAACTCATTTGACCTTTGACCTCGAATATCTCAAAAAAAAAACAAAGGCAGACTGATTACCACTCGGCATTGTATTCTGGTTTTGTGCCCATTTGATGGACACCCCCCCTCGCGCTGAGCCTCAGGTCTATAAGCATTTATTGGTCACAGCTTTATTACATTCCTTTTATTACATTCCTTATCTTGTTGAAAGTGTTAATGTCTCTTTAAATGAAGATTATGACAACTATATTCAGATAGTTATGTCATTAAATCACTTCAGATGGGAATTTCGATGGCTAAGTGAGAAAGACACTGACTCACTAACCAGGAGTTCTTGGGTTCACTCCTGGATTTGGCCGAGAAAGTTGCTCAGGATTTTCCAACGTGGTCCCCCCTTTGTCAGTGATACTGTTTTGGACGGAGGGCCTGGCAAAGATAGTGTCTAGTCGTTCAGATAGGACAAAAAACTGAGGGTCTGTGCACGTAAAAGAACCCTTGACAGTTGGAATTCGAAAAAAGAGTAGGCTGTAGTGCCAATGTCCAGGCAGAATTCCTTCATAGGTCATTGAGCCACTGTTCGGGCAAAATTTCCCTCATAGCACACTGTATCTTGTGTGCCTGTCTTCATTAGCCCAGTCAGTGCAGAAAATTAGGATGTTAAGCCCCATTTCATTTCATTCTTCAGATAAGAAAAAGAGAGAGTGAATTTCAACAAGATATGTCTAAAGTACAACATCAGATGACAGCTGATCACAAGTAAGTGTATTAAAATATATATGGTGATTTACATTCATAGAAACTAACAAAATAATGAAGTGAATGTGTTACAATTTAAAAGGCAATTAATATTATTATTATTGATTGATTAATTATTATTATTATTGATTGATAAAAATGGTGGAGTTAAGTGGCTGATTAGTGTAACACTTATGATCAGTAGATCATGGATCAACTCTCAGGAGAGGATCACATTCATAGAAAGCTTTTTCACTGACAAAAACAAAACACAAAGAAATGCTTCTTTTAGAATTATGTCAATTTTACTTATGTCTGTCAATGTTTCTGTCGATGAGGCCAAACTAGTTTAAATTTTAGGTCTTCGGGTATTGGTCAATAAATAAACCACTCAATTCTTGTGTCCAATATTTAAAACTTAAATATTTGGAACAAAAAGCTTTTGAAAAGAGCAACTAAGAACTTTGTTTTCATGTGGTGTAGGGCCTACAATAATTAATAGAATACAATATCAAAAAGCCATTGTTTCATTAGTAAAAATGCTAACTTCTTCAGGGATAGAACTAAAATACAAAATGACTGGAAGTCAATTATGACATCATAGTAAGTTATGACATCATAGTAATGATGATATCATGGACTTAGATACATATCATGAAATGTTAGCTTATAATGATAATAAAGGTAATATTTTACAAGTAAGGAAAATTATGCATGATTATGAATGATTTTGAAAACCCCTGGATTTAATTCATTTAAACCATTAGTCCAAACTGATGGTTTTTTGATATTGTATTCTATTAATTGTTGTATATAAATTATTTGAATATCAAATGCATCATTTTACTTTGTCAAAATTGAACCCATCAAACCGTCTATAATTGGTTTGTGTTGATTGAATGTTTCTCACATTTTCATGTGGATGTGGATGTGTCCGCCCTGGTTTGTGGACACTCTACAGGCCACAATTTTATCTGAATTTGACAAAACTTGAAATATAGGTTTATCTTCCAAATATCTCAGTTTTTTTCAAATTTCTTATGTATCAGACCGTAATTCCGTGGATTATGGACCCAGATTGTATGAAAAATCAAGTATTTAGCTTGTGGACATAGATCTCGGTTCCTTTCGTTATTCCTGGATTATGGCCCCCTGATTGTTCGAAAAACTGTGTTATTAGCCTGTGCTCCCTCTAGAGGTCGAATATATCACTGTTACACCATAACTTCCTGGACTATGGTTGCTGATTGTACAAAAAATCGCATTTTTATTTTTATTTTAACATGTTCTCTGTCCATCTCTTGCCAAATGTGGGTATAACTGGCATGGCAATTGGTTAAAATAGTTTTTTCCCTGATGAAATCAGAGGCAGAATTTTTGATAGGTGTTCCTGAAGAACAGAAATTCAAATTAGTGTGGCTTAATCTACAGATGATCATACACAAAACATGGGACATGTAGAATGTGGCTGTACTGTATGTTAGTCCCAAAATTACATAGTTTATACTGAGTGCACTTTTCTGCTGAGTTGGAGTGATGCACAATCCAATATAAGCCTTCTTGATTTGTTCAACTCAACTTATTTCATCTAAGAGTGTTTCATACTTTCACCACGGTGGCCCAGTAATGAAATTTTCAAATGTTATATGTTAATGAATATTTCAGGGTTAATCTAAAAGAAAATGTTGATTTAATTAAACTACAGCGAGAAATCTCAAGCAAGTCTTCTAAAATAATGGATTTAGAATCCAAATATGCAAGAATGGAAGAAGTGAGTTACAAATAAAATTGTGGGTTTTCACCATACTCCCCTGTTTCCTCACACTGTGAAATACCCCTACGAACAAGCAAATCATTGAAATAAAATTAAATCATATATATGTTAGTTCCAGAATGTGGATGTTAAACCCCATTTCTCTCTTGTATTCAGTTAACTCCTTAAATAACTTTGTTTGATAGATCTTACATGTGGTTAATTTCTTTTTAATTTTTTCACAAAAATATCCATATTGTAAAATCTGAGGAATACTGCAAGGTGTTGATTAAATTTAACCAAGATATATTTGTGTTATAGAATGTGCATATAGGGAAATTTAACCAAGATATAGAATATGCATATAACCAAGATATATATCTGTTTTATAGAAAAATTAAAATAAAATTGTTAATTTTAACCAAGCTACATATTTGTGTTATACATTTGGTGAAATTTAACCAAGATATAATTGTGTTTAGCCAAGAAAAAAATATCTGTGTTTATGGTTATTTGGCCTAAAAAAAAAGGGTGGGGGGGGCGGCTGTTTATATTATCCATAGGCGTTTTTGTGAACCGATTAGATTGGACCGATTAGCTATTATACGCATTTGTGAAGCAAGTTGATTATGCTAATCGTTACATTTGTGAGACGATTTAACTCAACTGATTAGGCAAATCGACCTAATCGTCCCAGGAGGTGTTTAGGCGATTAGATTTGACGTTTTCAAATGGCGGAATGTTCGACATCGCAAGTAATTTTTAATGCTTATTGTTGTTTTTCTCCATAAAAAATGTTTTTTTAAAACGCATTTGATGTGTTTAAAGTAGCTAAGTCTCTAACTCAATATCATCCAAAATCTTCAACATTGAAAACACGATTTATTTGTCAAATTATATCAACATTCATGTTGTAATCTTAACGGGAAAAGATGGGCTTTTGATATCCAATATTTAAGACAAAATAAACATTTTACCATTGGTACACGAATCGTGTACCATAATGCGCTTCAGCCCTAGTTGTATCAAGAGACTCGAGGGACGAGGCTAGACACATTGCACCAAATCAAACGGCGTATGTAAACTGGAATAACCAGACGTGACGCTAGAAATTTGCACTCGCTTGAGACTGCTGGCTTATTTCGCCGAACATAACGGATTTGAAATTGGAGTAAAAACGGAAACCATTGAATGTAAATCAGTTTATATACATTCATATTACAGTATTATATCCATTGCGACCCACTTTTGTCAATTTCTAGGTCCCAAATGTTAGCGATTAAGCTCCTTTAATGTTAACTGTATAGTCCACAAGAATGTTATATTACCTCTGGCTCTAAGCAATTTTAGGCCCTCTGGGTGCCAGCAGTGTCACTGTAATCTGTAGGTAACTTGGACTACACGTGAAACACACGCCCCCCTCGTCATGTTAGCAGAGACAATTTTTTTTCTGATCGGTGTCCCTGATGGCAGCCATCTTACCAAATCGTAATTATCAAATTTCACATTTGTGGACCATAGCTAATCAAATCGAAATCATACCAAATCGTACTAGCAAATCAAAACCTAATCAAATCGACTCACAAAAACGCCTCATGACTTTTAGCTAAATTACTCAGAAAAGTCCTTGAAAATAATACCGAAATGTCAGGAAAAAAAAGTTTGGAATCGGCGATTTCGGCTTTAAAAAAATGTCAGTCGGGTATTTGTAAACACAGATATTATGTATTTCACATATTGTGAAATTTAACCAAGATATATATTTATGTTATAGAATATGCATATTGTGAAATCTAACCGAGATGAGATGTTAATGGAAATGGAAAGATTAAACTATAATTTAAAAGAAGAACAGAATAAAGTGCTCACTCTTCAAAATGAAATTAGAAATTTTAGTGCTAAAGAGAGAAAATTATATGAAGTAAGTAGACATTTTTTTTTTTTTCACATTATTTCAATTTGTCTCATTTTGAAAGTTTATTGGTGATTATTTGTAGGTTTAAGAATGTGGGCACACTGTATGTATCTTCGTAATATTTATTAAAATATTAATCATAACATTTATTCTAGATTGAAGAAAAAGCAAATGCTTTAGAAAGGGACAATGACATTTTAAAAGAAGCCAATGAAAAACTTGTTTCAAGGTAAGAAAAACTGAGAATAATGTTTGTTATGGGTTCAAAAAGACCCCATGCTAAAAAAAAATTAAAAAAATAAGTAATGATTTGTAAACATTTTTAGGTTCACTTCACCAAATCACGTAAAAGTTTAGATAAAGTTTGCTGTATTTTTCAGTGCATTTGATTTAGAAAGAGAAAGAGAATGGAGACAGAGAGAGAATCAACTAAAAGTACAGATAGCTCAATTAGAGGCTACTATGAAAGCTGATCTGGGTGAAAAGGGCAGTATAATAGATCGTTATAGTAATGAAAGAGGTACGTTTAATGGATAGAATAATGCCTTTGATAATAATTAAATAGCTTTTTAAAAAGTTCAAATCTATTAGATAAGGTTTCTCTGGGATTAGAAAAAATTTTGCAGAGATATTGAATTTTTTTTAAGATATGTAGTAGATTTCAAGTAGTTGAACAGTCAGTCGAAAGATAGCTTTACTCTGACTTAGTGGGCAATTGCTTGGATTTTCCATAATTATTTGTGTATTTATATGATTTTACACAAAATTATTGTCATTTATTTTGTACGGGCGGAAGTAATAATGCCTCTATAAAAATGTAATCAATTGTTATATATATAGGGGTCCATTCGTAAGATAAACATCTTGTTTTATGCATGTGGGAGGTAAAAGTTGGGGCCTTTTTCACTGTTTTTAGAGTACTGATATAGAAAATGTTGTGACTACATGCTACAGGATATTAACCTATATTGATATGTATATTATGTTATAGAGAGTAATGAGAAATTACAGAGTGAATTACGAGAAGTACAGATAAATTATTATCAAATAAAAGAACAGTATGATGATTTACAAGAAAAGATGAAATTCTTTACCAGAGTAAGTATATCTGAAATTATACAAATAAGTTAATAATTAATATGCTTAAAAAAATTACTTAAAAAAGAAATTGAAAAGATTAATATATAGCTTCTGGTTAGTTGACATACCATGTTTTAAAACAGGAATTAATGTAGGTAAGCTAGAATAATTATTTGTTCCTATCAACCATTAATTATAGTAATATTGAAAATTCTTATTAGTTTAGAAAATCTAAGAGTTAAAGCTCTGTTACTAGGGAATTTCTTCTGCAATATATGGTAATAAATAATAAAAGAAAAAAGCCTTTCACCAAGGCTTACAAGGCACTTATAAACAGTACATTTAAATTTGTTTTACAGGAAAGTGGTGTAGATTTCACAGAGATAGAAGAAGCTTTAGTTTTAATTAAACAGAAGAGACAACGGGAAATTAAGAAACCTGAGTTCTTACAGCAAGTTGATGAGGAAAAAGACAAAGGTTAGCTTATATTTCAGCTAATAAATCAATTCAGCTGGTGCATCACCACTCACCAATGGCTGAATCAATGTTCAGCCATCCTGTGAATTCTCGTTTTTATCTTTTATTCTGAGGATTTTTGACCAGGCAAAACCTTTAATCCTTTTCCTCATTAAAATAAATTTGTACATTGACAGATTATAAGAAGGGTTTATTAGAGTTACAAGCAGAGTATGCTGAAACAGTACACGAACTTGAGAAAACACGTAATATGTTGGTGGTACAACATAAGATAAATAAAGACTATCAACTAGAAGTAGATTCATCTAATCAACGAATGGATGAAGTAAAGAAAGAATATGAGATGAAACTAGAAGAATATGCTAGATTGTTAGATATCAGAGCTGCAAGAATCAAGGTCATTTATAACATTCTAGTTTTAATTTGTCTGTTATGACAGTCTGGGCAATAGAACCGTCAAAACTAGGATATTCCAGATTCTGTTTATAGTGTGAGCTTCTGTTCATGTAGCCATGATATAAAATATTATAAAAATATAAAATATAAATATATAAAAATATATAAAATATTATAAATATTAAAATATAAAAATATAAATATATAAATATTATAAAATGTTATAAGAATATAAAATGTTATAAGAATATAAAATATTATAAGAATATAAAATATTAATATTATAAATATATAAAATATTATAAAAATATTATAAAAATATAAAATATTATAAAAATATTATAAAAATATAAAATATTATAAAAATATAGAATAAAAAATATAGAATAAAAAAGTATAAAATATAGTAAAAATATAAAATATTACAAAAATGGTTTTAAAATGATTCATTTGATATGCATTCTAAGAAACACAAACAGCTGAAGTCAGTTACAACAATCATTGCTTTCTATACTAATAATATACAGGATATAAAACCTAATGTCTGATTATGTTTGGGAGAGATTGCAAAGAGTGGGATATTTAATAAATATAATTGTTTTGATCATTCCAGAAATTAGAACATCAAATGAAGGATGTAGCTTATGGTACAAGACAATATAAGATACCAGTTGCTGATTCAGATGTAAGTAATGTTACACAGTTTCAATAACTCATATAATTGAGATATAGCTATCATGGTCATTATTTATTTTGATTATAGGACTATAATCATCAATTATCGTATTATTAAATGTGAATTACCTGATAAATAAAATTATGTCATATTTCAGATGGAATCAACAATGGATCTGGAGGAATCTATATCTCTAGAACGTGGACAGAACCTGTTTGAAATACATATACATAAAGTAAGTAGATATAACAGCATGTAATTTAATTTTATATGAAAAGAATGAAAATAACTTCATCTGAATATATTTATAGTGAATCTGAAGAGTTTATTGCTATAAATAAATAAAGTACATGTGGATTTAATCAATATATAAAGGAAATAGTTATCTTGTCTTGCTATTTATTTTATAGTTAAATCTATCACCTGATGCCTTACGTTTGATAGGAGATGAAGAACCATCCTTATTCTGTACTTGGGAATTCTTTGAATTTGAAATTCAGTCAACACCAGTTGTCAGAGGACCACGGTTAGTATGTGTGTATTCTTATATTAAGGAAACCAGGGATATGTGTTTTTGGAATTGTTATCTTTTTCATAATGAGTGAACATGTGTTTATATGACTTTAACTATTGATTTAACCATATATTAACAAAATTTCTTTTTTTAGACCAGTGTTTGATTTTACATCCCAGTATGTGGTTAAAGTTGATGATTTCTTCCTACATTACCTACAAAAGGTTGGTTGGAAATTATGTTTTAAAGATCTGATAAAGTTTTCATTCATAATAAAAAAAAAGATCAAGTCTATTTCATTTTGAAATACCAGTACCAGTCGACTACTTTTTAGAAGTGACCTTTTTTATTTTATTTTTTTATTTTTTATTTATTTCTTATTATATGCATTACATCATAAAAAACAATCTCAATGCGTAGTAGAGGGAATCCTTAAAAAAAGGTATCTTCAAACTATGAACCAAAATAAAGTACCAGATTATAGCCTATTCCCCAATCTAAGATATTTGTGATCTCTCACGCCTAAACCCGGCATAAGTCGCACTAATTGATTTTGCGCTATGGCACGTTAAACCTATTATTTGTTGAAAATGCATTGAGATGTCAATTTTTTTTTTTTTGTCTAATTAGCAAGATTAAACACTAATTTACCGAATAAATCATCTGAAATGTTGGAAATGTATTCTTAAAAGCTCTTAAATTATGTTTTTGTAAAGGGTACGCCTTTAAAACAAAGGAAAATTGACTTATAGCAATGCAAAATTCGCTTGAATTCACCGACATTTACCACGCTGTTGGTATATCCTAACCCCCTTATATGGGTGTAAACAGTAAGCTACGTCATTCTCCTTGTCTATTTCGAGTTGGGATTCCCAGATAGCATCCTTTTTGACCAATAAAAGATGGTTTTAGTCACCACATTCAATATAAACAAACACAGCTTGTTGCTAGACAACGGGCCAAAAAGACCGCCGCTGATTGGCCGAAAGGCCGGTGCGGTGTATTGTGGGAAGATGGCGGCGCCCATGAAAAACCAATGTGATCGGATTTTTCGTCCTTTTTCTACTTCACGTAAATACCTGGTCAAACTAATTAATAAGTTGGATTTAAGACACTTCAGAACGAGAGACCGGTGCGGTGTATTGTCTGAAGATGGCGGCGCCCATGAAAAACCAATTGTTGTCGGATATTTCGTCTTTTTCTACAAAATACGTCACGCTTTGTTTACTTCCGGATAACTGTTTAGCGCGAAATTCGTTCTCGTTTAGCAGACGCAATCCGAGAAGATTTTTTAACGAAATTTTGGATGAGCGATGTTGACAATTTCCACACCATTCTATACAGAAAAAAAGGTAAACAATTTTATATTAATAAATTGTATATTAATATTAATCCTCCCGAATCACCACGAGTGCTATTTATAGAAGGTGCGCATGGTAGAAGTCGGTCAGTGGGTCACAAATGTCAAAATCATTCACTTGGCTATCCTTGTTTGTAGGCTAGCCAACACAATTTAAACAATTGTTTAAATATCGATAAAAACCCACTAACATCATCCAACCTTCGATTCAGGGTGATTACTACTATACTACCTATATAGGCTACTAGTACTAGCAGGTGCCCGTGGGTAAAAAAAATAGTTGGTTAGTGGGTCACAACTGTCAAATTCATTCCCGATTTAGTTATTCTAGGCCTAGCCATGCGATCTTTTATTTTTTACAAAAATTCATTATGCATTTGTATTGGTCACAATAAATTTGTTACCTGTGTGTTGGCTTTCCTTTATTAAAATACTGAGTAGGCCTATGTACAGCTACTGTCTGATACATTGACATAATCACAATAATAGGCCTATGTTAACTTGGCTATGTACTGCAGGACCTAGCAGTAGCAGTCCAGTCGCAATATGCATGGTACAACAATATCATTTCATATTATTAAAATATATATAGTACTATACTATTTATATTATATCATTCTGTTTCTGCAATCTGAAATGAATGGGTTTTTTTTTTATTAGATACACCCCTACATTTAGTGAAAGTATTACGTAAATAGTTATAATAAGCTGTACACCTCATTTAAAATGAAATACAATGAAGCAAGATTTAGATTACTGAATTTCATGAATAATCATTGATATTTGTTTTTACTGATATTTTAACTAGTTTATAGTAATAATGTAAATATGACAATTAATTTCTTTTTCAGATGTGTTCAGTTTGGGCCTAAATTTCAAATACAATAACTATAACATGTATGATTGGCCTTATTAATAATAAAACTACCTTTATGTGATGGTAGGGTAAGTTTAAGAATTATATTTTTCTGCAGCTATCCAAAATAATTTTTTTTTAAAAAAAATATTAACAATATCATTTAATATTATTAAAATATCTTGTACTATTATTATATCCTATAATGAAGTGAAAGCATCACAATAATTCATTATGCAGTTGTATCGGCCACAGTATAAATTGGTTACCCGTATTTTGTCTTTCTTTTAAAATACTCAGTTGGCCTACTGGTACATTGACAATTAATTTCTTTTTCAGATGTGTTCAGTTTGGGCCTAAATTTCAAATACGATAACTATAACATGTATGCGATTGACCTTATTAATAATCAAACTACCTTTATGTGATTGTATGGTAAGTTCAAGAATTATATTTTTCCTTCCTTTTCTGCTGCTATTGAAAATAAATTATATTTTTCTGCAGCTATCCAAAATAATTTTTTTTTAAAAAAAATATAAACAATATCATTTAATATTATTAAAATATCTTGTACTATTATTATATCCTATAATGAAGTGAAAGCATCACAATAATTCATTATGCAGTTGTATCGGCCACAATATAAATTGGTTACCCGTATTTTGTCTTTCTTTTAAAATACTCAATTGGCCTACTGGTACATTGACAATTAATTTCTTTTTCAGATGTGTTCAGTTTGGGCCTAAATTTCAAATACGATAACTATAACATGTATGCGATTGACCTTATTAATAATCAAACTACCTTTATGTGATTGTATGGTAAGTTCAAGAATTATATTTTTCCTTCCTTTTCTGCTGCTATTGAAAATAAATGTTGTTTTTTTAAAAATATAAACAATATTATTAAAATATCCTGTATTAATATTATATATTCTTCTTTCTGCGGTCTGAAATAAATGGGTTTTTTTTTTGTATTAAATACAACCCTACATATGATGTAGTGAAAGCATTACAAAAATTCATTATGCAGTTGGCCACAATAAATTTGTTACCTGTATTTTGGCTTTCTTTTAAAGCAAGAATTTCATATTTTCTAAGAAAGTAAAAACATAATTATTACTATTTCTTTTGCTCAATAGGTTGTCAACGCCCATAGATAGTTAACGATGCCTAGAATTTGTGGGACTGATATTCATGCAGCAAATGCCCTGAATGACTTGCGCCATTCGAACATTGTTAACAATGTTCATGAAAATGCATTGTATGAACTTGTCAGTGAATATTTCGCAGATTCTGTTGATGACATGAATGGTGAGGATTTTGATATTGATCATGAGACTGGTTATGATGAGCCTGATGAAATCATTAGTGTCTTGGACAGTGCAGAGGACCCGTCTTTGGCTGACGATTTTGATGTACCAGTGGTCCTTGGTGCAGTTGACAGGCATTATATGGACAATGTCCATGAAGATGATGATATTCAATCTGTTGATGAGGATAATGAAGGTGATGTTATCCGAGAAAATGATGCGCAGACTATCATGGGAATGGTAGGAGAGTTGATTTGCGACACAGATAAAGAATGTGAACTTCGTAAGATTCAAGATTACCAGTGTTCATGTGCTGCATTTAAGAAAAATGGAAAATGTCTGAAGCAGCTCAGCGTGGAACTCATTTATGAAATGCGTTTGAATATGTCAGCCATGACTGACTTTGAGAAGGACTTAGTTATCCTTGGTAAATTGAGTACCACCATGAATAGGTCAGAGATGACAACCTGTACTAAACGTTCAAAACAGCAAAAGCGTCAACGTCAACGAACCAGCTACTTTGTTGAGGGACACCAGATCTGTCGTTCAGCGTTTGAATTCATTCACACGTGAGTTGATTTTTATTCAAAAATATGTCAGCATGTTTTTACATTTGTCTGCTTTCATTCTACTAGTAAAAAATTTCTATATCTAGGGGGAGCCATCTCAATATTTTTCAATAAAATAGCAATTACCTATCAATTTTGTGTAATAAAAGCCTGGTAGAATAATAATGTCCCGGCCATCTAGACTTCAAATCGTTGCAAAAACTGACCTACTAATGTCATGCAAAATCTGACCAAGATACTTGACAAGACATTTTCCATTGGTCAAAATACCGGAAGCCATCAATTTTACTCAAATTAAATCACATTTGACACTCATTTCATCTTTGCAATGCCTGTGGTCTTTACGAAAAGTGTTAAAATTTTTGTATAACTTTTGACGATTTTTTCTTTGGACTATATTATGTCCAGGTCCTGTAGTAATTACGCTGGCTGCATCTTACTGGTCAAAAGTGTAGGACCGTTTCGTTTTTTCTGTTACCTTACGTAAACAGCAATAGGAATGTCAATGTAAAGAAATTTCAGTCTGCAAAATATACCTACGTCAACGGCAACAGGAATTTCAATATAAAGAAATTTCAGTCTTTAAAATATGTCATACCCAATTAGGCTATACATGTACATGATTGTTTTCATGTATGTGTACCTGATTTTTGTTTGACTTGACTTTGTCCGTGTGACTGGGTAATTGCATACTTAATTTTGTATCAGAGATTGTGTATTTTGATTCAGTTTGAGTAAAAAAAGTGCCAAAAATACTATATAATATTGATTTGATTTTATCTATGATTCATAAATATAACTTTGAATCCATTTGGTAAAAACGTGTATCGTGATGCAGCCGGGTTATTGGGCTAGTACATGATACTGTATCATATTGTGGCACAGTGTATCATTTCCACACTATTTTGTGGTGCAGTTCCCACTTATCAGTGGTGCAGGACGGCAGACAAGAACAGCTGTCTAGTCGTTCAGATGGTACAAAAAAATGAGGTGATGTGTACATATTGGCCAACACTTAAAATATTCCTTGGAAGTTGAAATTCAATATAAGATGTTAAGCCCCATTTCATTTCATTTCAGCATATCTGGTGACAAGCTTGACAGTTGCATCAAACATTACAAGGAGCACGGCCTCACACCACGAGTAAAGAAATCTGGTGGAAGACGAGCTGAACGTCGATATTTGACCTATGATGATATCAAGCGTGTTGTGTCGTACATCACCTCCTTCACAGAAACTCATGGAATCATCTTACCAGGAAGGATTCCAGGGTTTAAAGATTTCACAATGAAACTGCTTCCATCATCAGAAACTAAGGCCTCTGTCTTCCGTAGTTATGATACCGCTATGGATGAGTTAGGTAAGATTAAATTGACATTCTGTAAGATTAATACATAAAGGGCTGACAGTTCTGCCTATAATAGTTAAAAAATAGACAATAGACATTTTCTTCCATAATTTATTTACATGTTCCAGAGACCAAAGACTCAAGCATTTTAAACTTAAATTTATCTTCACTTGGATTCGACCACTAATTCGGCACACCTCGGTAAAACGGCAGTTCGTTATCAAGTTACGTCACAACTTTGTCTGACGTCAAAATTGATTTTTTTAATTTTTACATCATTCAAACCGATTTACTGTTTTGCGAATTTTGAAGTTTACACAATAAAATAGGTTCTGTTAAAATCCTGATAAAGAACATGTTACAGTGTCGATAAACACCTGTTTCGCATTTAGATCTCAAGACCCAAGACGCCTTGGCATCGCAGGTTCTAATGTAAAATCTCAGGACAGGTCTTTTGGACAATAACGGGCCCTCTAAATGCGAAACAGGAGGTGTTTATCTCCTAATTGAAATTTATGCTAGCCTCGGTCGTCAAAATAACGTTACTTACGATAATTAACTTTACCTACGAATTTCCCTTTTCAGGAGAACGTGCAGTAAAGATATCAAGTTTTCGGCAACTCTGGAATACACTACTTCCATTCATAGTGTTTTGTAAACCCCAAACTGACCTTTGTTGGACCTGCCAACAAAATAACTATCAAGTTTATAGGAGCCACAATCTCCCTGATGAAGTAAAGAATGCCAAATTACGTAAGCAGCTTGGTCATCTTCAGCTGGTGGAGGCAGAACGGAATGAATACAGACGAATGGTGGCTGATGGGAAAGGTGTTGCTGCAGAAATTGAACAACCGTTGAAGCTGGGTCCTCATCTACCCATGTCGGGTGATTTTCACATGCATTATTCTTTCGATTTCGCGCAGCAAGTCCACATCCCAAGTGATCCCCTACAGCCAGGACCTATGTACTTCCTGGTTCCTAGGAAATGTGGGCTGTTTGGTATGAACTGTGAGGCATTGCCTCAGCAAGTAAATTACTTAATTGATGAGTCAGCATCGTCTTCAAAGGGTTCAAGTGCTGTAATTAGTTACTTGCACCACTTCTTTGAGACATATGGACTTGGGGAAAAGGATCTAGATATGCATTGTGACAATTGTTCTGGCCAGAACAAGAATCGCTATATGCTTTGGTATTTGGCATGGAGGGTGATGCATGGATTGCATCGGACCGTAACTCTCAATTTTTTGATAACAGGACACACAAAATTTGCTCCTGATTGGTGTTTTGGACTCATAAAACAAAAATTTCGGAAGACCCGTGTATGTTCATTGGATGAAATGTCAGAAGTGGTCAGCAATAGTACCACAACTGGAGTGAACATTCCACAACAGGTGGTGAATAATGATGGCCAAGTACTAGTTAGGCACTATGACTGGCAAGAGATGGAATCTGATTTTAAAGTACTTCCTGGAATTAAGTCCTACCAGCATTTCAGGTAAATTTTACTTTCAACCAGTAGACTCGTGAATCAGATTTCCTTTCAGCATTCTGATCTTGAAGCAGATTAAACATACATTATGCAAGAGCAAAATCTGCCTATTGTTAGTCTTTCTTTAGGCCTCAAATGTTATAAAAACTATTAACTAGACATTAATTAACTTATCCAGACCATAATCAACTCTCGATACCAAGGCGCGCCTGTGATATTTGCTGAATTGTAGTTCAATTTGCAGCAAAATTTTACTTTGATCGACCGACTTTAGTAATGATGACCGAGGCTAAGCGAAACTTTCATTCGCTTAGTAATTGGTACATAGGGGAATAATTTTACTGAAATTATCAGCAAACTGCTTTTACATTAGCTACATTTTAACTATTATAGTGAGAACTGCCTAATATCCCATAATGTACCTTTAATAATAAAAGTTAAATTCAACTGGTGAAATGTGAAAGGAGCTCTACAGTGGTGACAGTAAGTTAGATTTCCAACCAACAGAAATGCCAATCACATCAGTAGCATAAGTGCATGAATAATCATGCATGATTTTTCTGCCTATGATTAATGCTGTTATGTTACCTTCTCCTTATGACTTCCATTATCTTTCAGGTTCACAGATAAACAGCCTGGTACAGTCTACTGCAAGGAGTCTGTTGATTCAGAAGAACAAGAATTTCATCTACTGAAATCTAAGGATGCTGTTCCACAGTTTAGAATGCCGTCCATTATTCCACCACCTGGTCTTCCACCAAAACGTCAGTGGTACCTTTACGACCAGATAAGGGACTTTTGTAGTGAAGAGACAAGAGACATTACATGCCCAAGACCTACCGTTGAGAACGATCCAGCTCAGCCACCAGTACAGAGGCCTACTGCAGAAAAAGGCCGTAGCCGTGGAGTGAAAAGAGGACATGGTGGAAATCAAGGGCAGAAATTGAGAGCGCGAGAGGCTTGAAAGTCTTAGGTTATGAGTGATTGACACATAGTTTGATAAAGATAGGTTGCCAGATAATGAAACTTACGCCCACAGCAGCTAAATCATCCTGGCAGTCAACAAGTGTTGTTGTGTATTTTCTTTTTTTCAGAAATGGTACATTTATAATAAACTTAAATCTAATTAAGAGTAACGACTCATTAAGTAATCAGAAAATCATTAGAATTTGTTTGGTTTTTTATTAAGTTCTGCCACATGCTAACGTTTAGTATAAAAAAAACTATTTAATATCATGGATTTAGCTGTTCAGTTATCAAAATTCATTGAAAATCAATATACTTGTTCGTTAAGTTTGGTGCCTAGAGCGTCACAAGATTTTTCAAAGTAATTAAGGGAGATAACTTTGGCAGTAATTATTAGAAATGACCAAGAATCAATAGGATATTAATTTTGACCTCCAGAGAATAAATAATAATTTTTGAAGAGATCAAGGGTCATAACTCTGGCAATAAGATTCTTCCTAACTTTGACCTATAGAGCATCCAAAAGATTTTTTGAAGTGATCAAGGGCCATAACTCTGGCATTACTTATCGGAATTCGCTGAAAATCAACAGGCTTCTTTGTTTCATGACCTTAAACACTGTGTATACATTTAAAGTCAATCGGATATTAACCTTGGCCTATAGAGCGTCACATGATTTTTCAAAGTAATCAAGGGAGATAACTTTGGCAGTAATTATTAGAAATGGCTGAGAATCAATAGGATATTAACTTTGACCTCCAGAGCATAAATAATACTTTTTGAAGAGATCAAGGGCCATAACTCTGGCAATAGGATTCTTCCTCTCATGACCTTAAATACTGTGTATAAATTTAAAGTTAATCGGATATTAACTTTGGCCTCTAGAGCATCCAAAAGATTTTTTGAAGTGATCAAGGGCCATAACTCTGGCAGTAATTATTGGAATTTGCTGAAAATCAATAGGCTTCTTTGTTTCATGACCTTTAACACTGTGTATAAATTTAAAGTCAATCGGATATTAACTTTGGCCTCTAGAGCGTCCACAAGCAATTGTGGACACCGGACGGACGGACGGACAGACAGGGCGACGACAATATACGACCACATTTCAATGTGGGCGTATAAAAATTGACTTTTATTCTTATTCTTATTCCTGCATCCTGTTTTTGGTTTTGGTTGCAAACACAAATCCACCAAAAAAGGAATTAGCGAATTTAACTAAAATTGAATGGGTTTTTTCAGGGGCGAGGCAGATTTCGGGGGTCAAAAGGGCACAGGTGGCGCCCTCTACAGGGGTGTGGTGTACTGCCACTCCAACACAGCCTTGATATAAAATTGGTGCTAAATTACAATACAAATGGAATGGTCCGTACCCCTTTAACATTCCAAAGTATAAGTACGTATAGGGCACCCCTACCCTAGAATTGATTATGCGTTTGGAGTCAAAAGCCCCAAAACCTATAACTTGGTTTCGACCTTATTTTGCGTGGGAAATATTATAAAAATGCATGGAAGTTGAAATGTCTTTGAAGTCCATATCCTAGGCCAGCTCTGAGCCAAATTTAACATCAATTGGATAACGTTTAATGTATATTTTATATGGATTTTTGCTTTAAAGCGAATGACGACTTTTGGGGCCTTTTTTCTCTGCTTTAGAACTCAGAACATCTGGTTTGATCGCCGAACTTCAAAAGGTCATAAAAACCTTATTTTTTAAGATAATTTGATGAAATAAAAAGCATTTGAAATATTATTTCATACAGATTATGAATCAGTAAATAACTCAATTTTGAAGTTTGGGTCATTATGCCTGGTTATGCCGTGATAGGTCACATTTGTCAAAAAAAATGATTGTTTATATATATACAACAATATTTAATATCCAACTTTCACATTTAATATCTAATTTCCATATTTAACACCCTAATTCAAACAACCATCTGATTTGTATGTATATGTATTGATTGCATTATTTCTTGTTAAAGTCATTATTTATTTATTATTTAGGAGGCCTGTACCCTTGAACTGCATCAATCATTTGGTCAAGATTTCCGTACCATCTCTGCTTGTCGTCTTATCTTCAGAGATATATTTGATAAACAACATGGCCGAATACATGGTGTCGCCTCTCTCACCGGTAACTACTCTACTACTTCTCTTTTTTAAATAATTTTATCTTTTACATTTGGTTGCAATGGTAAAATGATGATTTAATTGAATTGTATGTGTTGAATTTTTATTTAAAATAGATACCTTGTAACGTTAAAAAATGTCTTTACCATAATTCAAGTCAATGTTGTTAGATAGCGACTTTTAACAGTTGACAGTTTGAAGTAAAGAATTGAATGCTACCAAATAATGTATCAAAATTACTCAATTCAACACCCTTGTTAGGCATAAATCGAAGAGGGCCTTCAAAATTTACAGTTCAAATGCAATTACCCCGGTAATGGTATAATTATTGTAATTTTCTGTAGGTGTTGGAGATGAAGAGCCTGGTATAGGATATGGTACTGTAGAATACTGGATAAGACTTCGAGTTCCCATGGAACAAGCTCTACGATTATATAAGGTATTGAATCAATTTCATATTGCAACATTGTGAAGTTTTTACAAGAAAATGGTAATGCCTGGTTTCATGAAGTTCTGTGAGATGACACCTTCAAAATTTCTCTTGTCTATTTCATTTTTTCCTAATTATTCTTTTAAGATGACATAATTCATTTTAACATCAGTAACTGTAATCATTGAAAGGTTATCTAAGTATCCTGTGTAAAATAGGAATCTTATCTTTAAAATTTTGCTAGCAGAGAAGCAGGACATTTTGGAAATTCTACAATTATGACATTATGTGTAAAGTTTTCACTAGAAATGTTGCTGTTTCTTTCATTTATTTCTTGCTTGTAGTAAATAAAGTAGGATATAAATGGCATTGTATCATTTGAGGTGGGTTGGATGGGCGAATGTTTATGTATCATATGTATCATATGGTCTGTCATTGAGTCAACTGCGGGGTTTCGATTCCCCGGTTGTACGTGAAGAGGAGAAGGGTCATCTGCCCAACTTTGTGGGTTTCTCCGGGTCCTCCGATTTCCTCCCACTGCTAAAGACCCCTACATGTAATTAAATGTGTATGTAATTCCCATCCAAGCCCTTGTATAAAGGGCATTTCTATAGAGTTATTTTCACTTATAAATTCTAAGATATATTTTTATTTATGTAGGAAAGAACGAAAGCTCTGGGTTATATGACACACAATGATCAAACTGTTAAAGAGAATCTAAAAGCTTTAGATGATGCAGCTAATACCAGACCTATGGATAATGTTAATAAACTGGATATCAAGATAAAACAATGTTCTAGACTTAAATCACGTAGAGAAAGTAAGTTCATTATTGTCTTCTACAATATCTGATTTCAAAGTTATATACACAGTTTGACTAAAAAAAAATATGATTTAAATATGATTAAAATTCTATGTGTTAGCCTAAGTTATGGCCATTTCTTTCTATTGATTTCACGCCGCTTTCTTTGTCATATTGGACATGTTGTTCAATGGCGAAATTTAGTTAATTTCTATTCATGAACCTTAATGTTAAAATGCTATCTAAACTAGACTTTTTATTTTGATTTTGTAATTTACTGTCTAAATTTCAAACTCTTATATCTGTGCTTACTTTTTCTATCACATAGAATAACACAACGTAATTTATATACAAACGAAATGAAATGAAATGATATGGGGTTTAAAGTAGTGCTCCTACGGTTAGGACTTTTTGTTATTCGAATAGCCGTAACTATTAACCGGTTAGTAACCGTTAACCGTATGGTATCAATTTTAAACATAAAACAGAGCTTGTCAGGAGCTACGAGTCATTACTCGTGCGCACGCTATACTCGCGTTATAAAAGGCATTTCACGCGCAAAAATGTCAGGAATTTTTTCAGACATGTACAAATCTTTAATGAAAATTTAAACTATCTAAGGCCGTAGCTATTTATTTACCTGGTTAACTTGGTTCATTTGAAACATTTTTTAATTCAATATAACGATAATATACAAAACAATACTCAATTTCCCTTCGTACGTGACAGACGGCGATAATATTACGATTACACAATGTTACTAAGAATAGAATAAAGTAAATTAGAAGGCGTCTATTGATTGGACAATAAAGAAATAATTCCTCGCTTGCAAGTAGAATTTTTATGATTGGTTAATTTAACTGAAAACCAAAGTAGAATTCATTCGAGAAATTACGAGATATGAAACGTGTTCAATGCCGTAACGAATCTAGTATAATGTCATTTTCTAGCCTTTATGATTATATTTTGAATGGTGGTTACGTTTTGAAGTAAATAATAAACAAGGTAGAATATAGTTAGAAATGCCGAGAAGTATTTAGATTGGATTAACAATAGCAAAAGTCGAACAAGGTCCGTTGACTTTGCCGTATGACTACGACGAGTGCTATTAATAGTATCATTGTTTAGCAGTCGACATCGTTGGACGACTGTTACATTCTAAAATTTTCAAACATCAAATACAAAATTACAACGGGCAAGTTTTGTTATAAAGAGGAATATAATCAGACACAACTCTATGTAATGGGGGACATCTCCGAATAACCGTACCGTTGAATTCAAACCGTTTAACCGTCCAGTTCTAACCGTTTACGGCTATCCGACTAGTCGTAGGAGCACTAGTTTAAAGTCCTAATGTTCTGCTCCGACTGGGCTAATGAAGATGGGCCTACGCCATACAGTGTGCTATGAGGGAAATTTGCCCGGGCAGCTGCTTTATGGCCTATTCTTATATCAAATTCCAACCGCCAATGGATCTTTTACGTGCACGCCAATGTATACACAGGTCTCTTCAGTCTTTCATACCATCTGAATGACTAGACAGCTGTTCTTGTCAGGGCCTCCGTTCTGCACCACTGACAAAGGGAAACCACGACGGAAAATCCTGATGAACTTTCTTGGCCAAATCAGGGATCAAACACGCGACCTCCAGGCTAGCGAGCCAGCGTCTTACCCACAATTTATAAACGGGTCCAATTAACATTTGTCAGTAGGGTATATTGTGTATTTTGATTTTTTTGTTGTATCACAATATACAAAGGAAATGAAGTGGTTTAATTAAATTTTAGGTTAATACACTGCCCAGAAGGTTGTTTATGATATGAAGCGTTTTATTTTGCAGATGTACAACCATCACCATACTGTGTTTATCGTTTCTTTGATTTCGGTGATCATGATACAGCTATTATACCTAACTCTAATCAACCTGTATTTAACGATCATAGATCTTATCCTGTATCAATGACATCAGAATTAGATCAATATCTGAGACAAGAGGTAAATAACAATTACTAGCATAAAATATATGTCAGATAGTTTGATTACTTTACATGTTTTTGGGCCCAACAAGTCACAGTTTCTGGCACTTCTTATAGAAACTTGCAGAAATTTTTCAAATGACATAAGTTAGAATCAGATATGAAAAATAAACATTATTAACTGCCCCGTTGACTAAGATGCTGTTGGGGGAATATTTCTTTGTCTTCCATGTAATGAAAAATGAAAAATATCAAATCATATTTGAAAAACAAATGTTATTAACTGCCCAGATGACTAAGATGCTGGTGGGGGAATGTTTCTTTGTCTGGTAGACTATTTTTACTTCCATGTAATGAAAAATGAGAAATATTTATTATGCACTGTCATCAATCTGATTAAAATACAGATCTATATTTCATTTCGTTTTTTTATACTTCCGATGGTCTACACTACATGAAGATCTGACAAGTTATAGTATGATTTCTCGTCAGATGTCAAACAAGCGGTTGTTGACCCTATGACGGTGTTGACGTTGCTAGTGGTTTACCCACAGTTCCATGCATAAAAAGGCCAAGAACTCGCTGTAACAGACCGTTTCATTGGGTAATTCCTCACATCAAGTAGAACGCCTGTCACATAACAACTCTTCCAGATCCTAGTGTAGTAAAGACAAGTAAAACGAAATTTTGAACCATAAAAACGAAACGAAATAGGATCTGTGTTTTAATCAGATTACACTGTCACGGCCTTCTTAAAAATAATGTATATAATTCTTACTGAAATCAATATTATCTATTTACAGCATTTGCAGATATTTGTTTTTGATGATACAGATCCAGAAGATAGTAATTATATTGGTATGGTAGATGTACCATTGTTATCTCTAGCTAATAATAAAACATTAGATGGACCATTTGATCTTAAAGCACCTGATGGTACCAATAGTGGTCTAATAGAATTAGAACTCAGTTGGCAGTATTCTTATATGTCTACTAGATCTGGAACAAGACATCAGGTATATTTTGATTTTAATTAAAGATGCATTATGTTGTCTACAAGCCTACCCATTTTGCAGGGAAATTTTTTTTATACTCAGAAGTTGTGTTTAGTTAATTACATAATAACACCAGCCTTTACATTAGAATAGAGTGCAGGGTTGGGGGCTGAATGGTCAATGTGTGTGCGTTGGATCGTAAGGTCTGTCATTGTGCGAGTACATGTCAAGGAGTAGAGTCACCTATCCAACCACATTGGTTTTCTCCGGGTCATCCGGTTCACTACCACTGCTAAAAAAAAAAATATTGCGCAAGTTAATTATAGAAATAAAATTGAACCATATGTTAGTCCCAAAATGACCTAGTATGTGTTAAGTGGACGATAAACTCCATTTCTCTTTCTCTCCTAAAATATATATGACTTGTGTGTTGTCGTTAAGCAGAAAACTTGGATGTACAAAAATAAATATCAGTATTATTTCAAACAAGAAATCTGATTTATGATATTAATAACTTATAGCCTATGGAAGTGACTTTCGAAAAAGAAGAATCAGCAAAGGCTGCCCAAGAAACTCCACATGCTAAATCTCGACTAGCTGCCAGATTTACTAATGAGAAAGGTCCCAGTGCTACATCTACTCCGTTCCCTAAAGCAGTGAAGCCTGTCGTAGCTGAAACACCTATAAAAGATGTGGAGATTTCAGCCGTACAACCTGTAAGTCTTTTTTTATTAACCCTTTCAACCATGATTTCTCAATCTACCAGACCCCTCATGTGAAGTTTCCTGGGTTAATTTGGTGGCTGAACTCTAATGAATATCGTTTTTATTGATAAACCAGTCTAGTTAAATCTATTGTGAAGCCATTGTGGTGAGGGGAGGCTGTGGAATGTGGTTGAATAGTCTAACATATAAGGTTTTTTATCTATTCAAGTTTAAAGTTGGTTCTCACATTTGTATGTCACAAAGAGAAGAGGTGCTTGCCTAACCTTTGGGTTTTTCACTTGGTTTTCCATATGCATTAAAGATACATTATGGGAGATTAGATAAAGAGCTGGCTATAATAGTTAAAAAATAGATAATGTTAAGGGAATGTGCTGAAAATTTCAGTCAAATTGATACTCTCTGAACCGAGAATTTAGCAATTGAATTTTAGGCCTAGCCTCGATTATCATTACTAAAGTGGTACAATAAAAAATATAGTCTTGATTATCCATTTTTTAATTTAATCATCAATGAGCATTGAGCAGCAGATCGGATTCCAACATTTCAGGCCTAAGGAAATACCTGCAATAGGCATGTTTAATGTACAGTATGGAGTTACACACCATTTGTTTCTCTCTTGAAGGAAGCACATCCATTGTTTTTGTTAATTGTAGTTTTATTGTCTATTCTATAGCTACCAGCGCCGAAACCTGTAGCTAGAAAAAAATTAATTGATGATAAAAGTGAATCTAAAATGGTGGATGAAACTGTGACAGATGTTGTTGTTGGTTTTATGCCTGATGTTACTGATTCCATGTCAACAACAACAAAACAATATACAGGTACATTAAAGATGTCTTAATCGTTGCATTCCTAAATACATAACATATAGGAAAATATATCTAGTGATACTTCAAAAGAAAGTCGGTTTACAATATAAAAAATTTAAAACAGCGTACACTTGAAAGACAATAATGGAGGAGCACTGGGTGTAATGGGCAATAAATAGCAATGGCTTTGATTTTATTTTTCCTGGTCATTACAAATGTCATTACGTGTATTTCAGATAGAAATAACTTTTGTGGCTTGAACATTTGACATTTTTCTTTTTAAACCTGTCCTATTCAACAGGCAATACAGTAGAGTGAAAAAAAAATATTCAAGTTTATCCAGTACTATTAACACAGTGTTCATGACATTAGTTTATTTTATTGGCTGTTTTCTTGTTGCCCTTTTCATAATTGAGTCAGATTGAATTTCTGTTTTGTAAATACTTTTTAGCTTTTATTTAGATTCAACATTTATTTGAAATTATTATTTGTAGAAACTATTACCTCAGAAACCACAATTTCAAGATCCATATTAAAAACATCCGGGCCAGAAAGACCAGGTAAATTTAGATTTAGAAACTGTTGAGTTTGTTACATTAAAAAAGATTTGGAAGACTAACACCTTATTTACTAAAAACATCAATTACTTAAAATCATTTGTAACTGAAAATCAATGCTAGGTTGTGCTGCGATTCTTAAACATACATTATGCAAGAGCTAAATTTGCCTATTGCAGGTCTTTATTTAGGCCTGAAATGTTTTCTAAATTATTAATTAGACATTAATTAACTTATCCAAGCCAAAATCAACTCTCGATGGCATCAGATTTCACCGAAATAGTTTAGAACAGTTCAGGCATATTTTGATTTAAGCTAAAAAATGGAGGAGCGAGACTTAGCTTCTAACAACCAGTACGTTGGTTGAAATTATTGCACACTTCTTGTCAAACCTTCAAAGGCTAATATCTTCGCTTGCAATAGAGTAATTTGAATGAAATTTTCAAATTATTTATTTTACATTCTTTTTTTAGAACTATTATAGCAAGAATGGCTAGCTCTTTATCTAAATCTTACATAATGTATCTTTAAGATAATGATTAAATTTAATATTGATATTTAACCACACATTATTTTGCATTGAGTGAGGAAATCACCACAAAAGTGATGAGAATTCCAAAAGCATTACCAAAAGTCCCATCTGATTTACCATGTTACGTAATAGTAAGAGTAGTTTATGGTTGTATGTTTATATTGGGTGTCAAAATTAAGACACAGGGATAATAATAGTAAAATTATTTTTAAAATGGTGATAATTGTAGAAACTGATGAAGACGAAGAAATAGAGGATGAAATTGAGGAGGTTGTGGAGGAGGAGATAATTGAGGATGAAGACGAGGGGATAGAGGAGGAGACTCCTGTGCCGTCTCCCACCCCTACTCCCCCTTCCAGATCCTCTCCGCTTATTAAACAAAGGGGTATAGAGTTATCTCCTCTTTGCTGTGTAAACTTCACTTCTGCACTGTTATTTTCTCAATGAAGTTCTGCTTAATTTTCTTGATTTGTTATTGATTCAATTATAACAGTTAAAACTTAGTTGTGAAATTCATTTCTAAACAATTAGTTGCAGAATTCAACAGATTATGGAATTCACCATTAAGTACTGTCAAAGTCATCCATTTATGTTTTTATTATGCTCAAAAATTGCTAGAATTATATATTTAGAAAGGATTATCATTTCTTTGCTTCAAATCCTTTCGTAAGCTTATAAGCTAGTTTCATTTTCAGTTGAAGTATTCCAAGTTCTCTTCCCACTCTGTCACTTTGCTTTATTTAATGGAGTTGTTTTTTCATTTATAACCTATTTAACCTATATTGATGTACACCTTTATACTGTTTGATTTAAAGTGACATTATGTCTACAACTCATCATTTCTAACCCAAGACAAATCGTCTTAGATGGAAATATCACTCCACAAATAGAATAGAAATGAAATGGAAAAAGTATTTCACCAGTTTCATGCATCAAATTTTTTGTTTATAGATATTGACATGATATTTTGAATAATCATCCAGTTCATACTTTATGGACTGCTTGGACGACTTGGCAGCTGTGGGTATAATGCATCGTTGACTGGCAATCATCAAGTTCATATTCATAATGTCACTTTAACCATAGGAGATAAATTATTAGAATAAAAATCATATAAATTATTAATCCTTTTATTTCACCCTTTTTTTGTCAACTAGAGAGAAAAAATTTAAAGAAGCCAAAACCCAAGATGCGTTCATTAAAATTTAACGGTATGATGTTAGTAAATGTTGGCTGATTTGGTGAATGGCATGCTTATACAATAATACTATATATAATCTAATGTCCAAGTAAAGTTTTGTTATCTGGCGTTGAAAAAATTATTTGTTGACGTTATGTTTGTCCTACAGAAACATGGCGTTTATTCCTGTTTCTTTTGTTGTCCTGGTTATCAAGTTGTTTACATGTCCTATTTAACCATAGTAACATGTCTTTATTTAATAGATTGTTCATGTTTGCATCAAGATTTTTTTTGTATTGTTCCCCGTGTTATAATCATACTCTAGAATACATTCTTTATATAATCGTAGTTCTAATAGTGTAACTTAACATCTAGTAATAGTAGTAATTCAACTCCCTTATATTGTCTATTTTAAAGTTATAACAAAAATAAAAATGCTTGGAGTGCCCAAGTTTAGATTTGTTATTGATTCCATAAAGTAGTAAGGTTTTAAAACGTTAAATACTGTGTATTTCAACATGGTGCCCGAGGGGTTTAATGTATTTAGGTACCAAATAGTTTAATGATATAAGAGTCAAGGTTGGGACTAAAATGCCTTGGAAATCGGAAGTGGGAGGCGACTAGTATGTGTCTCTCTTTTGTGGACCATGGTGAGATTGTCTGTTGTATTAACTGGACGGGTAGGCCTGTCATCCTTCGGTTTTCCTCTTTTAAAGAACTTACTTAAGTTGAACCTCAGGATATGTGATTCTTTAAAGTCACATGTAAATTAACTAAAATTTGTCATGCCTCACTAACAATTTATAAGATTTGCACAAATGTATGTTGAAGTCAACTATATTTATGAAATACTTGTATTTGCATGTATCTTTATAAAAGTATATAAGAGGTTGTTTTATATTTACATGTAATTGATATCTACTAAATTTATCTACTTTAGCTGTAATTATATACATGTATAAGACTTTATAAAACAGTTATCTTAGTATATATTCTAATGTTTACTCTATTTAGAATTTATTTAAAACATATAATAGGTAATACCATGTAGATGGATACTCATAGTCTTATAACCTAGTATTCCCTTATTTGATCTTAAAATCTCTACTTCATCTTTTTTTCAATCACAATTAATGTTGGTTGTTTTGGGTTTTTTTTTTTCAGAATCACTGAAGCCGAGAAGCCCCAAACCAAGCCCGAAACCAAGCCCCAAAGATAGCCCAAGAGTAAGTGAGAGATTCCATTATACAATATTTGTTTCTCTCTTAGTCTGGGAATATGGGAAATCCAGATGGAGACTATCAAAATAATATTCTGTAATGAAGTTTCTTCTGCTCGACACAAATAACTTAATGTAATATGATGCTAATGATTCTTTTGTTTACCTTCCCTTTACACTGAGAATGGTTAATTGTATTTACTAGAATAGAATTGAATTAGGTCTACACGATATTGTTGTTTAGTGTAATTATCTCCCAACCAGTTTGCTTTAGAACAACAATACTAAACTTAAATTCAGGTCATCAAGTTAAAAAATCAAGGGATTCTGAATATCTTGCAAAATAAAAGTTGAGTCAGGAAAAAGAGGCTATCAATTTATTAATGGTTCAATTCAATTCAGTATTTACAATGATGCGATAAAATGAAAATTTTGCCACATTCTGCATCCTCTACAGACAACATGAAGCCAACGCCACCTAATAACTCGTTTGATGATCCTTATTTAGGCCAATTGAATCCAAGCCTTGAGGTTATAAGTTGTCGGTAATTTGGTTTTGTTTCATTCATTAAATTTAAGATAATCAATTTGAGTGCATCTTAGATTGAATTAAGCCGTGAAAAAGTAGATGACAATCAGCTGCTTTAAATGTTGAGTTGAACTAGGGAGCCACGGTGGCTAAGTGAGTAAGCCGCAGGCTCGCTAGTCTGGAGGTCGCAGGTTCACATCTGGTGCTGGACGAGAAAGTTCATCGAGATTCTCTGGCATGGTTTCCCCCTTGTCAGTGGTGCAGGATGGAGGGCAAGACAAGGTCAGCTGTCTACTCATTTTGATTGGATGAAAAACCAAGGTCATGTGTCCACATTGGCATGCATGTGAAAGATCCATTGGCAGTTGGAATTGGATGTAAGAGTAGGCTGTAGCGCAGCTGTCTGGGCAAAATGTCTTCATTAGCCCAGTCGATTTCATTTCATTTTATTTATTTTGAAGTAATTATGGTAAATATATGTGGACATGTTTTTCAGTCGGTATCAAGTTTACAGAGTAAAAATGGTGAAGAAGAAATGGAACAAGGTACAATTTTATCAAATCTTTTAATGACATTTTATAAGTATAAGAATTCCAGAGATTAGCTTTCAAATTGTTGTATGAATTTGAGAATATTGATAACTGAAGCAATATTTTTTTAAGATAGTGTCTCTGTTATGTGTTTAGGATATGAAGTTAAAATATCTGAATCGGAATCCGAACCTCCAAAAATAGAAACTGATAGTGAAGGTGTTGTTATTCGTGGTAAAGTTGCCGATCGTAAGAGAATTAAGGACATCAAAAGGGTAAATTATTTTTCATTATTCAAATACATACACCTGTTAAAAGTTTGGTTACAAGAAGTATGCCTTTCACAGTTATTAATCTCAATTGTACCATCTGTAATGACTGTCAAAGGCCTTATTTATCCTTAAAGATACATTGTCCCAAAAGTATTTATCGGGTGGTTATTTCCAGTAAAAGTATGGCAAATTTGGTATATGGAAAAGTATAGACACCAAATCTTAGAAGAAAAATACTGGATTACCCGAAAAACACCCATGGGGCAAGCACTGAACAAAAATGTCAGGGTATCACTAACTGGCAACCCGTTGGCTTATTGTCTGTCAGCTTATTGTGTGCTAGCTTGACTTAGGGAGCAGTTGTTATTTCTTGATCAAATGGTTAGGCAGTTTTGGGAAAATTGAGGGGTGTCAATGTACAAAAGACTCCGCAATTAAATGGCGGAAAAAGTAGTTGATAGAAAATAATCAAGAATTTACTTAGGCCTCAATATGTATGATAAATAGACAGTAAGTAACGTAAAATACATTCTGAAAAATTGAGCCTCTGTCAATGAATTAGTGGTATCTCCCGACCAATACAAAGTTTTTGAGAGGGATTTGAAGCAAATATTTGATAGATTAATTGGTTTAAATATTTTTTAGTCCAAATATATCATCAAATCACACAGTTTGTACGCAGGGAAAGTATCTTTAAGATTTGAAATCTATTATTTTAAGCCCTCTTGGAAGAGTAAAAACTTTTCTTAATTTAACGGAAACAGATTTATCTGGATCAATGTCAATTCAATAGGAAATGCATATAATCAAAGGACAGGTATTGAACTACTATCAGAGCAGAAAAATTGTTTAAAGTAAAACACACTATTCCAGCAAACGTAGATTTTCAGTCCATATACATTAAAAAGAAATTTTATTAAAATACATATTAGTCAAAAATCTATGAAAATCAATCAATCCTAATGTAAAACTATGACTATCGAACGATTCCATGTCTATTGACATCCCTGTTTTTGATCTGAGAATATCAGTAATCTGCTATAAAATGACTTGTTACTGTCCATAAATATTTTCAAGATTACAGTCTGAAGGAAACATTTCAGTCCTTATATTAGTTAAATGTAACAAAGATAATTGTCTATTATTAGCATTCTTGGACATTCAGGCTTTAATGTTTAGCTGTCAGAAGACATGTGATGTTTATTATCTGTACATGATGTAGAAAATACAAGGGTGTATGTATCAATATTTGATTTTTATTTTAAGGGAAATACTGTGATCATAGTTGTGTCTAATCTATCATTAGAAGAAGATTCTAATGCTGCCCAGAATGATAATATAAACAGATTATATGTAGGATATAGGTTTTTAGGTCTACCAGCTGATGAAACAGAAACACCGTATTCTTTACCTAAACCAAGAAATGGAAAACATATCCAATTCAATTTTAGCAAAAGTGAGTTCTTTATTTGTATTCAATCTCCTGAAGCTTTTTTGGGGGATGGGGGGTGAAGGTGGATAGAAAAATGTACTTTGTTTTTTTTATAAACAGACATGCATTGAATCATAAATCACAGATGCACAGAATGTATCTTATAGGACTAAGGTTTGTATAAGAGTAGGCCATAGTGCCGCTGTCCAGGCAAAATGTCCCTCATAGCACACTTGTATGGCATATGCTCGTCCTCATTAGCTCAGTAGGATGTTAAAATCATTTCATTTCATTTCTTTATGGTGTATATGCTGCTGTTCAGTTTTTTTATTTTTTATTTTATGTCATCCATAAAGCTTAGATATGTTTTGCCTTAAATTGTTGTCAGTGAAGATACTGATGAAGAGGAGGAGTAGTGGGGGCTAAACAATGCCTAAGATTCTTGTTGACCTTCAGTGTCACCACATCACGCAAACTTGAAAAAAAAGGGATACTGGTATACAATCTGAAGTCATATTTATTTTTATACATAATACAAAAACATTTTATTGTTATGAATGCTCATTTCTGAAATATAGCTCATTAGAACAATAGGATTAATTTTTTTTTTTGTAATTTCAGCAATCCAAGTTGACTTGGAAAGAAATTATGACAGACGACAAAAATTGGCAGCCATGTTGTTACCTAGTGACCCAGATAAAGGAAGGTATGTTCTGTTTATTTTGACTCTTTTCATATTTTTGCTCTTTTTTAAACGGGGATGCTGTTATTACAATTTAATCAAAATCCTTATTTGAAAAGTTTTAATTAAAAATAATTTCTTTCACTTGGATAATACTGTGGATAATAATAATAATGACATGATGACATGTCTGGCACATAATTTATCATTAAAGCGGTAGACACACTAGCCGAATCAATCGGCGCCGATATTTGTCTAGTGTGTCCTCTTTCATTCGGCGGAACGATTCTCCCGAATCAAACATGTTTGATATATTTGTCTAGTGTGTCCGCTGCGCGGAAACATTCGCCTGATTATAGAATTCTTTAGCCAATCGCCACTCATCATCCACTCATAACGAGAATTCACGTGATTGTTTTAAGATATGGTCACCGCCATGATTAATCACATTACGTGAAATAAAGGTGATGTAAGCGACTGGTGAATGGGCGAAGAATTCCTCTAGTGTGTCCACTCATTCAGCCAAACGATTCAGCTAGTGTGTCCACCGGTTTAGGAAGTTAACTATCAAATTGTGGTTGTATGTGTGCATTCATCCTTCTGTCTATCTATATTTACTAGATTAAGATTTGAAGTAATAAGTGAACCACCACCTACTGATAAGGATGGTGAATGTGAAGATGTGGGTGTAGCATTTGTCAGTATACCAGATATTCTACGTTCTAAACAAAATATTAAAGATGAAGATCTAGATAGTAAGTTATGTTTCTAGAAATTACAAATTGTCTGGAATATTTCTAGGACTGTTTCTTGGGTCGAGAAGAACATGATTTTTCAAGAAAAGTTATTATTGTCAGCAAATTTGACTGCATGGCTGAGTAACTTTTCCAACTTTTGAGTAGGACTGGCTAAACGCAATTTCATTCAATTGTTAGATGTTGGGTGACCAGGTGGTCTAATGCATGCACAGTAGAATGTAAGGTTGTGGCCTTGTGGCTATATATATGTCCCAAAATTATCCAATTGCACAAAAATTTTTTTACAAGAAATTAATCATATTAACAAGAAATCTTGTTAACAAGACGACTTGACCATGAACATTCTGCGTGCTTGCTCAAGAACTAAATCAAATTTTGTTTCCATGGAAACATGTTATACATATATACATGGTGAGATATCACATTGTAAATAATCTCACTATGTATATAAAATATGTATAACATGTAATTGTCTGTGTTATCACCTCATTGGAAGCGGACGTTAAATAAAGCTATTTCACACACACAGAGTTTAGTATAGATATCTTGAGTACTGCTGGAGATATGCTGCAACAACCAAACCGAACAGAAAAACAGGGCCCATTTCAGCACGGGATAATAACCCAAAAATATATAGAGGACAAATGTTCTATTTATTTTATGATTTTACAATCATTTTAGGTAAAAACAACATGGACTACTGCTAGCCAGTGGAATAACACTTTTATTTCACTGATAAAACGCGGTATTCCACTACTGATCATAAAATAAAGTTTTTATATTTCCATTTATAATGTGACATTACACCATTTAATTTTTCAGTAGTATTAATAACAAGTAAATTTGTCAAATTATTAAAAAAGACACTGGTCAGAATAAATAAATTTTATTTGATTTTCAACTTTCAGTTTATGATTTCAATGATGAGAAGACAGTAATTGGTAATATGAAGGTTACTGTTGAATGTTTGGCAGCTTTAGAAGCTATTGATAAAGAATTAGTAGAAGGAACATTTTAATTAAATTTTTTACTCAATACATATTTTAAAGTTATTTACCCAGTACATATTTAGTTTTTAAATTATTTTATTAACTACAAAATTTTTTTAGTCCCTGTACATGATTAGGTGATACAAATTAAAGCTAATAATATAATTTAAACTTGTAGTATCATTTGATTAGCCAAGCTTAGATTTATCCTTATTTTTATTATGTAATATTATTGTACAAAGTAAATTAGAATACTTGTATGTTCTAATTATATAGTTTTATTCAGGTCTATCGCTAAGAGTTTAATATTCTGTTTTATTCACATATCATAGTCTCTAATGAAGAATGTATCATTTATTTTGTTTCATTTATTTTCCTCACATTAATTATTCAGTGTTTTTAATTATATTCACAAAGCAATAGTTATGACTATGAGCATTGTCAGTTCATTGTCACACTTACTCGATAAGGTGCTGTTTGAGTAAGTTATCTTCCCCTTTAAGGTAACATGAAAACAAACTTTTTCTCGGTACCTGACCGGTTTAGGCTGTTAGATTTGATTTAATTAAAGAACTACATGTGTCCAAAAAATTAATCAAAGGCTGTTGGAGTGATGCATAGTTATAAGTTTGATAGAAGTAATGGTACATATGAAATCAGCAGAGGTTGTGTTGACTATTTTGATTAGTCTGTCAGCAACTTAATAGACCAATGAAAAAATCTCTCATAATTGCTTAATGCAATCCAGTGTGAATAATGGTCTTTACAATGGGTTCAGCCTTCAGGAATATGTTTTTACTCTGCATGTATTTTATTTGATATTTAAGTTCACCATGTGCTTTGTGGACATATTTTTTGTTGAGGATTATTATATATATTAAATGTTCGAACTACTGTCTGTGATATTCCAAAAATAATTTGATGTATTTAACCGTCCATGTATTTTTGTCCTCATTAATTTATTTTATTTTGTAAAACACTATTAGTATAATAATGAAATACATGTAGACTGTTTATATTATAAGAACAGACAAATTGTATATGTAGTAGCATCTTTTAATAAATACTAGATGACAAAATATCTATAAATTTGTTTTAGAAAATGATAGGTAACTGGTTATGAATATAATAGCTTTACTGTGAAGTCCCCACTCAAGAGACGTAACTCTTACAGTAATTGAAGAAAATCATTAGCTTTCTACCACAGATTTGCATAACAATTCTATAAAGATCAAATGATTGTATAAACCAACAATCCTATTTGTCAAGTTTCCTCCACCAGCGTCATTCAAGACTTCATGATAGATTTTCTATTTATGCTCAGGGAAAGACATCTATGGGAGGGAAAGGAATGGGTTTTGTCGTTTTGAGACTAAAATATATGGTGTGCAATGTATTGAAAGAGAAGTTTGCTCAGACAGCAGCTTTGAAGCCTGGAAAATCAAGTGAATGACAATGGACAGAACAAGCCGAGAACATGTTTTTTTTACAACTGCTCACATGTGATGTGATAATAAAAATAAATATTCAACCAGAAAAACTAATGATGATGACATTTTATTTAATAAGTTCTAATATCTTCATACATACTATTCATTCATACTCAAATATATACTTGTTTTTATTATAATTTTTTTAAATATTAAAATATTTAGAGAATTACACCTCCTCCAGACCACTCCATCCTCTGGAAGAAAAAAAATACATACAAGACTTAAATGGAAAGTTATATTTATCCAATAAAGATTTCAGCAGAGATTACACCAATACATATTACAATTTTAAAAGACAAGACGAACATACCAGTAGATAGAGAAGAAACATCCCTATTTCCATCTACTGTAAATATAGAGAATTTAATGACAATATTAATTACCTCTTGAGGTTGAACAAAGGCTAACCAATCAGATGTATGTGTTGGTAGTAAACCCATCACATGACATTTATAAACAGCCATCGCTAAACAAAACACATTACCCAGTATAAAAACTAGCTTCTGAAATGGTGCTTGTTCACCTTCAATATCTTTAAAAGCTAAAATGAAATGTTAAATCAATTATTATAGAAAACAGTTTTCACCTTGCTTCATTACTAGTTTACTTTCAATAGCAATATCATTAAAACAAAGTTCATAGACCTTATGCTGTGTATCATTACTAACCACTGCCCAAAATGACTAAAATAGCATTACGGTCTGGATAATTGTACTAACTGCAAGACTACATGTCCTCTGATGTCTGGATTGTTAAGAATCAGGGGCCAATTTACTTTTGATACACCTATCGACACAGGATCACGTGGCTAAGTGGGTAAGATGCTGGCTCGCTAGCCTGGAGGTCGGGTGTTCGATCCCGACATTGGCCGAGAAAAATCATCCAGATTTTCCGGCGTGGTTTCCCCTTGTCAGTGATGCAGGACACGGGGCCTGACAAGGACAGCTGTCTAGTCGTTCGGATGGGACGAAAAACTGAGGTCCTGTGTACACATTAGCATGCACGTAAAAGATCCCTTGGCAGTTGGAATTCGATATAAGAGTAGGCCGTGGTGCCGCTGCCCGGGCAAAATTTCCCTCATAGCACACTGTATGGCGTATGCCCGTCTTCATTCGCCCAGGTTAGGAGCAGAACAGTGTAGGACGTTAAACCCAATTTCATTTCATTTCACCTATCGACACTATATACTGGTTTTAGTAATGAAAGGCTGTGCACCATGGGTAAGCCAAGATTTGTGCTTGCCAATTTTAACTGAATTTACATCTCACATTATTTCAAATATAAACCAAGCAATATGAATATTGGGTTCATTTGAAATGAATATAGTTAGAATAGATTTAAATATGTTCCAGTACTTACTTTTTTGTAAAGCCAGTATGGCGTAGATTGGTCGTATAAACATCATACCAACCATCATTATAGGAAATATAGATATAGAATTACCAGCCATCCACATAATAAACATATTCATAGGAACTTGTTTTACTGGTGCTAGAGCTATATCCCATGATCGCTATAAACATAACATACATATTCATCATTAATAAAAAAAATACTAGGATTGATCATCAATACTATAAAACAATAATTAACGTGACCAAGAAATTATCGCCAAACATACCTCTTAATACAATCAAATAATCGACAGTGGTTATTCAATATTATTGATAACACAACCATTGTATTTATCTGATGAGTAGTGTTAAAGAGTAACGTAAAATAACGCTGGTGGTCACATTCATTTTTAAGTACACAATATATCGACCCCCTTCAGATTACATTAAGGATACATTATGGGAGATTCGATAACGATTTGGCAATTCTCACTTTAATAATTAAAAACTAGATAACTACAGGCAATTTGCTGAAAATTTCATTCAAATTGATCCACTATGAACCGAGAACTAAGCGAATCAAATTTCTGCGTAGCCTCGGTCATCATTACTAAAGTCAGTACGATAAACAGCATAGTCTCGATTATCCATTTAATCGTTTAATGGAGAAGGAAAGTTATGCAGTAAATCGGCTCAAAATCCACTTAAGATCGCAAGCTAGCGTTGCCATCTAGAGTTGATTATGGCCTGGATAGGTTAATTAATGTCTAATTATTAATTTAGATAACATTTCAGGCCTAAAGAAAGACCTGCAATAGACAGATTTAGCTCTTGCATAATGCTTGTTTAATTTAATGATACATTTATACAAATATACACATCATTATCAATTTACACTGAATTAATATCAGGGGCATTAGTTCATCATCTTACAGAATATTTCAAATATCATGGTTTTTCTAACTTTTTAAGACAGATTTTAGCTCATTTTTAAGATGTGGTAATGTGTTTGAATACTACTAGATTAGTGAGGTATGTATATTTTATTGTAGTTTAGTTTTTATTATTAAATTAATGTACCTTAACAATAAGGTTGGGATCAACATCTTTTGTTCTATCAGAAACCACAGAACCTTCCATAAAGCCAACCGGTGAAACAATATCACTTGATGCTACAACAGATCGTAATCTGAAATAAAACAATAACAAAACAACCATCAGTAATCTGATATGATATGATTAAAGGATGTACCATCAGGTGAGACAGACAGAAGCTAGTTAACTCATCCACGGGATAACTCGAGCGCCGAAAGATTGTTTGCCTTCTTGCATCATGCATGCTGTCAGCCAATAGTTACTATAAATTGTTTTGTTGGCTTTGCAGAGAACTATATAGACAAGTATTTTAATCAAAGACTATCGTGTCTTGCCTGTCTATATTTACCACTTGTCATAGGCGTACAGGGAAATTTTTGACTGGGGGGGGGGGTGGGGGTGATGGTTGGTGCCCAAAAAATTTAGTTAGGTTCTTAGTATGTTACATAATAATAATAAATTTGCTCTTAAATTGAACACATTCAAGAAAACAATTTTTTTTTTATACAATTTTTACAAAGTACAATTGTGTGCCTAAATTTTCCTAGCATTCAGTGCCCAAAATGGGGGGGGGGATGGACGCCCCCCCCCCCCCAGCTCGTACGCCTATGCCAGTTGTCGCAACTTTATCTATATACGCCTTTGGACGCATCATAGAAACAGTTCTTTGAGATGCGTAATCTTGCTTTGACAATATGTGGTCAGTTGGCGTGTACATGGGTTACATGTAGACAGGCAAGACACGATGGTGAAGCCAGAAATTTCATATGACGTCATGAAAATATGACGTCAAGGTCGTCAAGTGTACAAAGATGCCGTCTTGGGTCCCAAGTACCTACGCACTATCTATTTATATGCCCTATTATATTGTTGTCTCAAAGTTGGCTTCATCCACATACAGTTTGAGGATAGATATGTCATAGATTTCCCCGAAAAAGAGTCTATAGGAGATAAAACAAAAAATTTTTTAATGAAAAGTATAGCTGAACATACTATTATTATCATTATTATACATTAAAAAGCGCACATTATTGTTATATAGCCTAATTCATAAGAAAAGAAAATAAAAGTTGCACCAGATAAAAGTACTATTAAAGATATTTAACTTAACTTAAATACGCTTTTAAAAATCAGATTCATCTGAACAAATCTGAATAGGCTAAATGGAACAATAGAGCAAGTTCACCTTGATGTTGACAAATACATAAGACTATATGAAATAAGATACTTTTATGATATGATTCAACCGATAGGTTCTATATATGCAACAATGAGGGATTAATATCTACATTCAAGTTTTTAAGGTTTTTTTAATGTTATATTACCAAATTTTTTTGATTGATCTTTGTCAAATTTGACAGGCTGATGTCCCCCGCCGAAATCCCTAAATAAATAGATGACACATATTAATTAATCACACATTTATATTTTTCAAAAGTATCAAGCAATCAAACTATAAACTAAGTTTCATCACTCTCTACCAGATAGAATCAAGATTATCTTGTCCCAAAGCATCGACCAATGAAATTGATTAGCTCTGCTTAGCTTCAGCTCGAAATGTTAATCATTGAACTCAGTCAAGACATTCACCTAATGAACATCTACATCAAGTTTAAACATTCTACCTAGCCTAAGCAGAAAATTCTCACCATTAAACTTAGTCAAGGTAATGATATAATGAATCTATATTCAGAGTTTCATCGCTCTCACTTCATTATAACCAAAGTTATCGTGCCCCAAAGCATCAACCAATCAGATTGCTTACATGTACATCTCTGCTCACCATAAGCAGACAATGTTCATCATCGAACTCCATCAAGGCATTCACCTAATGAATGCCTACACCAAGGAGAGTTATTGTGTTCAAATTGCTTATCACTCTGCTTACCCTCAGCAGAAAATGTTCATTATCGAACTTAGTCAAGGTATTGATGTAATGAAAGTATACACCAAGTTTCATCACTCTTGCTTAATTAGAATTAAAGTTATCGTGTCCCAAAGCATCAACAAATGTAATATTAATATGGTGGCTCTTGGTCCATATATTTAAATCTAGGTTAGTAACTGTTGACCATTCATGTGAAACAGTAGCCTTGGTTATCAAGGTAATATCAATGATCAATGACTAACATATTGACTGAGTTAGATATGGCAAGTATGTTTAGACCATTCATGTGATACAGTAACCGTGGTTATCAAGGAAATGTCGCTGATTAATGACTAACCTATTAACTGAGTTAGATAGGGTCCCATTAACTTAATTAGAGTGATTATGACTAATAGAGGTTGATTGCATTGGAATGTCTCTGTTCCCTTTATAAGAGCAGAGGTTGTATCATAGTACCAATACCGGACTGCCAACCAAAGTATTCTCACCTGCAGACAATTTAAATTTCGGTGTACGATTGATGTATAACTTTGTATACAATAAAAAGCTGTATCTCTAAGTATCAGAAGAACCTGTTGTTGTTGTTTAAGCCTCTGTGTTACACAAATCAAATTGCTCATCTCTACTTACCCTAAGCAGAAAATGCTCATCTTCATACTCCACCAAGGCAATGGCCTAATAAACACATACACCAAGTTTGAACATTCTAACTCAATTAGAAGGAGAGTTATTATGTTCCAAAGTCTCAGCCAATCAAATTGCTCAAATTGCTTACCCTAAGCAGAAAATGCTCATCTTCGAACATTATCAAGGCATTTACATGTACCTAATAAACTCCTACACCAAGTTTGAACATTCTAGCTCAATAGAAGGAGAGTTATTATGTTCCAAAGTCTCAGCCAATCAAATTGCTTATCGCTCTGCTTACCCTGTGCAGAAAATGCTCATTATCGAACTTAGTCAAGGTATTGATGTAATGAAACTATACATGTACATCAAGTTTCATCACTCCCACTTAATTAGAACTACAGTTATTGTGTCCCAAAGCATCAACCAATCAAATTGCTTATCTCTGCTTATCCTAAGCAGAAAATGCTCATCTTCTGAACTTCATCAAGGCATTGACCTAATAAACACCTACACCATGTTTGAACATTCTAGCTCAATTAGAAAGAGAGTTATAGTGTCCCAAAAAGTGTGACGGATGGACGGACGGACGGACAGGCAGACGAACCCATTTTAATAGTCCCCACTACTGAAAGACACTGATTACGGGATATCACTCTCTGAAAATTCCTGAAGAACTCTGCATTGAATTATGTTAATTACATCCTTTTTTCTGTGGCCGAATTCAGACGATTTTGTGTATGATATTGTCTGACATGCTTAGGATAAATTGTAGCCCGTAAAACGTTACACCAAGAAAAAAATAAACGTAAGTAAAGTTATATGACGCCATGACGTCATAGATTTTATGGCGTCATAGATGGGACCCACAAAATGGCACCTGTAAATGACTTGTCGTAACTTTCCCTATACAGAGTCTTGGATGTGTCTAATCCAATGACGTCACAAATTTTTGACGTCAAAGAAAGTATTTCTCACAATTTCTTGTTCTTTTTTGGAAACGAAATTAATCATACACTTTAACCTAGATCTAAATTAGAATCAATTTCGACTGGTGAAACGAAATTATTTAACATTTTTTGTATAACTTTAGAAACTTTATTATGAAAGTTTTATATCTGACAACAATCATATCCGCTTCGCTCTACTCAGGCAATGCCTGTACTACTACTGTTAGTATAGTACTACTAATAATAAATATGGTCGAGCTGGAGTGGACCCCATTTTATAATGGTAAATATAAGAAAAACATACAAGATTATTGTTTAAAATAACTAGTACGTTGTAACTGGTTTGAAGTAGTATCTAAATAATCTGCTAAATCCTGAAATTGAAGGAACAAACCTGCCAGAACCAGCAAAATCAATAGACCACTTGTGTTTCTTACTTCGGGCAGCCATTTTGGATGTAGATTGAAGACTCGGTTATCAACCTTAAAATATCATGAGACATACCATGACTTTTTAATCGAGACAAACATTATAACAGCAAACGCAACTTCCAAATTGAAAAGTTCTTAAAAATAATTATCTCCCTTAATAATCAGCTATCTATTGGGATTAGGGAATGCTTCCACGGGGAAAAATAAATTTTATTGTGACTGGAAAATTTAATAATTAGATTAGAATCCACAGCTTAGTATTTTCCAAACAGTATGACACACTGATCCGCAGTGAATATTCGCTTGGCCGCTATGTCGCATTAGGTCTGTAAAACAGATTGACAGTATGAGTGGACTATTTTCACACTGATCAGCAGTGAATATATCACTGAGAGGGATGACATCGATGAGGGTTAATGAGCTCATAATATTTATTAACTTATTTCCGTCTGCAAATTAAATTCTAGAACATTTTTTGTATTTTTTTTTTTTTTTTTTTGAATTAATAGAAAGATAAATAAAGGTGTTTGAAGTATACCTGGAAAAAAAGATATTTCCTGTTTAGTGTAAATGAGTATATAAAATGATTAAAAGGCACCATTCTGCATTTGCCGGTATATATAGAAATATTGCACGCGCCATGTGATGTGACGTCACACGTAGAATGCATTATGTATTTTATATAGGTCATTCATCTTTCACAGAGCTATAAGAAGAGGGCCTTCGCACTGCCTCTAGGAAACAGATTGGACATCATGGACCTTAATTAATTATAATACATGTACTAAACTTAGGCTGTCTGCCTACAGTTAGCTCCGCTTGAGAACAGAAACTAAGTTGACCGACATACTGTACTTCGAGAATTTTGTTAAGTATTTATTCTGCTTCCATTTAATACAATTGAAAAAAATATTTAGTCTTTGTCACTTTGTGTGTATCACAGTTGTGAAGCTGGGTAGAACCGCATTACAAATCAGTATACTAATTTAGGGATATGGCGGTCATTTAGGACAGAGATCTATTCTCGAAGTATGAAGTAGATGAATCTCTGTGTGTCGAAGTGCAGAATAACACATATATGTGAGTCTTTAATTTTATACACACCTTTCAATAATTCATAGAAAGGATGTTGATTGAATAAGCCGTTAAACAAAATTGAATGAAATGGGGTTTAACTTCCTATTTTTCTGCTCCAACCGGGATAATGAAGACGGGTATACATCAAGCAGTGTTTTATGAGGTGAATTTTTGCCCGGGCATCAAAGGATGCATGGGATTTTTGTACAATCCGAATGACTATACATCGTTTCTTGCCAGGCCGTCCAACCTGCACCACGGATAAATCGTTAAACAATGTATAATGTAGAGTATGTCAGGGACGAAATCTCCGTGAACTTTCGTAAAACCCACTTCCATCAACCCTGCTATCAAATTTGGTGGTTGTAATTCTAGAATGCGGAGCACGTTTGTTGAATCATTTGCTATGCAAGTCGTTCTAGTAAGACATTATTTTCCTAGTCTTGAAGTGAGCCTCGGTGGCTCAGTGAGTAAGATGTTGACTCGCTAACCTGTAGGTCCCGTGTTCAATCCCGGTGTTGGCCAAGAAAGTTTATGGGGATTTTCCAGCGTGCCCCCCCCCCCTCTTGTCTGTGATGAAGGACAGAAGATCTGGCAAGGGACAACGCATAGCCGTTGGGATGGGACGAAAAACCAAGATCTCGTGGACACATTGGTGTGCACGTAAAAGAATGCTTGATAGTTGGAATTCGAAATCAGAATGGCCATAGTGCCGCTGTCCGGGCAAAATTCCCTTATAGCACACCGTATGACGCATGTTCAGTCGGCGCAGAACAGCAGGACGTAAGGTTGCACTTAATTTCATTTATTTTTGAATTCTAAAATAATGTGATAAATTTCGATAAATAGGCGGTAAAGTGCCACTGCCCTGACAAAATTCATCTATCATTATACTATATAGTCACCAAAGAATATAAAAAATACCCCGCGCTAGTCTAAAAAAAAAACCCAACAACCCAAAACACAGTAATTGACGTATAATGATGATAAGACATGAAGGTTTTTCACTCCACTCCCCAACAGGCTTGTGTTGTACTTAATAATTTGATTTTCGTGTGATATGTATGCAACCATAGATTAATATTCTTTCTTTATAAAAACCCACAAAAGACTAAAATACTGTTTTTATTGTAGGATGAAAAATTTGTACAATTGTTTTTATTAAATAAAATTAGTTTATCTATTGTGTATATTTATGAACTTACTTTCATACGGACATTGACCTTTACAGTGATACGTAATTATCTACATATATACATGTAACTTAACATATGTGTTATCATTTCTATTGCGTGTCTATTTCATTTCACCCCCGAGCAACTGAAAGTGTATTCGACAACAGAATTGCGTTCTTGACTGTTAAATAACTATATAGATACAAAATTAGACTTTATTTTACGATTAATCATTCCTTTTTATTGATCCATACTCTGCGAAAACTCGCGAAGCGCACGCTCTGTGGTAACAGATGTTAGCGCGTGGCACGGTGGATATTGAAGGATAGACATAAAATAGCCGATATTGAAAACTCCACAAGGACTTTGTAGAACTTTGGAAGTAATTTACAACATAAAAATTAGTTTTAGCTGTCGACAATTTAAAAAAAAAAAAAACAAGAGGTAAGAAATCATTAATTTGAATAATTTTGAAGAATGGAAATGTATGCGTATATTTGCCAAGTCATGTTGTAGCAAGCCGATACCATATGTATGCCTTGGTTGATGGGTACATATACACATATATCCATTTTAATTACTTTATTGTGTGCTATCTGTTTATGAATTATACATATATGCATGTATGTCACATAATATATAAAAGAACTAAATATAATATAAAATAAATTGTCTACGCAGTTTTCAACCAAAATCGATATCTAGGAATCAATTTAACAAATACACATGTATGTATAAAATTTCACTAAGAATGTTATTATATGACACATATACTATAATCTAACACCTTCAGAAAAATCAATAGTTCAAGAATGTCAAATCTTAGACTAGTCTGGTTCACCGGTTTACATAAATATTCCATAAGCTGTATTTATGCTTTAACGGGAGAATAAATATGAAGATTTAAAATACCTAATAACATGTGAGGTTATTGTCATGTTAAATCCTTTAAAACGAATCTGCATTAACAATAAGTGATAACTGTAATTCTGAGTAGATCACATCGAGTATGGTTTTAGTGGGTCTATCATTTATTTGGTGGGAGAGAGAGAGAAATGGGGTTTAACGTCCACTCGACACAAACTAGGTCATTTCGGGACTAACACATGGTTCAATTTTATTTCAATAATTCGCTTGCGCGTAGGGGTCTTTAGCAGTGGGAGGAAACTGGAGGACCCGGAGAAAACCCACGAGGTTGGACAGGCGACCCTACTCCTTGTCACGTACAACCGTGGATTCGAAACCCCGCCAGTTAACTCAATGACAGACCGTATGATACAGCGCAGCGCGCACGTGCTAACCATTCGGCCATCCAACCCCCCTTATTTGGTGGGAATTAATATAGAAGCTTTTATATTTGGTTACTAGATTGGGCTGTATACTTACAGAGAGAAAACTAGCAACCATGTAATAGGGTATTGTACTGTAAATATACATTGCTGGGATAGAAATATTTATTCATGTTTTAGCTGAAGGGGATGTGATCATAACGTATTATTAATAGTTTGTTTAATGTCGAATGAAATGTATTTGTGCTAGGTCAAACATGAATAATGTCAATTATTGCTAAACTGACTGTGGCGAAGCATCGAGTTGTTGGCATATATTTACACTGAATTAACTTCATTAAAAGCTTTTTACAATAAAGTAGACAATCATATTATGTGTGTCTAATAGATGAAATAGATATAAAACTTGAGTCAAGAGCTACTATCATAAACAATTGAAATCAATTTATACACGGTGGATCCGAACTATTCTATTAAATAGTGGAGGCTCCCGTATTCTAAGAATGGTGACATTGTATACAAAAAAGTGTCGGCGTATGACACGCACTCTATATCTAATCCACTAAAGATCAAATGAATTGGGGTCCAAGTGCTAATAAGGACAGGTATATGGTATATATTGTGCTATTGGGTAAACGTCTGCTTCAATTTTCAACTATCAGGACATCATGGGTAAGGCGCTGGCTCGCTAGCCTGGAGGTCGGGTCTTCGATCCCTGCATTGGCCGGGAAAGTTCATCTCGATTTTCCGGCGTGGTTTCCCCTTGTCAGTGATGCAGAACGGAGGGCCTGACAAGGACAGCTGCCTAGTCGTTCGGATGGGACGAAAAACCGAGGTCCCGTGTACACATTGGCGTGCACGTAAAAGATCTCTTGGCAGTTGGAATTCGATATAAGAGTAGGCCGTAGCGCCGCTGCCCAGGCAAAATTTCCCTCATAGCACACTGTATGGCGTATGCCCGTCTTCATTAGCCCAGGTTAGGAGCAGAACAGTAGGACGTTAAACCCCATTTCATTTCATATCAGGACATCATTAATGTTCTGTTTGTGGTACACATCTAGTTGTTCGCTTTTTTACCCGATCCGAACTACTATACGCTATTCCTTGCCACCACCCCCACCCCCCTTCTACACCAAGTGACCTTCATGTGAGCGAGCAAGCAGCTTATTCACCGAGCCACCGCGGTTCCTAAAATTGTATGTAACGTCCCTCCACTATACGTCTATGGTCTTTATAGCTATATACATTTAATTCAATTTGTATATTACCACACACCACGATCATTTACAGACTTTAATTAAAGGAGCTAAATCGCTAATTTTTTGGACCTAGAAATTGACACAAGTGGGTCGCAACGCATATAATGATGTAATATGGATGTATATAAACTGATTTACATTCAATCGTTTCCGTTTATACTCTAATTTCAAATCAGTTATGTTCCGCGAAATACACCAGAAGTCTCGATCGAATGGCAATGTCTAGGGTCTGGTTATTCCAATGTACACCGATAGTATTTATTGCGCATGCTCTCCAGATAAGAATCTGATATGGTGTCACCATTTGACATGACTTGTGGGATATGTCTAGCCTCGTTCTTCAAGTCCATTGTTACAAATGGCGCTGAAACGCATTGTGGTACACGATTCGTGTACCAATGGCAAAATGTTTATTTTGTCTTAAATATTGGATATCAGGTGCCCATCTTTCACCGGTATGATCACAACATTAATGTTGATTTAAATTGACAAATAATTTGTGCTTTCAATGTCAAAGATTTTGGATGATACTGAGTTTGTATGTATATTATTATGATCATTAGATCAACTGACTATGGTATTGTATGTATATTCATCACTAAGCTGGGTGGGCGCGACTGTGGCTCAGTAGGTAGTAGGTACAATGTTGGCTGGCTTACCTGCACTTCCCGTGTTCGATCCCTCTATAACTGTGAAAGTTCATCGGGGTTTTACGGCATGGTGCAGGACATAAGGGGCTGGTGAGGAACGAAAAGGGGGTTCCATGTACACATTGGTGTGCACGTAAAAGAGCATCTGGCAATTGGAATTCGATGGAAGAGTAGGCCGTAGCGCCTGTATGGCGTTTGCCCGCCTTCATTGACACAGTCGGAGCAGAACAGATGGACGTTAAACCCAATTCCACTTCTTTTCGATTTCACTTTGCTGGGTCGGTATCTTTAGTAACTAAATATTATTTATTATATTAATTTATATTATTTTCATAAAATTGGTAATGGGTCTCTGAACAAATAATGTCAGAGATGCGGGCGCCAAAAGTATATTTGTCCCCGTGCTACCATCAGAAGCTCTACGATAAATGATGGAATTATTAATCTGGGGAAAGCAGACAGGCCACAGTTTCCAAGCTGACAATGTATAGTGAGTGTCTGGATAACCATATCATATACATGTAGATTATTATCTGCACCAACTGGGCTAATGAAAACGGATCAACACCATTTCTAACCGTCGGGGGAACTATAGCCTTCTGCTAATGGTATATACACGAAGCCTCTTTTTTCGCCCCATCCAAAGAGATTGTCCTTGCTCCCAGTCCAGCACGACGGATAAGGAGAACCCGTGCTGGAATATCCCGATGAATTTTTTCGGCCAACTTCGGGATCTGGTTAGTGAGCCAGCGCCTTACCCACCGAACCACCATGGCTCCGATATAATTGCTACTTCGCCCACTTTAAACATACATTATGCAAGAGCTAAATCTGCCATTTGCAGGTCTTTCTTTAGGCCTGAAATGTTATATAAACCATTAATTAGACATTTATTAACAAAACAAGACCATAATCAACTCTCGATGGCATCGAATACTCGAGATTTTAACTCGATTAGAACGGTTCGCCATTTAAAAATTTAATTTAAAAATGGGAAAGCGAGGCTAAGTATCGAATATACCATTCCCTGGTTACCACTATGCTCATTGCACACATCTTGTAAAAACTATAAACAGTGATAACTTGGCTCAGAATGAAGTAATTTGAATGAAATTTTCAATATTTTCGTTTTACATTATCTTTTTTTGAGCTATTATAGCAAGAATGATTAGCTCTTTATCTAAATCTTACATAATGTATCTTTAAATACATCCGCTCCATGGGGTCCACAGACAATAGAACCGAATAAAACTCTTACATTATATTGTCTAGTATACTACAGTAGATTTTTATTTTCCATTTATTGTCTTTACACTTATACACTGATTCACATACCTTTGTTCTATTTCAGTGATTGTCCAGTTTTTTAACAGTCTAATTATACATTACACATATCTTAGTTTTCAGTACTTGTCCAGTTGTTTACAGTCTGATTTTACATTTTACATTTCCCACGTTCAGCTTTATAGTCTAATAATAGGTTTTATCCTTCATGATTTACAGCTTAATGAATTAATATCGGTTTCCCCTGTCCAGTTTCATAATCTAATAATAGTATTAAACTCAGTAATTGTGTATCCATAAAGTATTGAATACATAATAGGGCTGGACTGTCGTGCCATCGTATTGTTTACTTACATAATATTACAACAGCTTTTCGATGCGATATCATATGCTCGTTGGTAAACTATTTCAGCATTGGGACGATCTCGCCATTGACCCTGGACCATGTCATAAACCAGATCTTGGAAAGCTGTTTTGTCACATGGAATCTGTATATATCTCCTGACATAAGCCCGCTTCTCGTCTTCTGTGGCATCAGATATTTGTTTCTTGGCCGTGACTGCAGAGCCGATGTATGGCGCCAAAAGCTGCTTTCCCCCAATCCAGTTAATAGTGGTCCCAGCAAACAGTGCCATTATCAGACATCCCAGGCTAAAAATATCACTCTTCATTGTGACATTATCGTGATATACCTCTGGTGCTGTGTAGAAAGGCGGCCCTTTAGGACTATACTGGAAGTCGTAGTAGGGTGATTGGTAATTGAAAGCTTCCCATACTCTTGACAACCCAAAATCTGCTATTTTGATAACAAATGTATTAAAAATAATCCCATTATTGTGTATCATTATATTATCTGGCTTTATATCACGGTGCACGATTTTGTTGGCATGAAGATATCTCACGCCTTTAGCCAACTGGTTGGCGAAATCCAACCTAGTTGAAGGGAATGTGGATGGATATCGCAATATATAACTATTCAAATCGCCGCTATTACAAAACTCTAGTACTATGAAAACACAATCGTTCGCATCGAAGCTGTCGATAAATCGAACTACATTGTCGTTTCGTAGATGCTTCAGTGACGCCACTTCCTTCTCTATTTTGTCACGTTCTTCTCTTAATCCAATTGGTATCTTTTTGATAGCGTAGGTGGTGCCATTTTTTCGTCCCTTGTAAACTTCACCAAATGCACCTGCGCCAAGTCTTTCTCTTAATTCGTAACCACGAACACTGAATAAAAATAGTCAAACAATATTTCTTCAGTATAAAATCGACGCCAAATGGTTACGTGTAAGACATTGCGTAATATATAGATATAGCATTCAGTGTTTCAATAATATCTTTGCCCGACATGCGTGAAAACTAATAATATCTTACCTTTGTTCCCCTCTGCCCATTATTATATCAATCTTTGTTATAAAAGCTCGGCACGTCTTGTACCGCTATAGTCTGGGTAAAATAAAAATAATGTCAATTTGGGCTGAATTATATTTCCACGAATGACGAAACAGAATTTCCATTCTCCTAAAATCGGTTTTCCCCAAAAATGTGTGACTGGCTGCACTCCACTATAAATAGACTGTCGGTATGCAATTGTACGAAAAACATATGTAAGTGGATGAGTTATTGTGCTATAAATAACGAGACGAATCGGCCTAATTTTCATGAAATATGGAATAAGACATTCCATTTTATTGTACATTATGTAATACTTGCTGTAATTTAATATTTATTTTGTGTCTAATTGACGGGCAACATATTTTATTTTTACATTAAACAAAGTGATATTTATTCGATCAGTGTTTCAATAATATCTTTGCCCGACATACATGTAAACTAATAATGTCTTACCTTTGTTCACCGCTTCCCATTTTATATCAATCTTTGTTATAAAAGCTCCGCAAGTCTTGTACCGCTAAAGTCTGGGTAAAATAAAAATAATGTCAATTTGGGCTGAATTATATTTCCACGAAACGGAATTTCCCTTCTCCTAAAATCGGTTTTCCCCAAAAAATGTCTGACTGGCTGCACTCCACTATAAATAGACTGTCGGTATGCAATTGTACGAAAAACATATGTTATTTATATTTCTATACTTTTACTAGAATAATAAAGAGTTGGACATTTTTTTTCATAGTAAAATATTGACTCGATTCAGCTCTGTGTAATACTAATAATAGTTAGTAATTTCAGTGGCCTGTAGCCTAAAAATAATAAACCAGTTATTTACAACAAAAAAAGAATTCCAATGCTTTAAAGCTTAGGCTCTAAAATAGTGCATTCTACGTTTCATAAAAATGGCTTAATTGGAAATTTTAGTGTTCACATTTTTATTTATATATATATATATATATATATATATAGAGAGAGAGAGAGAGAGAGAGAGAGAGAGAGGGAGGGAGAAATGGGGTTTTACGTCCACACGACACAAACTAGGTCATTTCGGGACTAACATATGGTTTTAATCTTATTTCAATTATTCGCTTGCGCGTAGGGGTCTTTAGCAGTTGAGGATACCGGAGAACCCGGAGTAAACCCATGAGGTTGGGCAGGCGACCCTACTCCTTGCCACGTACAACAGGGGATTCGAAACCACACCAGTTGACTCAAAGACAGGTCGTATGATACAGCACGCACGTGCTAACCATTCGGCCATCCAACCCCCCCTTTTATATAAAGGGCTTAAAGACAGATTTTCTTTTTAAAAAAAAAACAAATCCAAAAAACTACTTTTAAGTTATGAACATATTTTATTTGTGTGTGTGGGTCGGGGGGGGGGGGGCGGTCTTTAAACCCAATAGTTGCATTAGCATTAAAAGTATTTCAAAAGAAAAAAAGTTGTGATATTAGGATTATATCAGAGGTTTGATTGCATGAGCCGAAGCGAGAGCAGGTAAAATCGAGTCTTCAAAAGGCATTGCATTCCTGTTCTTTTTTATTATATATTGTCTGGTACGAAATGGTGTATGCATATATATATACGGACAGAAGGTCAGATTCCTGTGATTATATACACATTTGTCATTCTTTTGCCTTTTATAAACCAAATTGATTCATTAAAATCATTTTAAAAAACCCCAACAAAACTCTCAATATTTATTAAACATTGGACAGAATTATCCATTCCTAATACCTCATTCAATGTTTTGATATCTGTTGATCGTATTGGTTCATTCTATATGTTGATAAGCATCAAATATAATTTTATACAAATAATGAATAACATTGTTTTAAAGATGCGTTAGTCCCAAAATGACCTAGTTTGTGTCGAGTGGATCTTAAACCCATCTCTCTCTCTCTCTTTCTCTCTCTCTCTCATTAGTGAAGATGTGGTAATAATAGTACTAGAAATGAAAACAAACCGAGGTCCCGTGTACACATTAGCGTGCACGTAAAAGATCCCTTGGCAGTTGGAATTCGATATAAGAGTAGGTCGCACACTGTATGGCGTATGCCTGTCTTCATTAGCCCAGTTTAGGAGCAGAACAGTGGGACGTTCTACTTTTTTATGTATTTTGTATAATATAGATGTATAAAAATCCCCGCTTCATAACATTTCGGGTGATACAAAAATTATCCGTCTATATATAATGCACTAAATTCATTATAATTACTTGAAAAATAACTCATATTTATGTTATCCAAAAATTAAATAATTTATTATGTTAACATTATCCTTCCATTTATTATGAACTAATTTCTCTATAATCCCTTGGAATATCCATAAATTAAATAATTTATTATGTTAAAATTATTAGTCCTTAAACACTAAATTCTTTTTAATTAGGTGAAAATTCACTCTTATTTTTATATCCAAAAGTTTATTATGTTAAAACGATCCGTCCATATATTATACACTAAATTCTTTTTAATTGTTTGAAAAATCACTCATAGTTATATATTTTTATCCAAAAATTAAATAATTTATTATGTTAAAATTATTCCAGAAATCATAAACTAAATTATTTTTAATTGGTTGAAAAATCACTTTCATATTTATATCCAAAAATTAATTTATTATTAGGCTTATGTTAAAATTATCAATCTTTTCATTATTCATTAATTTTTTTATAATTTTCAAGATTTTATTTTAGTCTTCAGACGTGAAAGGTTGCCCATTTCGGTCTTTCATTACTTTATTATGAATCCATATTTAGCCATCTACAATTGTATCATTTGTTAAATAAACTGAAGATTCAAGAACCGTACATATTCATTCTTGATTAAAATTTCCTATTGCGAATTTAAACCAAGTCTAATTAGGTCTTATTATCGAGAGCGTTCCCATGTGTTGACATTAGAAACCAGTTGACCTACTTACTTTGACCCACTGCCGGAAGTCAACACTGATTGGCCATGGCGTCTTGCATCATTCAGTGGGAGCGCGCGGTCTAATTAGTATAGACGTCATTGCTGCGCTCCACTATAAATAGACTGTCGGTACGAAAGCGTATTAATGCCATTACGAAAAACAAATATGTAGACAATAATAATATGTGTTATTTTGCTATAACGCGACGAATCGGCTTATTCCATTTTATTGTACATTATGTAATACTTGCTGTAATTTAATTTTTATTTTGTGACTAATTGACGGCAACATATTTTATTTTTACATTGAACAAAGTGATATTTAGAAGATTAAAACGCAAGTTACGGGATATATAAAACCATATCATCAAATATAATTTAACTTCCTTAAATATCTTGCGAGTTTCTATATTATCTGGACCTTCCAAGTTTGCCTTGGAGTCTCTCGAAGATACATTGTTTTGGTAATAAATATATATATTTTTTTTTACAGTTTTCGTTCTTGATAATGTCACGCTAAATATTTTTTATTTTATTTTGTGCCCCTAACCGGATCATTTCCAGACTTAAAATTCACTAAATGTAAATCAATAATACATGGATGAGTATTTTTTGATTGTCGTCCCCCGAGAATGTTATTCCTAACATTAATTCACCTACATATTATATAAAGGATCCGGCGTATTGTCCCTTTAAATTTTACAGTATCTAAAGCGGAGCTTATGTCTACTTTGCAACTCAAAGCAACTAGTTGCAGCCAGTTGCAAGTGTGTTTATGTCGATCTCTGTCTAATAATCAGTCTCTATACTATACGGGGCTGGAACTAAAAGTAGGAACAACTGGTAAGGCTCTAATAAGTTTATCTCATTAAATATAAGCAAAATATTAAAAAATATATAATACATCAAATATAAATGAAAATGAAATAATAATTGAAATAATAATTATACGTTTGCAATATGAAATATAGAAACTATTTACGTTTGAACTATGAAATAAAAAACTATTTACCGGAGTTATCAAAAAAGTAGAAACTGCAACCTGTAATGAAATACTAAATATAAAACATTATATACAGTATAATATACACATACCTAAAAGTAGGAACAGCTGGTAAGGCTCTAATAAGTTTATGGCTAGTATACAAGTTTCTTGGATTTATATATCCCACGTTGCCAAGTTAAAACTATACGTACATGTATACTCTATTCCTCAAAGTGGTTAATCCTATTAATTAAACAATTCATATTAACTCTATTGTTGATAGGATTAACACCATATCGGTATATACGAGTCGAACATCTGACTACATGTATGTATATATACATAAAAATATCGTTTTGGATGAATAAGTTGTATTTACAACTGCGACCTTCCCAGAATGAAATATTGATAGGTGTTTTAATGAAAAAAATTGCGTTATTTAACTTATTTGCAATAGAGATACCCTGGATTGAAATATTCAGTTGAGGATGAATAAGTTATATTTACAAAAAGTGAACAATATAACAATATCAGTAACTGCGGACAACTGAGAGCAACTTAATTCCGGGGTGGGGGGGGGGGGGTCACGTGGCTAAGTGGGTAAGACGCTGGCTCACTAGCCTGGACGTCGGGTGTTCGATCCCGGCATTGGCCGAGAAAGTTCATCCAGATTTTCCGGCGTGGTTTCCCCTGACGAGGACAGCTGCCTAGTCGTTCGGATGGGACGAAAAACCGAGGTCCCGTGTACATATTGGCGTGCACATAAAAGACCCCTTGGAAGTTGGAATTCGATATAAGAGTGTTCCGTAGCGCCGCTGCCCGGGCAAAATTTCCCTCATAGCACACTGTATGGCGTACGCCCGTCTTCATTAGTCCGGTTTAGGAGCAAAACAGTAGGACGTTAAACCACATTTCATTTCATTTCATTTCGGAATTCGGGGCTCTTATGTCGACTCGGAACTGAAAGCGATTACACTTAACACGTGACATAAGCCCCCCCTTAAAGTAGAATCATACCATAATCAAATGACATTGCAACGATTACAAATTTTTAATATTGTATAGGCATTCATATTCTTATAACAGTTAAAGGTACATGTACTCTTATGTTTGTTTGAATATTATTATTATCATTAGATCCACAGACTACGGTATTGTATACTTATCATTTTGCTGGGCGGGAGCCACGGCGGTTCAGTAGGTCAGACGTTGGCTCGCTAACCTGCAGGTCTCGTGTTCGATTCATGTGTTAACAGAGAAAGTTCATAGGGATTTCACGGCGTGGCACAGGACGTAAGGGACAGACAAGCGACAATGTATATTCGTTAGAATGGGACGAAAAACTGAGGGCCTGTGTATACATTGGCATGTACGTAAAAGAACCCCTGGCAGATGGAATTCGATATTCGATATAAGAGTAGACCGTATTGCCGCTGTCCGAGAAAAACTTGTCCCTCATACTACACTACATGGTGTATGTCCGTCTTCATGATCCCAGTTGGAGGAGAACAGTAGGGCGTTGGTTTTTTTGTGGGTTTTTTTTTTACTTCCTGGGTTATCTTTAGTAACTAGACAAAACCAAACCTCAACACTATTTATTATAAGAATTTATGTTATTGTCATAAAATTGGTAATGGTTCTCCAAACAAATAATGTCAGAGTTTGAGGCGCTAAAGGTATCTTGGCAATGGTATACGCTTGTTGGCAATGGTATACGCGGTACCTCTTTTTTCGTCCCATCTAAAAAGGTTGTCCTTGCTCCCAGTCCCGCACCACCGATAAGTAGAAACCGTGCTGAAAAATCCTGAGGAATTTTTTCGGCCAACATCGGGATCTGGTTAGTGAGACAGCGCCTTATCCACCGAACCACTGTGACACCGTTATAATTGCTACTCTACCTACTTTTAGCAAAGTACACCCGCCCTTACAATCTACAGACACTGGAACGGATTACAATTTCTTAAATTATTTTATAAAATGTTTTATTTTAATCCTTTTAGGTGTCTGTGATGGAATGATTCGGGGACAGACCCCTTAAATAAATTAAATTATGATAAATCATTATCGAAAATATTTATATTTTGATACTATTTAGTACTGAATATGTGTAGGATTAATCCCAGTATATATCATCCGGGCCACCGGATTGTTCATTTCACTAAATATTATATCACGACCCTCAACCTATGATTTTATTTGCTCGTTGGTAAGCTTTATCAGCATCAGGTCGATCTCGCCAATTCTTCTCGACCATGTCATAAACCAGATCTTGGAAAGCTTTTTGGTCACCTTGAAATTGTATAAATCTCCCTACATAAGCCCGCTTCTCGTCTTCTGTGGCATCTGAAATTGTTTTCTTGGTAGTGCCTCTCTCAATGTATGGTACCAAAAGCTGCTTTTCTCGTGCACCCCAGTCATCAGTGGTCCCAGCAAACAGTGCCATTATCAGACATCCCATGCTAAATATATCACTCTTCATGGTGGCACGCCCGTCGAGGACCTCTGGTGCTGAATAGTATTTTGGCCCTTTGGTAGAATGAAGTTGGTAGTAGGCCGACATGTTAAGCTGTTCCAATACAATAGCCAAACCAAAATCAGCTATTTTAATAACAAGATTACCATTGTTGTGTATCATAACATTATCTGGCTTTATATCACGGTGCACGATGTTGTTAGCATGAAGATATCTCACACCGTTAGCCAATTGGTTAATGAAACCTAACCTAACTGAAGGGAATGTCGATCGATTTTTCAGAATATACCTATTCAAATCGCCGACATTACAAAACTCCATGACTATGAAAACAGCATCGTTTTCATCCAAACTATCGATCAAACGAACGACATTTGGGTTTTTTAGATTCTTCATTGCCGCCACTTCCTTCGCTATTTTGGCACGGTCTTTACTAGAATCAGCAGATATCTTTTTGATAGCGAAGATGTCGCCATTTTTTCGCCCCTTGAAAACTTCACCAAATACACCTTCGCCAAGTTTCTCTTCTATATGATAATCACCAACACTGAAAAAATACCCCGAACATTTTCTTCAGTAAAATAGACACCAAACGAAAACTCATTTTAAAGTCAGCTGCCCATTTGAGTCGGGCAAAACAATTTTTTTGGCGATCATCAAATTTTTTCGGGCACTGGCTAAATGATGAAAAAAATAAAATTATGGTGGATATAAAAGGGAAAATGTGAAAATTATTCCATTCAGCAAAATGAAGTGTCCAAAATCCGGGACTTTAACTGACGATTGTGTGGGGTCAGGGCCTGTTTTAAGGTTTTATTGACGAAGCATGGTTTTCCCCCCTTTGGTTTCCGACAAAATTTCCAAAACATGACTCACGATTTTCCACACAGAACTTGCTAGCTCAATTTAGCTTCTTCCATCACCGTTATTAGCTATAATGTGTTGGAATAAACCTTCTGAAATCGTGACCAAATTAGTTGTGACTAAAACAAAGGCTCACCAGAAGTGAAATAAAAACTTCCTGAATTATCACCACGCTTACACTTTTAAAACAAAACAAGCGGTTGGCATACACGATAGGCCCTGTGTGGGGTGATGCAATTCAAATTACCGTTCAAGAAAATAGGCTCCGCTAGGCGCTACGTACTTGTCCTTATTTTTCGAGATTTTACCAGGGTTATTTTATAATAAAGTTATGTATGTTCATTTTTGGGGCACTGTCACGGTATACTGAAAGTGGTAGTGCAACGTCACTAGACCTGGCCTATCTTATACCCTAGCGCTACCCTTATACCCAAAACTGTATTAAACTTCATTCGCATTTAAATAAGGCTGGCAATATGTCTGAACTCGTAATAACCTTAAATCGATACAAATCGAAAACAGCATATATACCTTGTGTTTTGTTTAGTTCTACCCATATATCCAAATTACGGTAAATAAAAGACTCGATCACAATATACATAAAGACAAGATAAATCTCTCATTAAAAATTTAGTTTTACTGATCGGCGACCACCAACATAAGCAACATTAGTCTCTCCAATTGGCGGAATGTGGCCATGAATAATTGTTCTACACACTCAAATCGTTTACATTTAATCATTCCGTTTTTCAAGAATATATTTGTCCGAAATTCATGTAAACTAATAATACCCTACCTGTCCATTTTATATTATAAAATTAGCACACGGCTTGTACAGCTAACATCTTGGTTAATAATTGGGAATGTATTATATTTCCTAGAAACAAGGAAACAAATAAAAGTATGGAAGCCGATATGTAAGCCTATACATTCGCTCTCCTTGCCTTCGCGTTAACGTAATAGAGAGAGAGAAAGAAATGGGGTTTAACATCCACTCGACACAGACTAGGTCATTTCTGGACTAACACATGGTTCAATTTTATTTCAATAATTCACTTGCGCGCAGGGTCTTTAGCAGTGGGGGGGGGGGGAAACCGGAGGACCCGGAGAAAACCCACGAGGTTGGATAGGCAACCCTACTCCTTGTCACGTACAACCGAGGATTCGAAACCACGCCAGTTGACTCAATGACAGGCCTCATGATAGAGCGCGCACGTGCTAACCATTCGGCCATCCAACCCCCCTTACGTAAGAGGTCGAACATGATTATCGTTGCGAAGTCACGCGATACCATATTGGTTTATGCAGGCGCGGATCCAGGGGGGGGGGGGCAGTGAGACTGGTCATCACTGTTCAGACCAGCACCTGCAGCCTGCAATGGGATTCCCTAGAGTTCAGACCATTACGAGCATGCATGCGGCACTCTGATGATTACCCTTTGCTCCACTGTATGACCCCCCCTCCCCCCTCGACAAAATCCTGGATCCGGGCCTGATTATGTCACCGCTATACCTACAATGAAAGCGGCCTGATATTTAGTAAATATTTTGGTTTGGATAGCCTACAACGTCTGTTCTTTCAAGCAATGATGAATAAGTTGTATTTCGCATATAATTCTGCAGCACTCTGATCTCCCTGACATAAATCAAGACCAAAAATATACTCTCTCGTCCAGGTTCTGGGATGCCCCTAGTCCCCTTCCCATAAGTGTTTTATAATCTAATATGGGTGACCGAACAGCATCCACGTTGAGTGGAAAACGAAAGTAACACCGGTCATAACTGTCTTGGGATTGTCCGTTTCAGCCTATGTTATAGACCTTAAAACGAAAGTTACATCTAAACAGAAGTCGTGAAGGTATTTACAGGGCGTGGGAAGTAAACTACGGCACCCGGTAAGGGACACAAAATATAATTATCTAGCACGGCATAGCTAATTCAGAGGGTAAACTGCCGGGTAAAAATATATTTATTGCCAAACTCATTATTATTATCTTAACATACATCAAAGGAAGAATGATAAGTGCACACTGTCATAATTTGCAAGATATTTAGTTTTCAGCAGCAAATATGGGTTACGCTGTACTTTGGACATTGTCCCTATAGATGGTTCAGAAAGTATGAGTTGGAACGTCAAAGGAATTCATCTTTAAAAGAACTTAAATTCTGTCTGAGTCCATGTCATTATCTATCTTAAAACCTGCGTTTTAATCTGCTAAATGTCACTTGTGTATAATGCAAATAATATGTTGCTGTCATTATTCCACAAAATAAAGATTTAAATGACAAGTTACATACTGGTCAATAAAATGAATACTGAAGTGAAATGAAGTGAAATGGGGTTTAACGCCCTACTTTTCTGCCCCGACTGGACTAATGATAACGAGCGTACGTCATACAGTGTAGTCTGAGGGAAATTTTGCCCGGACAGCGGCAGTAGGGCTTCCCTCTATATCGGATTTCAACTGTCAAGGGATATTTTAAGTGCACGCCAATCCGAACGATACTGTCCTTCCCGGGAAAATCGATAGGAACCTTCTCGGCCAACACAGGGAGCAAACCCGAGACCTCCTTGTTAACGAGCGAGCGAGCGTCTTACTCACTGAGTCAGAAAATGGCTACATAGAAACAACAATACCACATTTCGTTTCTGCATTTTATATTAAGCACTGCTACACATAGGTTACAAAGTTACAAGCATAATAAAGTCATTCTCTCTAATACATTCTCTCTAACCCGCTCTCGTACGAGAACTACATGGCTGTCTACCCTGGAGCGCACATTTATTAATTATATATTCTCAGATTCACACCCATTAATTATTCTGTTGGCTAATTATGATGTAATTAATCATGTGATTTGTCACTCCATGCCAAATATGAAATGGTAACTTTCCTGTCACATGCTTTTAGAATTTATCCTCGAAAAATGCAAATGACCAACATGATTACTAAACTCTAACTGCGTTAACGTATCTAAACAACCAGCATACTTTCTCTACTTTATGAACTTAGAATCAATAATTTGTAAAGATAATGATATTGTTTCGGCCGTCGTATTTCTCTATCCTTTGTCTTTTAGACCTCATGTCTTGTTATTGTCACAATATTCAGAAACACTTATAATTTGCGTTTCAGAATTACCTTATACCATAGCTAATATTTTGGCAATGGAGAATAATTAATCAAAACCCTAATATTATTTTACATAGATGTTTCAAAGCACAAATTCTTTCCCTTCATATTACTACAGCAGTTTCGGAGAAGAATGAAGCACAAGGACGTGACACATGGTCATTGTGTCGCTCAATGGCTGCTTCGCCCCGCCGTTGGACAGTCCAAAATTAAACAATCAAACATTTCAGAGGTCAGTGAGCTAAGCTCTCTGCCCCCCGCACTACTGACAAGTAAAATATACTAGAATGCCCTAAGGAACTTTCTCTGGCAGCACCAGGATCTAACCCGTAACGCCCTGGTTAGTGTGCCAGCACCATACCCACCTAACCACAGTGGCTTCTTTTTAACCAAACTTGGTCACTGTACACCCACAACATAGAAACGGATACTGTTACTTTAAGCCTTAAATCAATTAAATCAAAATCAAATTACGTTAAATCAATATAGAAAATTGCACTTTTATTTTAAACCGCATTGTTTATGTCCATTTTCCATTTAGTGTGTCTATACAATAATTATAATTTGATAATATTTAGAACTGAATACATGTAGGCCCAATATATTTTTGGTCTATATTGCCGGATAGCGTTTCACCGGATCGTTCTCTTACATTATACTACACCACGACTCTCCAGCAACGATATCATATGCCCGTTGGTAAGCTTTATCAGCATTAGGTCGATCTCGCCAATTCTTCTGGACCATGTCATAAACCAGATCTTGGAAAGCTTTTTGGTTAGCTTGAATCTGTATATATCTCCTGACATTAGCCAGCTTTTCGTCTTCTGTGGCTTCTGATATTTGTTTCTTGGCCGAGGCTGCTGACCCGATGTATGGCGCCAAAAGCTGCTTTCCCCCAATCCAGGTAATAGTGGTACCAGCAAACAGTGCCATTATCACACACCCCATGCTAAAAATATCACTCTTCATTGTGACGTTATCGTGATATACCTCCGGTGCTGTGTAGTAAGGTGGTCCTTTAGGACTATACTGGAAGTTGTAGTAGGGCGATTGGTAATTGAAAGCTTCCCATACTCTTGACAAACCAAAATCAGCTATTTTGATAACAAGATTATCAAAGATAATCCCATTGTTATTTATCATTATGTTATCTGGCTTTATATCACGATGCACGATTTTGTTGGCATGAAGATATTTCACACCTTTAGCCAACTGGTTGACGAAACCTAACCTATCTGCAGTGGATGTCGAGCGATTTCGCAGAATATAACTATTCAAATCGCCGCCATTACAAAACTCTAGGACTATGAAGACAGAATCGTTCGCATCGAAACTGTCGATAAATCGAACGACATTTTCGTCTTGCAGATGCTTCAATGACGTCACTTCCTTCTCTATTTTGGCACGTTCTTCTCTAAATCCAATTGGTATCTTTTTGATAGCGTAGGTGTTGCCATTTTTTCGTCCCTTGTAAACTTCACCAAATGCCCCCGCGCCAAGTTTTTCTTTTAATTCATAACCACGAATACTGTAAAAATAGACAAACATTATTTATTCAGTGAAATGGTGGGTTGGATGGCCGAATGGTTAGCACGTGCGCGCTGTATCATAAGGCCTGTCATTGAGTCAACTGGCGTGGTTTCGAATCCCCGGTTGCACGTGACAAGGAGTAGGGTCGCCTGTCCAACCTCGTGGGTTTTCTCCGGGTCCTCCGGTTTTCTCCCACTGCTAAAAGACCCCCACGCGCAAGAGAATTATTGAAATAGAATTAAACCATATGTTAGTCCCGAAATTACCTAGTTTGTGTCGAGTGTACGTTAAACCCCATTTCCCTCTCTCTCTCTTCAGTGAAATTTTCTAATAATTAAATGAAACACAGTTTAAAATCCCACAACAATTTTGATACTGTCGGAAATGCCATTTTCAGTGATCTGAGACAAGAATCTGGGTCTAAAGTGCGCCCCCTGGTTTTAGATAGTGCGCACGCCCCCACTAGATCTACCCTTGACCGAATCCGCCAGATATTTGTTCAAAGCTGGTGCGAATCATTGGGGGTTCCGAAGTTTCGAATTTTAAATTTCATGTAACACAGCTGTAACATCTGACAATATCGCACCTAGTCTAAAACACGTAATTACCGTTAACACGATACGGATCGAGCGCGGTGAAATAATAGACTCGATCATGATGTTTACATAGTATATTGTAAAGACAAGTTAAACCATTAACCATTAAAGATACATTCCCACAGATGTATTTATAGGGCAGTTATTTACAATAAATATATGGCATATGGGAAGTAGAGACACCCAATCTTATTACCAAAATACCGGATTCCCTGAAAACACCCATGTGTAATAGTAATAATGCTTCACCGTGCTTCCTGATTCTTGAGTGGTCAGGCCTTATTTATCATAGCGTGCCTAGAACGGACTTCATTAACCTTGTGCGGTCGGTGACCTGCTTTTGTTTCAACTGGTAACCCGTCCCGATCAGTGGACGGGTGTTCAGTGGATTGTTAGACTGGTATCCTATCATCTGCCAATTACTTTCGCTTTCTAAATCAATGTTTTTCAACGCAATTGTTTGACAAAAATCGTCTAATTTTGATCTCGTACTGCACTGCAATCGACTGAAAGACTACCACTGAGAACGGGATGTGGCGCTCGCGGGCTTTCTTTTTAACACAGGAACACACCCCTGCATGGGAAGCCTACAGGGTAAAAATGTAAAGTGTCACAAACTTTTGATAGACACAGGTTTGAATATGTATTTTTATATCATAAAATTACACATTTTGTACTAGGAAGTCATCTTTATAAGCAATTACCGTTCCTTTTCAACAACATAATTCTCTCCAAATGGGACTGTGTGGCCGTGAATGATTCTTCTACACATTCATAGCGTTTAGATTTAATCATTCCATGTTTCAGTTGCCCGACATGCATGTAAACTAACTAATAATATCTTACCTTTGTTCGCCTCTGTCCATTTTATATCAATCTTTGTTATAAAAGCTCCACACGTCTTGTACAGCTAACGTCTAGGTTAACAAATGTCAATTAGAGCTGAATTATATTTCCTCGAAACAAAGAATTTCCATTCTCCAGAAATCAATTCTCTCCGAAAATGCCTTTGAAACTAACTGCACCTATTTTCTACTATAAAAAGACTGGCATTTCCTATTCTACGGAAACTCATTAATGCCATTACCAAAAACCGCTAAATAGTGAATCAGCTAAATTTACATCCATCAAAGATGGAATAAGGCATTGACTCAGTGGCAATTTTTTTTACCAGTATTTACTACTTGCTGCAAGTTAATATTTTGTGACTTATTGACAGTAACATATTTCAATTTTACATTAAAGAAAAGACATATTTATCAGATTTAAACTTAAGTTGAAGAACACATAAAGTCATGACCATGACCTCAAACCTAATTTAAGTTCCTATAAAGATACATTTCTTTGACGACGATATACACTATACAGGGTACACCAGTTGCTGAAAAACCAAATATGTTGAGAGTTCTGATTGTGTAGATATACCAAGTTTCTCTCTGAGTCTTTGGTAAGATACATTGGTTTGATAATAAATATAATATTTTTCCCACAGCTTTCACTCTTGATAATCTCCATGTATATTTTTATTTTATTTTGTGTCCCTAACGGGCGCCGTAGTTTCGTCAAATGGCTTGTGATTATCGTCATAACAATCTCCTTTGGACTCTTGACCACAGGACGCAGAATTCGTAGGTGTGACTGTGCCAAAAAGTATATATATATAGAATCATGAATTATATATATAAAAAAAACTACTACGTTTGTTATTATCTTTTGAGGTAATATATGTGCATCTATTTTTAGAATGCTTTCATTCGTTGTAATGTGTCTTCCCAGATAATGGCTGGCTGTAAAGTTAAATAGACCATCTAGTCTTATCAGCTGTTTGAATTACAAACACGTCAGTTGTTATCTGTTAATTTTAAAGGGACACTACATCTATATTGTTAAACACTGGTTTTCGATGCCCTCGAACAAGCGAAATTTAAAGTCACAAAACGCGCTAGTTCCTACAATCTTGGGGTCTGTTTCACGAAATTTTAACTAAGATAAAATCCAAATTTTAGTAATTTGATTGGATAATATTAGATTGATTTTAGTGCTTAGCCAATCAAAATTGAAGTATTTACTAAAATTGGATTGTATCTTTTGTTAAACAGGACCCAGGACTTTATATTAAAGCAGATATAATGCTGATGGTTTATTAAGCATAATAAAACTGGATTAACTAACATTTTTTTGACAGTATTAAATAAACCTATTTCCCAATTTCTATATCAAAGTAGAATATGCAATATCACGGTCCATTCGAAAATGGCAAGCCTAATTTAAGAACCCAAACTTATTAAATATGACTCACTTTACTTAGTCTGCATCCCACACAAAATAAAAATTGATCCCAACAAAATATTTAGTTTACAATAGTATTAGGGGTGGGCAAATGACATCAACATTTATCGATATCCCACGTGACGAGTGTTTTCTAAGGCCATTTTGGCTGCTGAATCTGAATCCTATGATATTTTTGGTATGTGACGTCATTTTAGGTTGGTTCAGTGGCCATTTTCAAAATGGCCGCCAAAAATGGAACTTTTTCATCGTAAAAGTAAGGAAATATTGAAACTAGTCCTCTAATATGTTCAAATGTATGTTTTTAAAGGTCGGGGATACCAAATAAGACGAACTTAGATACAAAGGAATAATGGTTATACAGCAATCGTGCTTTTTGTCCTTTGTTTTCAGAAAAGTCTGCATTTTTGTTCAGATAATTGTCCATAATTTGTTCATATCTGTGATGTCGGGTTATTCTATTTCAGATTTCTTTGTACTGATACTGAACTGGGATCTTCCCAGACCATAAATAGTTCAATGAAGGTTCTATAATCTCTCCTAGTAGAATCTGTGTTGGTCTCGGGTGCGAGAGTCGCCGTTTCGTAAATACCAGAGACTGTCATCAACAATAAGCTTGAAATGGGACGACTTTATGGATTCTGGAAGATCGTTGATGAAGGCTATGGACCAATACAAGCACAGTGCACCGTGGAACTCTGGTGTAACCTGAGCCATGTCAGATGTTGCTCTGCCGAGTAGGACCTGTTGGTGTCTTTTGCTGAAGAAGGATCTGGTCCACTTTAGTGAGTTGCCTCTTACTCCGTAATGTTCACGGTTATGAAGGAGCTTTCCATGGGGCACTTGTCAAACGCTTTGGCGAGGTAAGGAGTATGACGTGCAATTGTTTTCCCTTGGCTACGGGTGAGCCTATTTACTGTATGGTAGAGATCAGTTGTGTCTTACAGGAGCGACGCTTCCTGAAACCATACTGACTATCACACAAGATGCTGTTCTTGTCGAAGTGCTGCATTATACTGTTATGCAATATATGCTCCAGTATCTTGCAGGTGATGTGGGCAAGCGACACTGGCGTTTAGTTCCCTGGCTGATGTATGTCTCCCTTCTTGAATATTGGCTTTTTTCCAATCCTTGGGGACTATGTCTGAGTCGATTGACATCTGGAAGAGTTGTATATGGGCAGGTGCTAATTTGGTGACTACGGCTTTGATGATAAAGGAGGGAACTGTGTTTGGTCCAGTTGCATAATAGTGTATGTACACCTTTCCAATCAAGTTTGATGGATGCCATGGTGGGAACACTGCAGTGAAAGCTGATTCAAACTGTGGATTCAGTATGTTAGTTTTTTACTGGACGTCACTTTTGTTTTTGAGTGGTGCTACTCAAGTGGCTTTTCGGCCTTTACTCTTAATGTAAGTCCAAAATTTCTTGGAGTCTTCCTTAAAGTCGCTGCTGATCGTGGGTTCAAGGTAATTCTGTAGCTTCTTGTAAAGGTCCTTGTCTTGATTCTTCTAAGTAAGACGGACCGTCTTGTAAACCCTCTGTTACCGTCTGATGGCTCTATTAATACCTGTGTTTATCCAGAGATTTGTGTAACGAGAAGACGTCATCTTGAAGGGGACTCTTTTGGCGATGGTCTGCCCTTTGGGGTTCTCACATGTTATGTCAACGTTTTCCGTGACTATAACTGAATCGGTAAGGTCAGTGAGATCCTCTTTGATTCTTTGTATGTCTGCTCGTTTCCAGAGGTATAGCTTTCTGCGAATGGGTTTTAGTCACTTAATTAGCCGTAGAGTACATGTCTAGAAGGACTATGTCATGGTCAATGTTGCCATAAGATGGAATAGGTTGGTTAATATCCAGGGTGTTGCCTTTCCCTGTTGGGAAGTTGGCGAGCTGTTCTAAGTTGGTATGGTATCTGAGATAGAATAACCTGACATCACAGATATGAACAAATCTGCAAAAATGCAGATTTTTCTGAAAACAAATTACAAAAAGTATCATTGTAGTATAACCATTATTCCTTTGTATCTAAGTTCGTCTCATTCTGTATCCCCGACCTATAAAAACATACATTAGCACATATTAGACGACTAGTTTTTGGCGGCCATTTGGAAATGGCCACTGAACCAACCTAAAATTACGTCACATATCAAAAAATCTAATCGGATTTGGATTCAGCAGCCGAAATGGCCTTAGAAAACACTCGTCACCTAAATTGGACCTCCATTTGCCCACCCCTAATAGTATCGACTTTAATATGTGTGTTTATTAGTGAATAAGATTATATATGTACGTCAAGTTTTGTAAAAAGGTTATACATAGATTTATCATAATTCATTGAAGGTCTTGTGGGTCAACATGTTAGCCATAAGATTCATTATATAAAGATCTGGACCCTGTTTCTCGATATCTTTACTAATGATAAAATCCAAATTTTAGAAGATACTTCAATTTTGATTGGATAAGCACTAAAATCAACCTAATATTATCCAATCAAATTACTAAAATTTGGATTTTATCTTAGTTAAAATTTCGTGAAACAGGCCCCAGTAAAACAATATACCGAATGTTTTACCTTCTGGTTATGTCAAGCCCGGTTCGCACTGTGGGCCATTGCGTACAATCGTACACATATTGCAAACGATTAAATTTAATCCCCGCTGGAGATGCAATTCGAAGAGAAGGAGGCGGAAGTGCAACCACCCCACCTCTAATTGTTCAGTAACCATAGAAAATAATTCCCATTCATTAATCTTTAAAAAAAAATGAGACAAGCATTAATTGTTTTTACCCCATTCTTCTCTTTCCCTGAATGTTTAACAATGTAACATGTTTTATTGATTTGAATCATAAATCAACAACTTGTTGTGTCGGGTAATTAACTTCATCTATAACAAACTCCTCTGTGAATATATGATGCCAGTAGCGTCTGTTTTCCCAAGGACCTAAAATACTGTTTGTTTTTAAAAGCAGATGTTCTACTGTTCCGTATCACAGATAATATTGTTTAAAAGTTAACACAGGGGCGGATCCATGAATTTTTGCAGGAAGTGGCTTGCCAGGTTCCTGAGAAAATGTAAACCCCCCCCCCCCCCGCCCAATCGGCTTGAAATTTTTTGAGAAATACATGGTCTCTGTCGTCATTTTGGCGTATATACATACATACTGAGCTTTTTAAAGAAAGAAATCCAACATCCTGTTTGACATCAATTTTCATTATGAAATAATACGATGACATTGTGATTCAATTTTATTGATGCAAAGCATTGATATCACATATGTCTATATCATTATCTCGCGCTTTGAGTGCCCATCCTGTCGCACAATCTGACGAGAAAGGGTAAAGCACAATTATGACACTTTTCTCATAAAAAAGGGTGACCCGCGCCTGTAACATCACCCCAAAACATCCTTCTACGCGTATACCTAAACACATCAATCTACACTGAAAAAGTGAAAACGTCAATCTACACTGGAACATCAATTTATCTGCACTGAAATATAACACACTAGCAGGATAACCGGCTTCGCTCGGGGGTCATAACTCCGAAACCGGAAGTGGTAGACTAACGCAACCTGGCCTATGTTACTCCCCTGTCCGAGCTACCCCTATACCCCAAATTTCAGACTCGGGGCAGACCTAGTGTAGCCGCCAACCCCGAACAGACAGACAGACAGACAAACGACAGTCACAAATATATATATATATATATAGAAGATAAAACTCTACCGAAACACCAAGACAGTGGTCACTGTGCAAGATTAGTTTCTTTTTAAACTTTCCGGCACTTTACAAAGACATAAAAATAAGCAAAATAGTGCGAGAAGGATAAAATTTGGCCTAAGTAATTCCGATATACATGTATAATGAATACAAAAAGTGATATTTTTTTTTATTAAATTGTCCATATTAATGATAAGACCAATCTATTATTATTATTTATTATTCACGGATGTAATCATGTATGTGGATTGTTCAGTGACAAGCAGTGAATCGGATATTTTTATTGTTATATTGAGGATATGTTAAAATAACCTGTTAACTATAATTATACACACTCGCTGTAATATATTTAAATATCAATCATATCTTTGTTCATCTTCCATCTGATTATAGATAAATTAACATTTAAATACATTATGAATTTATATATGCATATTATAGCAAGAGAAAACCTTTTCTGTGGTATTCTGCACACCCACATTGAACAATTAGTGAACTTTTTTGTTATGCATCTTTCATACACACACTGACTTAGATAAACAGTTTCAATTATATTAAACAGAAGCGGAATAAATAAGCATCAATATTCTTGAAGTATTGTTTCCGACTAATATCCTACAATTATCAATTTATGTCAGTGAAGAAGCTTTTTTAAGGGTAAATTTCGGATGTTTCTGTGGAGGGGATATTTGGAATTAATTTTACAATTGTGAAAGGAAAATGAATTATAAATACAGGATTTGATAAATAAAACGTCTTATTTGCAGATTAAGTTAATGTGCTATTTTTTTTTACTACACATTCTTTATTTATTTTTATCCCAAGATTACTAATTTTAACCTATTAGAGTTTTCCGAAATTCTGTCCAGATTACCGCACTTATTATTGTATCTTTTTGAGGTTCTTACTTATGACGTCAAAACACGCCATTTCAGTAGAATTTCTACTGGGTTTTTCTTGTATGCGTTGCCTCTTCTTCTGTTAGTTGTTTTGTGTTATTAGGCTTAGCGCACGCGCAGGGGTCTTTCCTGTGGAAGTAAACCGAGGAGTACCAGGAGAAAAACAAGGTATCGAAAAACCGACTGCAAACCAGACGTGATCGGCCAGCTAGAGTTCAAAGCGCCACACTCTAGACCAGTAGCCCCCCCCCCCCCCCACCACCACGTTAATAAATTCCTAAGTCTTTCTCTGTTTTATTGTGAGTTTGCCTTCCTTTTGATTGAAGGCACGATACTGTACAGTGCAGCGTGCGCTTACGACAGCCCCCTGGATGAATTCACGCGTTTGTTTAGTATTTGCATGTGTATATTGTTTGTCTTGTACTCGAGGCTGTCTTGTGGGTTTTGTTTATGTGTTGCATTTACTGTTATGTTTATAATTAGTGTAAGCCTGTATTATTAGTCTCAAGAAGACACTCAAGATGACGCAAAGTGTTAACGAGACGCTATAGCCCATTCCAATCAAATATTATTATTTTATTACATTGTTAGGATAAAATTAGAGTAGCGATCGATTAATATGAATTGAACAAGTATGACTCTTTCTATCACTTTCTCTCTCTATATATAAATAAAATATACACGGTATAACGATTTGATTGGGTATTAAAATACTTGTGAAGTACGTCAGTATTTAAAGTAACAGTTCCTCTACTGAATTTTCTCTTTTTAAATGAATAATCAATATCAGTTATGTTGATATGCATTGTAAATTTCGACTGGTTATTGCTGCCTAAAGACTTGTGGCTGGTTAAAGACACCTCAGTGGATACCACGGGTCTGGCCCTATGGAAGGTTTGCATAGCTAACGTATGTGGATCAACTGCAGTGGCGTCGTGCCCATTGGGGCCCAGGGGGGCCTGCCCCCCTCCCCAAAAAAAAAAAAAATTTTTTTCAGGGAAATAAAAATATTTTTATTGATATTATTAAGACAGAAGACCTGTCCGTCTGTTTTAGTCATCACATGGTCTCCAGGAATTGTATAATTTGTCATTATCTGTGTTTAGTTTATTGCACTTTAGTTTAGATGTCATAAGGCCTCGCTCAACAGCGGCCTCACTTCGTACACTCTATCATATCATTTCGATCTAAAATTTCCGGGAGTTAAGAGTTTGTTGTAGCTAGAAAATCTCTATTTATGATTGTATGTTGTATTTGATAAAATATCCATATACGGGTGTCAAAAATAAAGCTGAAAGTATTTTTTATTAAAATACAAATACATCTAAATACGTATTTGACCATAAATGGCATAACCCTGGCAGAGGTTGGGGTGGAGGAAGGAATGGGGTTTTGCATGAAGTTGTCCATTCAATAATTAAATCTAAGTTGAGATGAATAAAATATAATTCAATTTTCGAGTGATAAATTGCAATTATCACTAAAAAAAACCCGACCATTTTTCAATCATAACTTTATTGTCTCTAATCCATCGAAATGGCGTTTCCCGGCTTCTTATTTTAAAAAATTCCGAGAGAGGGCCCCCCCGGACCCCCTTGCATGTTCATGCCTATAGCATTCGATGTGGGGCGGCCCTGCCACCCACAAGCTCCGCGGCCAGTAAATTTAACTTACCATGAACACACTTGCAGAAAATTGGGCCCCCCCCCCCCGAAAAATTTTTTTGCACGACGCCCCTGATCAACTACCACGTTTACTTTAAGTTTTAAACTTTGTATATTGAGCACTATGTTTTATGCGTGTAGTTGTATTGGTCACGTGTCTTCGCAAATGTATCTTTCAGTTATCCTATAAACACCGAATTAATCTTTTTGTTTTTATATTACTACAAAATACCACGAAACAATATTGATATTCATTTTACCTGCCTAATGGCCCACTTTAGATTTTTAATATTGTATGAATAATTGAAGAACTGACTAATGCCGTAACAGAAGGCAATCACGATGGTGTCGAGCGTATTGTTACGACACAATAGGTGCGAAGCTTCATTTGTCAGTTCATCACAGATTGTTATTTTGAATTTCCAAAAGAGTAAAATCTGTTTAGCCGAATCGTCAAAATGTAATTATTTCAATAAAATATACATGTTCAATGGATTACAACCAATAAATGTTTTAATTTTACAGATCTTAGTTGTCGTAACCATGGATAAGTCGCTGTTGCCAGGCAACAAAATGTCAGATAAAGAAAATCTGATTGAAGAATTAAGAAGTAGATTAGAAGGAATCCCGCCTTTAGAAGATGAGGAAGATTTCTTTACGTCATATGAAACGTATGTATGCATTGTTGGGGTAAATTAATTAAAAAAAACTCATAACATAATGGCCTACTTTGCGTATTGGCCTAATTTTGATCATATCAAATTGAACAAAAAATGTTGCCTGTACAGTGGGTTTCCGCTTAGCCTTCATCGAATTTCAACTGCCATGTGTGCCATCCGATCAACTAGGCACCGTTCCTTGCCGGGTCATCCGTCTTGGACCACTGACAAAGGACAAACCACGCTGAACGACCGGCAGTGAATATACAGCATAACAATCTTAGCAATCTTTCGAAAAAAATCTATACTTTTGACGAAGTTTCGGTGACGGTGTGTAAAAATCAGCGTACAACTGGCGCGTAATTATGACTTCGCTAGAGCTGCTTCTTATTATACAATCCCATTCTGTTCTTTTTTTTCTTTTTTAAAATCTTTTACACGATTTGTGAAAAGGCAGGCAGGAGAACAAGGTCGGAGACAATATATATCCACATTGTGGGGCACGGGCCACGGGTCGAGTTTGCGTGGCTTCCTGGTCGTGCGGGTGGTACGAAAACCCGAGGCCCCCCCGTGTACATCTTGTCGTATTTGTAAAGCAATTGGAAAAAAAATCAGGCAAACCTCTTACCCTCGAACACGTAACCATTGAAATTAAGGATATCAAAATGACCTAGGTATAATTGTGTTTTTGAACATATCATTAGACATATCATTTTGTGCTAAATGCTTGATAGATTCCATACCCACGTTTTAAGATTCAATTTTTGAACGGTACTCATTTTTTAGCATAATTTTGTCAAGACATTCGTCTCAATGTAAACCGCAGTGCTTGGGTTTTAGATCATTATGCGAGTCCCCGGGGGGTTCTTGCGAATATTATATAAAATTGAATTTATTTATTTTCTTGTTGAAGTGTTGTCTTCATTAGCCCAGTCGATGTTGAACCTTAAACCCCATTTCATTTCTTGTTGAAGTGATAATTATGGATATTTTAATATTCTCTGAGCAGTTTGAAAATTATATCCCCATGGATATAACTTGCTTAAATGTTTTTTGTTTTTTTTAAATTCTACAGGTTAGCTCGCTACCTCAAGTCTTATAATTGGAATGTAAATGAAGCTGAGAAATATTTAAAGGCCACTATAGAATTTCGTAGAGAACAACGACCATTATATGTAGATTGTAAATATTGTCATGATAGACCTGGATATCATTCTATGGTAAGCAAACATATTTCTTTAATAGAGCCGTGGTGGCTCGCTAAACTGTATGTCCCGTGTTCGATCCCGGTGTTGGCCGGGAAAGTTCATCGTGATTTTCCGGCGTGCCCCCCCCCCCCCCGCCCCTTGTCAGAGGGCCTGGCAAGGAAAAACGTAAAGTCGTTTGCATGGGACGGGCAAATTGTCCTTCATAGCACACTGTGTGGCGTATGCCCGTCTTCATTAGCCCCAGTAGACCCAGAACAGCAGGGCGTTAAACATCATTTCATTAATTCATTCTATTTCTTTAAAGGCGAGGGTCTGGCTTCTTTTTTCTGTCTTTATGTGATAGAGGCCTCTGGTCGCTTCCTATCGAAATGTTTATCGCGCCTGTGGGGAGACAATGTTCCTGAACTTCCCTATTCCACTTGTGCTTCCGATTCCTTAAAAATGCCCTGCTCTTATTATGCATCTATAGGATTTCTTACTCAAATGCCATTTGTTCCTTTTTTCAGAGACAGGTGGGGTTTGATGAAATGGGCCGACCTGTAATTTATGCTAATTTTGCCCAAGCAGCGACGTATAAATATATGTTGGATGATTCGGTAGCCCATGTGACGTATCTCGTAGAGAATGCTAAAAGGACAATGAAACCTGGTATATCTACCTGGGTGTTTGTTATTGATTGTACAGGTAAGTAATTATGTATTATACTGTGGAATTATTGCAGGTGTTAAAATAGATAGTGAATCGTTTAATACAACAGGGTTAACTGCGCAATAAACTTAAATGATTAATATACTCTGTAACTATCGTTGTAAAATGGACTCTTCCTACATGATCATGTACGATTTCTACATAAATCAATCATAAAATGAAACGAAATGAAATGGGATTTAATTCCTTCTTTTCTGTACTGACTATGCTAAAGAAGATACGTCATACAGTGTGCTAACTGGACAGAGGCGCTACTCTTATATCGAATTCCAACGGTCAAGGGTTCTTGTACGTGCACGCCAATGTGTACACGGGACCTCGGTTTTTCATTCTATCTGTACGACTATACAGGGGAAACCACGCCGAAAAGTCTCGAGGAATTTTCTCGGCCAGCATCAGAGACCTCCTGGGTAGCGAACCAGTATCATAAAGTCTGTCATTGAGTCAACTGGTGTGGTTTCGAATCCCCGGTTGTACGTGACAAGGAGTAGGGTCGCCTGTCCAACCTCGTGGGTTTTCTCCGGGTTCTCCGGAAATTTTATGGGGGAAATTTTGCCCGGACAGCGGCACTACGGCCTACTCTTATATCGAATTCCAACTGTCAAGGGATCTTTTACCTGTACGCCAATGTGTACACGGTTTTTCGTCCCATCCGAACGACTAGACAGCTGTCCTTGTCAGGCACTCCGTCCTGCATCACAGACAAGGGGGGAACCACGCCGGAAAATCCCGATGAATATTTTACTAATGATTGTTGGACTTTAAACAGGTCTATCATTTCATGTCTAAATGAAATGAAATGGGGTTTAACGTCCTACTGTTCTGCTCCTATACTGGGCTAATGAAGACGGGCATACGCCACATGTCTAAATATTTCACCGAAGTAACGTATCTGAACCATACCTGCTACTACCCTTGATTGGTTCTATGACAGAATTTTAACTTCAGGCCAAATCCTTAAACGTCTTGACGTATGAATAAGGCATCACGGACACTTTAGTTGAATTTATATATAAAATGCAAAATGTGGGAGGTGTCTTTTTAATTTAACAGTCCAACCATATTTCGGATTAAATTATATTGAATAATAAATCTAAGCGGTATTTCAGATTAAACTATAATAATGAATTGTAAATCTAAGCTGTAGATGATATTATAAGAAATATAAACTATATGAAGCATGTGAAAAGTATTAATCGAAGCTAAGTCCATCTTAAACATAGTGCAATACAGATTGCAATTCTAATTCTAACATGGTTTTGGTATTTTACCAATTACTATAGCGTCATGACCTACGTGTAACCAGTGTTATATGAGTTGATATTTTTGTAACGGCGTCCATCAAAGTCAAAAGATCAACTAACTTATGTTTAAAAATCATCTATTCTTAATTACACCACGAATAACATCTTAAACCTTTGTTTACCATTAATTCACCCCTATAGCAATTCTTCAGTCTGTCTGATCTAGTTCATTGATTTAATTTCTATTTATTTTAGGGATGACCCTGTCGGCCTGTAATCCAAAATTAGGATATGGTGTCACACAAGCATTAGCAGATCATTATCCAGAACGTCTGGGTTTAGTTATTTGTATAAATCACAATGCCGTTTTTCATGGCGTCTGGCATGCTATAAAAGGATTTCTTCACCCACAGACTGTGGCTAAAATGAAATTGATTCGATCCAAAAGAAAAGTTATGCACGCATTTGAAAAATATTTTTCACCGGAACTGGTGGATTGGTTAGTCAAAGAAATAAAATACAACAAACAAAAACCTCTACCCGCTAGTCAAAAGGAATTTTGGAATGCACACGCTGGGGGCCACGACCCCAGAGGTTGTCCCTCATATATCAAGGAATATGTGGAACCGTATGTCAGTAGTAATCCAGAAACTCGACCCAGTCACAAACCACATCCAAATATTATAGATACGGTATGTGGTAAAGTCAAGGCCATTGCTTTAACGGCAGAAGAACAAAAAGAGCGGGAAATAGCACAACAAGTTGCTGCTGAAACAGAAGATTGTGTTGGAAGTGATGACGAGGCTGCGGCTGCCGCCACTATAGAAATAAGCGAAGAATTCCAAATACCAAGTGATGCCACAAAACTGTGTACATGAAAATAAAGTATTTTTAGAAACTTAACACGTTCATAAAATAGGGAAGTTATTTTGATGTTGGATTTAAGATGTAAAAAGTTTTAAACATTCTCTGATGTTCAACATCTAATTATAACAAGTTCTGACATTTCATAGTGCAATACAATTAATTCATAAGGGGACGTTATTATCTTAAGCCTGTTTTCCAGGTTGAACTTCACATGTATATTGTATAATTATAATTATTTCCCGAAGAACCGGTCGTAACTGTATATTTATTTATTCTTAGGATGTCCATATCAATACCATACTCACGGCGATTTGACATTTTCACTTTATATAGGTGGAAATTACATAGTCAGATATATTAGTAAAGTATTTTGAAATAAAATCCTTTAAAAATGTCAATATTAAGATAGTTCAGAGAACTATAATTTAAAAACCATATTGTTTTGAGTGTAAAATATTTTGAAGGGTGTGGTGATTTATAGATAAAATGTGCATAATTTTTTCAAACAAAGACAATTATTGTTTCTTTGTGTTTTCTGCTAAACACAAACCTTGGATTTATGGTAATAAAACCCTCCAGGAAGTTTGGAGAGTCCCCATCCATTCAGGAAATAGATGAAATAAAATAGGTTTTAGTCCTACTTTTCTGCTTTCTCCAGGCTAATGAAGGTGAGCAAACAGCATGCAGTGTGCTATGAGTAAAGTTTGACCCAGACAGTCGCTCTAGAGCCGAGTCTTATTTTGATTACGACTAGATGTCGTTCCTTATCAGGCCATCAGTCATGCATGCACAACTGACAATAGAAAACCATGGGACCCCCAGGTTAGCCACCACGCTTTACATCCACGAAGGGGTCTTTAGCATTCGGAGAAAACCGGAGGACCCGGAGAAAACTCACGAGATATTGGACAGGCAACCCTACTGCTTGTTACGTACATGCAGGGAATGACTGACCTTTTAATCCATTCCATCAGGCAATACCCCCAACCCACCAATTGCAGAGAAAAGGCACTTGGATATACTTTTGAAAAGTCTTTGGACTATAAATGAAAGCCATAACTATCAAATTGTTTATTACGCATGTTTTCAGATATTCCAATAGAGACACATTTTGATCTTTCATGGAAATGATGGAAGGTTTGATTTCGTGAAAGAAACATACTCGCACCACAGTAAAGTAGTCTGCACAGTCTATATTTTTTTTGTCCCCCGCCTTTTGAAGAAAGTAGGGGACTATTAAAATGGGTTCTTCCATCTGTCTGTCTGTCCGTCACACTTTTTGGGACACAATAACTCTTTCTAATTGAGCTACAATGTTCAAACTTGGTGTAGGTGTTTATTAGGTCAATGCCTTGATGGAGTTCGAAGATGAGCATTTTCGGCTTAGGGTAAGCAGAGTGATGGAACTTGGTGTATAGTTTCATTACATCAATACCTTGACTAAGTTCGATAATGAGCATTTTCTGCTCAGGGTAAGCAGGGCGATAAGCAATTTGATTGGCTGAGACCTTGAAACACAACAACTCTCCTTCTAATTGAGCTAGAATGTTCAAACTTGGTGTAGGTGTTTTTTAGGCCAATGCCTTGATGGTGTTCGAAGATTGGCATTTTCTGCTTAGGGTAAGCAGAGATAAGCAATTTGATTGGTTGATATACATGAGTCACAATAACATTAGTTCTAATTAAGTGAGTCAGGACACTTGGTGTATAGCTTTATTACATCAATACCTTGACTAAGTCGATTTTGAATATTTTCTGCTGAGGGTATTAAGCAGAGCGATAAGCAATTTGATCGGTCGAGACTTTGGAACACAATAACTCTTCTTCTAATTGAGGTAGAATGTTTAAAGATTAGGTGAATGCCTTGATGGAGTTATATGATGAACATTGTCTGTTTACGGTAAGCAGAAATAAGCAATCTGATTGGTTGATGCTTTGAGGCACGATAACTTTGGTTATAATGAAGTGAGAGCGATGGAACTCCGAATATAGATTCATTATATCATTAGCTTGACTAATTTCGATGGTGCGAATTTTCTGCTTAGGCTAATGAGCCACAAGCAATTTGATTGGTCAAGACTTTGGAACATAACAACTCTGCTTTTAATTGAGGTAAAATGTTTAGACTTGATTTAGAGGTGCATTAGATTGACTGAGTTCAATGATTAACATTTCGAGCTGAAGCTAAGCAGAGCTAATCAATTTCATTGGTCAATGCTTTGGGACAAGATAATCTTGATTCTATCTGATAGAGAGTGATGAAACTTAGTGTATAGTTTGATTGCTTGATACTTTTGAAAATAAATAAATGTGCGATTAATTAATGTGTGTCATCTATTTATTTTGGGCACATCAGCCTCACTGTTGGCTTGTTCTTCTTTTGTAGGGAATGGGCGCATTTACAAAACACTTAAACTGATCATTGGCAAAAATCCATGAAATAAATAATTGCAATTTGATAGGTTTCTAATTCTAAGTGATCATGGGACAGAACTCTGACATTAATTATCATAAATCATTGAACATCAGCACTGCATATCTATTTCAAGTCACTCTGGGAGTGTCTGCAATAAAAATGTACGACCGGTGTATAAGCCGAGGTTATGACAATAAACGAACTTATTTCAGTGTGGGTGTACCATAAATTGTATGGATTGCTTTATTCAAGATTAATTTGAATTAGAAGATGATAACATAAAACAACAATCCACACATTCCAAGGATTATACTGGGTTACTGTAATGCCTTTTGGACTCTGTAATGATGAATGTAGATTTTTTCACCTTTGGAATAATATTACTTCTGGACTACATTACCAAAACAAAGGGCCCCCAGAAAAAGAATTACATCAATATGAATTATTGCATGATTTTAATTTTTATAAAATAAAATATAATTTTAGGATATAATTTACTTGTACATCAGATCTGTAAGTTTTAAATTTGTATCTTAAAACACAATTACACGTTCTAAATTGATTTTGCTCTAAGTAGACTAGAGGAATACATCTCAATTAAAAATAACAATCTATGCATGTATTCGGGCTAAATCTTATATTTAATGTTCTATGGATAGGGTAAACACAAAATGTGCCTGAAGCATAAATAATGTTTGAAATTGTAATTGAATCCCACCTATTGTGTAGACTTTACATTTAAATTCTCAAGACAGAGTTAAATAAAACTCTATAATTTCAGTGTTTATATTCAAACTTTGAATGGGGCAAATGGCTGTTTCAATATGCCAATAATTAAAGCTAATTATTTACCCCATTGTCAAACTAATGAGGAAATTGTTTTATGTCATATATCCATATATTTTCTGATGGCTAACAAATATTAAATACAATATTTTCGAATTGTGTTTAAAAAAATTATCCTAAACTAAACAAATTGTGCTATTCTTACAATACCCTCATGCTAACAGTATTTCTAAAAGACCCCAAAAATACATCAAAGAGAGAATCTGATGGTAAGACATTAACATATGAAAAAGTAGATTACTTTGTAATAAAATACACAGTCTATAGCTATGTGAAAGGTGTTTTATTTATCAAATTTTAAAAAATATTTTTTTTATGTGATTTAATAATTTGGTGAAAAATTTGGAATGTTTTTCATAAAAATATACACAGTAGGATAGAGATTTTGTGCATTTACACATATAATGAATAAATACAAAATTTCTTTATTTACATAAGTTATTCAATGTCTACTGATAATAACACCCAATTACATTTAACTTCTGAACTATTGATTTAGGTGGTTCATTATAATATATATGACAATCTTAGGCACAATTTGAAATAATCTCTAAAGATGATATATTATGAACATGATTTAATATAAGGTCTAGGTTTTATATTAAATATTACCACCTTATGCTACATAGACTATAATAACAAACAATTCAAAAAACAAAATTGTATACACCATCTAAAATATGTTTTCTACTACCAGTAAAAAAATCTGAGAAGATATTTTGACTTCAAGCCTAACACAATAATAAATAAAAGTTTGGCAAATCCATTTTACAGAATTTCTTCACACATAATCATCAATACAAGAAAAACTTTAACCTAGAAATTTTAAATAGTAACATAAAATAAATATTTATTCATAATGCAGCATTTACTATTATTTGAACAAATGTATAAATATATAAAGTTGTCGAGGAAACAGCCATCGTAACGTGAAATTTAATAAGACTTAATATCAACAAGGCTGTTCAATTTTGAGAAAGCGAACTGGCTTGCAATATCACTTTTGGTCCAAACATACAATGCAGGGTTTAATTACCAAATGATTGCCAAATCTCCATTTATTGAAAATGGACTATTTTTAATATAACTATTTAAAGGGACAATAACACTCTTGCTGGCTTGACAGCTCCCAAAAATAAAAAATAGCCTTATTCTAAGAACTAGATGTGTTAGTGTCCTATCTGTTGTGTAAATTATCCATTAAATCCTATTTTACTTGTCCAGAGGGTTCAAAATTATTTTTAAATCCAAGTCACATTTGAAAAGCTTTTTCCAATTTTTTAAATTAGGTGTGTTAAGATAAAAGTTGTATCATCAATTAATTGGAATATTGTAAAATAGTGCAATTTGTTGACCAGAATAAAGATTGGGACATATTATTCAATTACAACAAGAGTGGTATTGAGCCTTTAAGAAATTTAATAAATACTCAGATGACTGGCAACCAGTCTGCAAACGTTTGTCTGATTTAGGTGAAAACTTTGGAAGACAAGGAGAAGATTTTATACAGCAAATCTATTTTAAGAAAATATGGTTCATACTTTATGTTCAATACTATTTTAAAAATATTTATAACCCAACCTTTAAACATGATCCAAAATAAATACACCTGTCAGAACCAGTCAGTTTATAACTTTGTTCATATGGAAATCTGAGAGACGCTTTTAAGACACAACATTGGATTTGGAACTTTTAGTTTCACATAATAATAATAACAATAACATTGAACAATCACACATTTCCAATCAACACATTCGCACATTTATTCACCAATATCACAAATGAGGTGCACTTTTGTGGTATTTACATGTCCATTTTATATATTAAGTCCTAATTCTCTAGCTCTGCTACACGAAATTATCTGGGTAATATTTACTTTCTATAACTAAACGTTTCTTCTGTTCATTTGATCGTTGTCGCCATTTTCTTAATTCAGACACAATAAAAACTGTTGATGTTAATGAAATCAAAAATACAAAATCTGAAAAAATGAAGAAATGAAGTTTAGAATTAACTTTGTCAATATATAATTCAAAGAATATGACGCTGATACATGCATTTCCCATCTTATTGGTGCATTTAAAACTATAATATTGACAATAATCGAATCCAAGGACAATCAATCAGATGTAGATGGCTGGGTGATGGTATGTTGCTTGCAGATAGGGATACCGTCTCAACCCCATGGGTTTATTCCAGGTACTTCAGTTTCCTTCCAAACGAAAGAGGGGGGTTGGATGGCCGAATGGTTAGCACGTGCGCGCTGTATCATAAAGCCTGTCATTGAGTCAACTGGCGTGGTTTTGAATCCCTGGTTGTACGTGACAAGGAGTAGGTCTCTCTCTCTCTCCCCCCCCCCCCAAAAACGAAAGACCCCTCTGGATGTGTTGAATATACTAAAATATGATAACATGTCTGTGATATCACGTTTGGTGGAAGCAGATGTTAAACTCTTCGAACATCTACAGCTAAATCTTTTATCACTTGCTTGATAAAGACAAGAGAAGCTTCGTCTAAAAGTCGCCAGTAAAATAACCCAGTAATTGTTATTTTATATAAACAATCTGATTAAATCACAGATCCTTTTTGGTTTCGTTTTTTTATAGTTCAAAATTTCATTTTACTTGTCTGTACTACACTAGGGTCTGGAAGAGTTGTTATATAACCCGCGTTATGGTTTATCTATCCATGTTAGCATTCCTATCGGTTCTTGCATAAGATTTACTGTTTAACGTATCTTTGCTTTAGTGTGTTACGTTTAATTTGATCGGGAGACGTGTTCTTCGACGTCAACGTCCACCGACAACACTGCAAGAATTGGCCGTGGCACCGCGAGAGGAGTAGGTCATATTGCCCCAAATCGTGATTGGACGTTTGATTCGGAGCATGCTGCGACGAATTGCTGAATGTCTGAAGATTGGTGGAGCAATTACTCATTATTAAGACAAAAATCAAAAACGTCCATTTTTACTTTTGACGGTGTATCTCTTTGCGAGTGAAATGGGGCCGTCAGATAGGTCGCCGATATGATCTGTTTATGTTCATGTGTAGGCAATTGGCCTGTTATTAACATACACAGGTTACCTCTAATAAAAACAGCAGTGCATTTCCACAGTTTTGTATTGTTTCTGAATATCCCCTCCTTTTTTTGAAGAGTATACAATGCAGTGTGCTGCGATGGAAATTTTGCCAGGACAGCGGTGCTACGCCTACCCTTATTTAGTGAGCATATAACAATAGAATAAAGAGAGAGAGAGAAATGGAGTTTAAAGTCCACTCGACACAATTAGGGTCATTTCGGGAATAACATATGGTTCAATTTTATTTCAATAATTCGCTTGCGTGTAGGGGCCTTTAGCACTAGCAGTGGGAGGAAACTGGAGGACCCGGATAAAACCCACATGGTTGGACCAATAGAATAAAACCTCACAAAATAAACAATAGCATCAAAAAGTACTTACCTAATATACCAAGTGCCTCTGTTTGAAATACCGCTTGTAATGGAGGGAAATAAATAACCAATAGCTGTCCTACTATAGAACCACCAACAGCCAATAAAAACACACGATTTGTAAATAATCCAATTTGAAAAAGTGATTTTGACTGAAATTAAAACAAAGTATACAAATTTAAAGTATACAATAACCATTTTACTTATAATGTACATAAATAATTAGTTGTATTTTAAAATGAACCAAGTTTGGGTAATTCCAGTAGAAATTTTATATTCTTTGGCAGCAAAAAGATTAAAGATATCCTTTATATTGTAGTTATATAACCAGACCTGGAAATAACGGTTTTAGATGTACCTGACAAAATGTCAGGCACTAATGAAATAGTACCTGACATTTTCAACTTAGTGTCGGACATGTATTAATAATATCAAAAAAAAAGACAACTCAGTGCCGGACAAAATGACAGGCATCACAGGTTTTGTGCCTGACAAAGCCTTAATCTGTGCCTGACATTGTCTGTAGCAGGTGCCTTATTTCCAGGCTTGTATATAACAGTATTTAAATTGCTAGTATATTATCTACCTGTGATCTACATCCAAGAGCATTAAACATGTCAAAAAATACAAAACATGTAAATGTCATAGTTGTATCTCTTGGTGTTATTTTATTATCACTCATCTGAAAAAGAGGAAAAAGATTTATTTATTATTAATGTGTCAATAATTAATTTATGTCATATGAACACAAAACAATCATTTCAGTTATGTTTCTTAGTTATAGAAATATGTGACCGGTGACAGCAAAATGAGTCTTAATGACCAAAAATTCTAAAATGAGTAAAAGAGAATGTCATAAGCTGTCTAATGAGTTAAAGAGAATGTCATAAGCTGTCTAATGATACCTAAATCAATGCTCTACCTAACTCCATCGTCAAAATATTCAAGTTCAAAGTCTGGGAAACCAGAAATGCCTATTTCGAGAAAATTATGTTTAAAGATTATGTTCAAAATTTCTGCGATGCATGACACAAGTCCTTAGCAACCGAATGGTGAAAAATGACAAACTGCCACTAAACATGGCATAATTGTCAAGAACATCAGATTTTGTTTACTAAAACTACACAATTTTTTTAAAAACTGACTAAAGTTTAAATTCATAACTTTATAATTTTCTGTCTGTTGACGAAAATTCAAAGGCGGCCGTCATCTTGGTTAAGATGACATCGGCAAAGTTCAACCAATCAGACTTCGCGATAGACAGGTCACGTCATTGACATCACCGGGTCATGACCTCCACGGCGTCACATAGCAACAAGGCAGGTTTCAGCTATTGGCCGAATAGTGGTGTTGAATATTATAATGAGTACTATAAATAGAAAGAGGGAATTTTGCCAGTTGCTTTGGTATAGGGGTTACATGCGGGACTATATTTTTCATCGAAATTTACTACTAAGAGTAACTACTGTTTACTAATTGCTCCATTTCTGCCCTTTATCTATGTTTTCTTTCTAGTAAAGTGTGCGGGGTCGAATTTTAACATGATAAAGTATTCGAAAATGGTCAAAATCAAATTTTGAACATTTTTGCACTCGGACACAAATTAGCGTATAATTAGAAATCTACTTGTGTGACTTACGACTCGTTTTGCTATCACAGATCACATATAATTAAAAGTACACTCTAAAAAATCAGAGCTCCACATGCACATGGATGCTGCTTAATGAACATAATACAAAACAACTTTACTTACCTCTCTCCAGAATACCCATAATGTTCCACTAACAATTATAACTGCTGACATAAGAGCATTTAAAACAAGTTGTCTGGTTAATATAGGGTCACGAACTTTACGTGGTGGTTGACGTACAACATCATGATCCACTGGTTCAACACCCAAACTAAAAAAAATAAAAAAAAATAACTAATATTATATTCAAATCCACAGATGGTCATTTGGGAGAATTTGAATAAATTACAAATTACAATATTGTGAGGATTGGGTCTCTAATATAAACATCAGTAAATAACGGTTCAATTCCATTCAATATTTACAAAGATATGATGAATTAAAAATTTTGCAACATTCAGCATCCTTTGTACATGATTTAAATAAACCAGCGCCACCTAGCTGTGATAAAATTAGACATTGTCCGAAATATGTCAATAGTTTCTATGACAATCAATCTCAAGGGTCACATAATACAAACACATTAAAACAACCTTTATTTCCCTATTTCTAGCAATCTTATTTATCTTTCAGATATTGATCATCATATGTGTCCATTTGACCAAGAAAAAATTCAGAAAAATTCAAATCCCAACCCGTCATTTATAGCTAATATATACTAGTCTAATTCAATCAAATGCATCCAACTGATAGGGAAGCCAAATCTGGTTAACTGTATAGTCATACGGCAAGTTAATTACGATTAAAGAAGTGTCAAATTATAATTGTTCAAGAGAGAAACTTCTCAAGCTATCATTATTTCATTATCTTCAGTGACAGTGCTTAAAACAATAAAACAAATAGACTACCTTTGAGCTGGTGGGCCATCCATTATAATATTAATCCACAAAATTTGCATAGCATTCAGTGGATTAGGTAATTGTAAAACAGTTGATAAAGCTATTAAAGATAACGCTGCAATACTCCTGCAATAAAAATGATCAATTATAGTATTAGCATTTGGTTTCTATCAAAAAATTATTTATGTATGGATATACCTATCATGATATGGAGGTCACAACACCACAAAATTGAAAGATGAACATGGGATAGCTTCAGTAATCTTAAATTATTTACACTCTTGACTTTTCATTGGCCTTGTTTTATTCCAATATAGGATACAATTCTTATAGATCGAATATAAATTTGAAAATAAAAAGTTTGTGATTGTAATTTTACAACATTAGCATGATGAAATAAGACCAATGTCCAAAAGATATTCAAAACAAATGGCCTTTTTTTTTTTACTTTCTTTCGATACTAATATGCTGCCTTTTCAACTTTCAAATGGCCTTTTTTTTTTACTTTCTTTCGATACTAATATGCTGCCTTTTCAACTTCTAACTTTATAGATGAATGTTATTTCATTTTAATATATTTAAAGTTGAATAGAGTATGCCTGTATCACATCGATACTTTGGGTGGCCCTTCTAAAGATATATACATGTACCAACGTTTTAAAACTGATGCATTTGTTATGTGAATTTTAGAACATATGTTAAACATACATTATGCAAGGGCTAAATTTGCCTTTTGCAGGTCTTTCTTTAGGCATGAAATGTTATGTAAACTATTAATTAGACTTAACACGACAAGACCATAATCAACTCTTGATGTGTCGGAATTCTCTGATATTAAGTAGATTAGAATGATTCAGTCATATTTTGATTTAATCTAAAAATGGTGAAGCGAGGCTAAGCTACGAACAACCAGTATGGTGGTTGCAATTAATGCACATATCTTGTCAAACCTTCAAAAGCTAATATCTTTGCTCGAAATGGAGCAATTTGAATGAAATTTTCAATAAATTCATTTTGCATTACCTTTTTTCGAACTATTATAATAAGAATGACCAGCTCTTTATCTAAATCTTACATAATGTATCTTTAAGTATACAAAGAAACGGTGATAAGATTCAAGTTTTATTTCTGAAGTGAAGCATCATATATACAAGACACCATTAAGCACATATCAACATGTTGATCCACATACAGACGTAATTAATCTGCCCACAAGTCCCAATTACAGTGTATAATTAAAATATGGTAAACTTACGTGCTAAGTTGAAAGCGTACAAAATTCCTAATATTGTAAAAGATTCCCTTTCCTTCTTCAATGGCTGACCTATAAAAAAAAGGAAATAATAATTTCTTGATTTAGATACATTTAAATATAAATATCCATTAAATATTAAATAGCCATAAACTAATCTACTTAAATATTGTACACTCTTCTAAGTTTATTTTAATTCATTTGCCAACTAGAGGTTGTTAGGCAAGGAAGCATATGATCACAGTAGCAAAGTCATCCGAGCCATCCACAAAGGTTGTCACATATTTATTTTACTGGATCATTTAAAAGATACTAAAAATTATTAAGAGTAACAACCCATGATTGAAGTAATTATCTGCAATAATTAAATAATTTGATTAGTTTCTAATTCTTCTTAGTGCTAAGATTATTTCATGAACATAAACACTTTCTTTAATTGATCAAGGACCATAAATCTGCCAGTAATGATTAGAAATCGTTAAAATGTAATAGGCTACTTTAATATAGGCTCTAGAGTGTCAACAAAAAATTGTGGACATAAAAATAGAAATGAAAAAATAAAAAACCAATGTTAGCGTAAGAACTCATATTTACTTACAATATAGTAGAAAAATCATCATCCACAAGAATCATATCAGCAGCTTCTTTAGAGACATCTGTTCCTGATTTCCCCATAGATATACCAATTTCAGCACATTTTAACGCCACAGCATCATTAACACCATCACCGGTCATACCTACTACACAATCATTCGCTTGTAATGCCTAAAGTAAACAAATAAACACATTTTATTGGCTTGTAATGCTTAAAGTATACAAATCTGTTGGCTTGTAACGCCTATACAAAATAAATGGGTTTAATGTGTGCAGTGTGCAATGAGGGACATTATTTTGCCCGTACAGCAGCACTACAGCCTTCTCTTATTTCAAATTCTAACTGTAAAGGGATCTTTTATGTGTACATGGGACGTTTCTTTGTCCCATCCAAATGACTTTACATTATCTCTTGCCAGACCCTACGGCATGCACCACTGATAAGGGGGGAACCACACCGGAAAATCTCAACCAACACCGGGATCGAACACAGAACCTTCAGGTTAGCGATCCAACATCTTACTCACTTTACAACTAAACACACTACTAAACATTCATTTAACTAACAGTTACTATTTATCAAATATGTTTGTTTGTCTCCAAAAAGAGTTGCCTCTCTTGTATCATGGTTTCAGGTCACACTCAGAAGCTGTCACATGGATTTTAATTTGTCTAAAATTGTCTCTTCCTCATCTAGAAGACATCTTATGTGTTGTAAAGTTTCACATGTCTGATTTTACTCTAGTCAGTTGATCGAGATAGATTCAGTGACATAATGAAATGGTTAATTTGGGTCATGAAGAGTAAAATGAAGTGGGAACAGGTCAGTGCAGTTGGCTGGCTGGCTGTAGATATCCACAGAGCACGCTTTGGGGAGATTTTCACTGTAGCAAAAGCCGAAATTTACAGCTAATAATATTTATGACATCTAACAGAACTTGTTGCCATTTGTTTCCTTGGCATTATTGCCAACAACTATCATTCTGAATTCTACAAATAGCTATCTACTGAATTCTACAAATAGCTATCTACTGAATTCTACAAATAGCTATCTACTGAATTCTACAAATAGCTATCTACTGAATTCTACAAATAGCTATCTACTGAATTCTACAAATAGCTATCTACTGAATTCTACAAATAGCTATCTACTGAATTGGTTTTGATATTGATCTTACCTTAACTATTTTTAATTTATGTCTTGGTGTGACTCTATAAAACACTCCGACCTGATTAATTATTTTACGTAGATCATTCAGCTCCATTTTTTCAAGAGTATCTCCTGATAATGAGGCTGCACCAGATGAATAAAGACCCAAACGAGCACCTGGAGATATATTAATTCAATTTTTAATTTAGCATATAATTAACTAAATTCTATGATTAACTATTGGATAATATTGAATAATTTAAATAATTTAAAAAAATAACACAAGGAATATCTTATACCAAAAATATACTTGTGTTGAGTCCATTTTTAAAACCTTTTATTTGTAAATGAAATAAAATGAAGTGATATGGGGTTTAACGTCCTAGTGATCTGCTCCGACTCGGCTAATGAGGGAAATTTTGCCCGGGCAGCAGTACTATGGCTTACTCTTATATTGAATTCCAACCGCCAAGGGATTTTTTACTTGCACACCAATGTGTACAGAGGACTTCAGTTTTTCATCCCATCCAAAAAACTAGACAGCTGTCCTTGTCAGGCCCTTCCCCCCGTCCTGCACCACTGACGAGGGGAAATCACAATGTACTTTCTTGGTCAATGCAGGGGTCGAAAACGCGACCTCCAGGCTAGCAAGCCAGCATCCTAACCACTTAGCCACTGTGGCTCCCCTCTTATTGTGTATATTATAACCGAGTTACCAATCTCTCTCTACCTGAGAATAAAAACTGAAATTTTCAAACAGATAAATAAATACCAACTTACCAACAGCCTTTGCTGTTTCTTCTGAATCTCCAGTTAACATTTTAATACTAACACCAGAACTAAGTAATGTCCATACTGCTTCACGTACTCCTTCTCTTGGTGGATCTATTATACCCACCATACCAACAAATACTAAATTATTTAATTCTGGACCATATGCCATTGATAATACTGTTAGAAATAAAAACAAAAATTTATGTTTTGATCAAAAAACAAGGTAATAGTGTAACAAAAATTAAGCACCTCAAAACCGAATGAGAGAGAGAAATGACACAAACTAGCTCATTTCGGGAAACATGGTTCAATTTTATTTCAATAATTCGCTTGCGCGTAGGGGTCTTAAGCAGTGGGAGGAAACCGGAGAAAACCCACAAGATTAGAAAAGGCGACCCTACTCCTTGTCATGTACAACCGCGGCAGTTGACTCAATGACAGAACTTTATGATACAGCGAGCACGTGCTAACCATTCAACCCCCACAAAACCGAAAGCCAACCATAAGTAACAAGATGTGTCACCCTACGTTACACAGGTAGAGTTTATCTCCAAGTATGTAACATCCATAATAATGCAATCACCTGGTTATTATGAAGTTATCTTAAACATATTGAGCATAGTGGATAGCTCCCATAGCTCAACATTGTAAGTTGGAGTCTTCTCCCTTGGACATCATCGCACAAAGGACAAAATTGTCAATAATTATAGATTGTCAATTTCACCATTAAATACAGCTCCAAATACAAAATAAATAACACTATTTAATTCCTTACGGATGTTATGAAGTTATTTTAAAATTTATAAGTTCAATAGTTTGATTTCCTACAGTAAACCCACAAACACAAACAACTAATTAAACATTCTCTTTTACATGACAACTACTGGTCGATAAAGAATAAAAAGAGCTTCTACTCTACCTCTAAGACCAGCACTACCCATACGAGAAGCTTCACTCATATATTTTTCATAAAGCTTTTCTGTCATAGGCTGTGTTGTACCATTATATAAAACCTTTGTACTCATACGTAATATTTTTTCTAAAGCTCCTTTAACAAAATACATCGCTTCTTTATTCTGAAATTAATGAAAGCACAAAAATGAGGTTTTGAGGAAAATCTGATCAGAATTTGTGCAGTAATTTTTGATGCACACCCTATTGGGTTTTCTGTAAGTGTGTCCAATTCAATTTAACAAAGGTTTTATAATTCTCATCTGTAATCTTTCAAATTACATTTTTAGAAATCCTGGCTATGTGTAACCCTATCCTTATGGATCATCCTTTGGACTACTTTCAATTTGAATACCGGTATTGACAGAACTACAAACAGTATGGAAAGAGCAAACAAATAGATTAACATTGATGAGAGCCAGATTTAATGATGATCAGTGATGTAATATTTATTACGAATAATGATTAGAGATGTAATATTTATTACAAATAATAATTAGAGATGTAATATTTATTATGAATAATGATTAGAGATGTAATATTTATTACATGTAATATTTATTACGTGTAATGTTTATTACGAATAATGATTAGAGATGTAATATCTATTACGAATAATGATTAGATATGTAATATTTATTACAAATAATAATTAGAGATGTAATATTTATTACGAAATGATTAGAGATGTAATATTTATTACAAATAATAATTAGAGATGTAATATTTATTACAAATAATAATTAGAGATGTAATATTTATTAAGAATAATGATTAGAGATATAATATTTATTAAGAATAATGATTAGAATCAGATTTAGAATGCAATGTTTTCTCTATGTGGATTAAATAGTCTACTTACAGCAGCAGATTTAGGTTGACATTTTACTGCCATATATTTAGTTTCTGAATTAAATGGCCATTCTTGTATTCTGTGATAATTATTTCTAGCATTCCCCTGGTGCATCTGTACATGAAATAAAAATAAATTACATAAGTTTCCAATGTATAAAAAATCAGATTTTATCCTTCAAGCCCCAACATGCCAGAATAATGATTAAATTACAGAGCTTGAGATCAAACATAATCATAGGTAATTTTAATTTTATCAAAAATATTTCAAATACATCAGTTCTAGTTTAAGTGGGGGTGGGGGGTGGGGGATGGCTGAGTGGTTATTAGCACGTGCACGCTGGATCGTCGGGGTCCTTCAGTTTCCTCCTACTGCTAAAGCCTATCTCCTCCTACTGCTAAAGTCTCTCTTCTCCTACTGCTAACGTCTCTCTCCTCCTACTACTAAAGTCTCTCTTCTCCTACTGCTAACGTCTCTCTCCTCCTACTACTAAAGTCTCTCTTCTCCTACTGCTAAAGTCTCTCTCCTCCTACTGCTAAAGTCTCTCTTCTCCTACTGCTAAAGTCTCTCTCCTCCTACTGCTAAAGTCTGTCTGTCTGTCTGTCTGGACATTTAAACTTTACATTAGCTTCTATTGAGTTCACACTGCCATTTTTATGTGTGTCAGAATTCGACAAATATGGTAATAATAATTTTGTTATCGTTTTCGTAGAGCTTAGAAGCCAGCCCATTCTTCACAAATGTTTATGTTTTAAATTTAGATGATCTTAATTACATACAACAACAGTCTTTTACATATTTTTAACTTTCGAGATATATACCCCTTAATCTTTTATTTTTAATAATAAAGTAGACTAACCTTCATAGCTAATGCTAATAATGATCCTTCTGTAGGTTGACCACGTAAACCATCAGTTGTAATATCAGCATTATTACATACACAACCCACCTATATAAACATATTATATAATACTTTACATATATCAGCATTATCACATACACATCCCACCAATAAAAACATATATAATACCTTTTATTACATATACAATCTACATGCACCTAAATACTTTACATATATTATTTAAAATAAGGCCATACAAAAAAACCCATTCTGGTTGTCATACAATATAATGCTGGCGAGAGTTTTTTTTAAAATTATTTTTATTTTGTCAAAGGATCACTACTGGGCTAAATAACTTCTCATAAACATCACATTTCAACTCAACCTTATCATGTTGTTGATAGGAATGTGTGATTATCCAATATCATTTATGATTGTCAGTATCATTTATCTATATCATTTATGATTATCAGTATCATTTATTAAGGTTATGTACTTGATAAAGAGCCTATGCCACATTTCAGGATTCATTCAAATACTTGTTTTAGAGTTAATTCCTTTAACAGGGTAAAAAATTTACATACAGTAATTAATGAATATCATTTCTATTTTTTGAAATAAAAACCTGTCATGCAGCCCTTTTAAAGTGACACAGGATTATCTGAGAACCAGAATATTTTTTATATGGCCTAAATAGAAACAACAAGAGGTCTGAAAAAGTATATCCAGATTTTATTTGATTTAAATATGTATAAGTAATCGTTAAGATAAATGTAGGGTACATGTTTCTCTATAGATGTTGAAGTCGAGCATGTTCAGGTAAAAATAAGATAATTCAGACCGTCTTACCTCAACCACCCGTGATAAAGTAGAACTTCCACCTTTAGAATCATCAGCTCCACATATTACTTGTCCATCTCCATTATATCCTACACCAGTCACCTAATATATAAAATATAGTTAATATTTAATATCCTATACTAGTCACCAAAAAATCTAACATAATTATTATTTAATATCCTATGCCAGAACCCCACCCCCGTCAAAAAACAAAACTATTTAATATTCTATACCAGAGATATCCCCCCCCCACACCAGCCAGCCGAAAAACCACTATAACTATTTAATATCCTATACCAGTCACTTAAACTATAACATAATAATTCAATATTCTATACTAGTCACTCAAACTATAGTTAAATAATTCAATAACCTATACCAGTCACTCAATCTATAACATAATAATTTAATATCCTATACCAGTCACTCAAACTACAATCTTATTAAAATACAGATCTATATTTTGTTTCGTTTTTTTATACTCTCGATGGTCTACACTACATGAAGATCTGACCGGTTGTAGTGATAGGTCGCATCAGAGGTCATACGAGCGGCTTTTGACCCTATGGCATCAGACATTTGATTAACCAATCAGCATTGATGTTTCTAGTGGATTACCCACACAATTCCGTGCACCACACGCCAAAAGGTCGATGTAACAGACTGTTTCATTGCCTAAACCCTCACATCAACCAGAACACGTCAATGATAACAGTTCCAGATCCTAGTGTAGTAAAGGCAAGTAAAACAAAATTTTGAACTATAAAAAACGAAACGAAATAGGATCTGTGTTTTAATCAGATTGCTCAAACTCAGAACCTTATACTATAGACCAATAGTTCCAGAACTTATCTATGTCAGAGCTTTAGCAATAATATAAAAATAAAACAATGAAATGTTAAATACTTACCTCAGCATGATAATCATCTGATGTATAGATTTGTGTAACAGTCATTTCATTTTTAGTTAAAGTTCCTGTTTTATCTGAGCAGACGACAGTTACACAACCTGTCAATAGAATAATATTATCAAAAGTCAATATTCTGTGTTCTTAATTTAGTAATCTCAAACAAAACAAGCTAATTTATGTTGGATGTTTGTCAGAATCAGAGAGAGACAGACATGGGATTTAATGTCCACTCGACACAAACTAGGTCATTTGAAAACTAACACATGGTTTAATTTTATTATGACTCAATTAAAGATCTTTTGATACAGCGCGCACATGCTAATCATACGGCCATCCAATCACCCCTTGTCAAAATCAAAACTGCTAGAAAGAACCCTGATGTCAACACTTGCTTTATCATTAGAACAGTCATCCTATACATATAGATCAGTTTCCTTGCTAAGTAAGAAAGGGACAGAAAGGAATGTAAGGAATAATACTTTTTATAATATATTAGCCTTTTTCAGATAATTATTTTACTAACTCCCAGGTGCTATTGGGGTGGAATTATGATCATGTGCGACTCTCCTTGTTTCCTGACAACATTTTGGATCACATTATCTCAAAAACTAATTATTTGTAACAACTAAAATTTTAACAGTGTTTTTAAAGGATGAATAACAACCAAGTACAACTGACCTCCTGCTACTAACTTTTAATATAAAATTAAAGATAAATAATTTAAATTCTTACCCAATGTTTCTACAATAGGTAACTTTTTAATAATAGCTTTACGTTTTGCCATTCTAATAACACCAATAGCTAATGTTACTGTTACAACAATTGGTAGACCTTCAGGAATAGCAGCAACAGCCAAACTGTAACAAACAGAAAATATATGTAACCAAGGCAGGACGCTAATAAACATTTTTCTTGTTTAAAATGAAATGAAATGAGGTTCTGCTCTAGATGGGCTTATGAAGACCGGTTTCCCATTTAAATTTAACAAATATACACTGTCATTTTTAGTAACATGTCTCTTTTTCATCCTTCTCGACAATGCTTTTATTGAAATGTGTTAAATGTTGAAATGCTTATAATAATTATCGGGAAATGGCACCAATTGGACTTATTTGAAAACAGTTTGACCCAATTGTGGTCTAGATTAATGTCTTCAAATTGGATATCATTTGAAGTAATAATCTAGGATTTCCCATTCTGATGTACTACTGTTAGTATAGATATTCCCTCTACCTGATATTATTTCATAAATATACTAACCTGACACCTATAGTAAACATATCTAATATACCACGACCCTGGATCCAGCCCAGTAACATAATAACACCAATTATACAGAATGAATAAAATGATAATTGTTTTCCTAGTGTATCCATACTTTTCTGTAGAGGTGTTTTAGGAGCCTAAAATACAAAAATAAATCATAATTTATTAAATTTTATTAATCTACAAATTTTATCATTTAGTGAAAATGATTTAGTTTGGAGCGGAGCAATTCCTGCAAGTTATATGTTTGCTGATATATTCATGTATCAAATGTTATTCAAAACAAGCCAACAGTGAGGCTGATGTCCCCCGCCGAAATAGGAAAATAATTAGAGGACACATATAAATTTATCACAAATTATCTTTTACAAAGTATTGAACAATCAAACAGTATATCTTTACTTATAGTCTATGCATACAATGTTTTTGATGGAATAATTATAGCATATTAAGGGGAAAACATGCTCTATGCCTACAGATCTAGAGTTTGGTTGTATCAACGGGTCTATTTTCCATCTTGCTGCAAGTTGTGCAAAGTTCACTGTTTTCTTTCTGTCATTAAATGTCAATTCATTATTGCATACTACATATTTAATTAATTTATAATAGTTTCTTTTTCAATTTGTTTTTTCCATTTATTTGTTTATTTACCTTGCCTATATTCATTGTATTGGATTGTATTGGAATTGCTCAATTGATGCTTTTATGAACCCATTTTAATAGTTCCCTGCTTTCTTCGAAAGGCGGGGGACAATCAAAGTAGGAGAGTTATTGTTTTCCAAAGTCTCGACCAATCAAATTGCGTATCGCTCTGCTTACCCTGAGCAGAAAATGCTCATTATCAAACTTAGTCAAGGTATTACTGTAATGAAACTATACACCAAGTTTCATCAATCTCACTTAATTAGAACTAAAGTTATCGTGTCCCAAAGCATCAACCAATCAAATTGCTTATCTCTGCTTACCCTAAGCGGAAAATGCTCATCTTCGAACTCCATCAAGGCATTGACCTAATCAACACATACACCAAGTTTGAACATTCTAGCTCAATTAGGAAGAGAGTTATCGTGCCCCAAAGTATCAACCAATCAAATTGCTTATCTCTGCTTACCCTAAGCGGAAAATGCTCATCTTCGAACTCCATCAAGGCATTGACCTAATAAACACATACACCAAGTTTGAACATTCTAGCTCAATTAAAAGTTATCGTGTCCCAAAGCATCAACCAATCAAATTGCTTATCTCTGCTTACCCTAAGCGGAAAATGCTCATCTTCGAACTCCATCAAGGCATTGACCTAATCAACACATACACCAAGTTTGAACATTCTAGCCCAATTAGGAAGAGAGTTATCGTGTCCCAAAGCATCAACCAATCAAATTGCTTATCTCTGCTTACCCTAAGCGGAAAATGCTCATCTTCGAACTCCATCAAGGCATTGACCTAATAAACACATACACCAAGTTTGAACATTCTAGCTCAATTAGGAAGAGAGTTATTGTGTCCCAAAAAGTGTGACGGACAGACGGACGGACGGACGGACGGACGGACGGACAGACAGACAGACAGACAGACAGACAGACAGACGGACGAACCCATTTTAATAGTCCCCTGCTTTCTTCGAAAGGCGGGGGACAACTAGCAGTATAAGTTTTAATTACCATTTGAATTTTTAATTCTCTTCTGAAGTTTTTCTTTTTAGTGTAAGTCAGCCTCTTGATTAAATCTCAATATATATCAATGTGAGACTGAGAGTGCATTATTAGTATATAAACTTTATATGTGATGATCAAGTCTTGTTATAAATTCTAATGACTTTACTTACCTCTTCTGCTTGCATCATTTTAAAAATTTCACCAAATTCTGAATTTTCCCCTGTACCAATAACAATACCCTGAAGCATATGTAACAATAATATATGTTTCACTTCAGTTTAAGAGTCAATTTAGAAATTGTATATCTTAGAATTGTGTGTTGATGCTTTTGATAAATCGAGGAAAAATAAATGGTGTTTAAGCACGCACACCAATTAAAATTAAGACAGTTCACAGGATCTTCCATTTTGGGAGTGTCTATAATTTGCGTGCCCAGCTTGTCTTCATGGGTTCTATTTCACAAAAAACATCTAAGACATACATAAAGATAAATGGAACATTTTACTATACAACTCTGTTGAAATTATGTTTATGTATGTACCTTTTGTAAAATGGATCCCTGAACAATAAAAACCATAAAAACTTACCCGACCACGCCCACATCTAACAAGAGTTCCCATAAAAGCTATATTTTTTCTACTAGATATGCCATTAGCATTATTTTTATTTAAAACACTAGTCTGTTTAGTAACTGGTTGTGTTTCACCTGTAAAACTTGATTCATCAATAGACATATCTACTGCCTGTAATATACAAATACATACATACATTTTAACACAGGTTACAAGAGTTGGTTTGCTGTTTGAGTGCACCCACAGGGCAAGGACTGGGCAAAAATTTCAGGGTATCACTAACTGGCAACACGACTGTTGTCTGCCAGCTTATTGTGTGCTAGCTTGACTGAGGAGCAGTTGTTATTTCTTATCAAATTGATAGGCAGATTTGGGTACATTGAAGGGTGTCAACATACAAAAAATGTCGGAAAAAGAAGTTGACAGAAAATAATTAAGAATTTACTTAGGCCTCAATATGTATGGTAAATGGACAGTAAGTAATGAAAAAATACATTCTCAAAAATGGACCCTCCCTCAATAAAGATAGGTGACAAACATGGCTTTTAACAACAGTTTATTTATAGCTTGGGATATCTCCCCACGAATACAAAGTTTTGAGAGGGATTTGAAGCAAATTTTTGATTGATTAATTAGTTTGAATATGTTTGTAGTCCAAATATATCATCAAATCACACAGTTTGTTTGGATGTACATGAATATTTAGGTTCAGTAGGAATCAACTAGGCCTTTTTGAGACTAATAAGTAATACATATTTATGCTTTCTTTCATTATACTTTTATCCTCCTGCATTTTTTCTTTACATTCCATTTGCATATGCCCATAATTGTACACACTGTGCATTAGGATCATGTATCTAACCTTGTTCCACCCACTGCTAGAAGAACCCAGAAGTATAATAATGAAACAGGTCAGGACTTTGCTACCCATAACTCATATGGACGAACCCTATCAATATTAAAACTCATCCATTAATTTTAAGCACAGTTATTTCCCCAGATCCTTAAAACTTGCCCCGGTTGTACGTGACAAGGAGTAGGGTCACCTGTCCAACCTCGTGGGTTTTCTCCGGGTCCTCCGGTTTTCTCCCACTGCTAAAGACCCCTACGCGCAAACGAATTATTGAAATAAAATTAAACCATATGTTAGTCCCGAAATGACCTAGTTTGTGTCGAGTGGACTTTTAACCCCATTTCTCTCTCTCCCTCTCCCTTAAAACTTGAACACCACCCTTTAAAAGTTTTTATGAATGATAAAGTAAGGAAAAAAAAGAAACCATAAACACAGCTTACATCAAATAATCTAAGATCAGCAGGCACACGATCACCGATAGTTAAATATACTACATCACCGGGTACTAGTTCACGAGCTAAAAACGTCTCAATATTACCATTACGTAGACTGAAATATATAAATATAAACTTTATAATAACACACAATATATTCTAGCTGTAAATAGAGGCACATGATGTCACTTCCCACACATTTTGAGGGGGGTTGGCATTCTGAACATCTGAGACACGCTACCTGTGGAGAAGTATCTCAGACACAGTCAATAACCATGATATCCATATCACGTGATCTACACATCACAGGTCATAACATTGACGTCAGTGGGTCATGAGGTCAACAACACGTTACATAGGTTTATCTTCAGCATTGTTTCCTTTGCACCCATAAAGACTATATAATTCGTCCAGTCCCAACATGTTCTCTCTTCTTCCAATGATTTTTCACAAAATAACATCTACAACTCATAGAATTGACGTTGTCTTCAATGACAGGGGCTGCCATATTGGCACTATTTTGTGCGTCGGTCGTGTCTATTTCAGATATACACAATCAATTCTGTTGATGTTTTTAGCGTTGGGATTGACTAATAGTTAATTTATTTCAGTTCTAAAACAAATATTTTAAACTTTTAACGCACATTTAGAAAATAGCCAAATTCTGGCTGGGATTACTGAGCAAAATGGCCATTCACTGTATACGTGCGAAAAAAAAGCTAGCCACCAATTAATTTTCGTACGTTAGTTACATACAGGGGGTGGATGGCCGAATGGTTAGCCAAGCATGCTCTATCATAAGGTCTGTCATTGAGTCAATTGGCATGGTTTCGATTCCCTGGTTGTATGTGACAAGGAGTAGGGTCGCCTGTCCAACCTTGTGGGTTTTCTCCGGGTCCTCCGGTTTCCTCCCACTGCTAAAGAACCCTACACGAATGCAAATTATTGAAATAAAATGGAACCATATGTTAGTTCCTAGTTTGTGTCAAGTGGACGTTAAATCCCATTTCTCTCTGTGTCTCTCTCTCTCCCCCCATACATTTTGAATGCTCACATAGCCAATAATATGGACTAGATACATTGAAGCAAACAAGGTTCAAAGTTCAAATAAGCTGTATCTATTGTTGGACCAGTTCTGAAATCTATGGGCTCTTACAATCGGCATTATCTTCCTTAATATAATTATCATTCAATTGAACTAACCATTTTATATGAAATCATTTAAATTTTGGGTATATGAATGACTATATGTAGAATATGCATTTGTATCTATAACATCTCTTTGCTTGTTGGTCACTTTTTGCATTACTTTGCGTGCTTCTGGCAAAAGAACACTCTTGTCTGTGATTAGCAGGACCCAAATAGATAAGCTGTATCAATTTTAAAAAAGAAGGATGGATTGTTTTAGCCCCTGTTGAGCTAACAAGAAATGTGAACGATAGACAGTCAGCCAGATGAACAGGTGTTAAACCAATATACGACAACATTAAAACATGGGCATATAATAAAAACACATTGATCAAAGGTTCGCTTTTAACACAGGTTGTTCATAAAAACAGATGATATCAATAAATGTATTTATATCTTTTGATATGGTCAGATATGAAGTATTAAACACCTGATGTATCATGTATATAATGAATATATAAATAAATAATAAAGTGTAATGTATTTGCTATATGATGTGTACATATTGATTTATCCTGTATAAAGATATATCTTAGTATTAGCACGAATTGTGACATTCACCATCAAAAAATTTATTGCCCAAAACATTCACCATTATCTAATAACACACATTTTATGGAATTGGAATAACAACTACTATGGTTTATTACACTGCGACGTTTAAGCAAGATTTCACAAGTCGTTATCAAGCATATACGCAAATAGATTCACCATTATGTAGATTGTGGAACTCTTGTGGTGAAAAACACCATAGACCAAAACACTCTATGTAGTAGTAGTACCACACAGGGGGATATAGTACCACACAGGCAGATAAGGGGGTCAGAGAAGAAATTTATTTGGTTGAACTTGTGTCATTCGTTTTACAAGTCCAATATCTTGTGAAGAATTCCACACAAAAGCTCTCAAACCTTGCCATAAATGAGCATCTAGCTATGATGAGCTAAACAACTCATAACAATTGCAAAAACATTAAATCATAATAAGCCTCTATTACTGTGCAATAAAATATTATAGCAAATGGAGATAACTCTGGAAGTTATTGACGATTTTTGAAAATCAAACAGGTTATCCCTATTAATAGGATAGATGGAAGGATGGACAGATCTCACCACTGGCAGAAGAGGAAAAATTACTGAGGCTGTGCTATATCCACATATTTAACTATTACTTATTAACTTACCAGTGACATTTAGGAGGTACTAGTTTTGACAGAGCTTCTAGCGATTTTTCAGAACGGTATTCCTGAAAATAATCAGTAAAAATGATAACATTGTGGATTTCCAATAATGTACAAAGCTTTCAATTGTTTTTACATTTCTTCTATTTATCGTATACTCTTCAAAAAAAAGTAGGGGATATTGAAATGCAAATACTTATGCAGGTTGTGATATGATAAATAGTCATGGACACTTGACATGCTTTGAGAGTATGTTCACAGATGAAGAACTTATTGCCCCAACAGAACCACTGAGCTGCATGTACGACACGCAATAGCGCCATACACGTGGGAGGGGTTGATTGTCAAATTTGACACTTCAAGGAAGTTGATGAAAACTGCCGCTTCAAGCACTAAAGTTATTACTACATTAGTTGATTTAAGCCATTGGAATCACTCAGTGTATAAGCCACAGGTCTACTAACATGGAGATCTAGGGTTTTGATTCCATTGTTAGCTAAGAAAGTTCCTTGGGAGCTTTCCACATGGTTTCTCTGTGTCAGTGGTACTGAAAGGAGGGACTGGCAAGAAACAGTGTCTAGTCATTTGAATGGGTTGAAAAACCTAGGTCCTGTTTACTTGTTGGCAGAAACACTACTGCTCGAGGAAAGAATACCTCATAACACATTGTATGGAGCATGCCTGTCTTCATTAACCCAGTGCAGTTAAGTAAGATGTTAAACCCCATTTGATTTGATTTCAAATTAATCTATTTGTCAACCATTTCACTATTACTGGTATATGACATAAGGGTAACTCTTGTGATATTTGAACCTACCTGTATAAAGCCAACAGTAACAACTATTGTAATGGCCTGAAATAAAGCAGAAATAAAATCTTAAAGTACACAAAAAGAGTAAATGTGATAACAGTTTTTATACCATAAAGTTATATTTTAAAGTATAATCCGTAATGTTTTAACAGCTTCCTTTTCATTGATTGTCATAACAAGCAGTCCCTGTATCTTTGGGTCTGCAGTTATTTTCCCAAAGAGACCCACTTCACACACTAGATGGGTACTTCCTTTTTGTATCTAATAATACCAATCCTGTAGCTTTAACCTAAGACTTTGCAGCCAATGGTCTAGTAGTGGCTAACAATTTGGGATTGCTTTATGTTTTATTTATGAGTGCTGAGTTATCGTTTTTTATTTTTTAATTTTATTTTCTAGTAATTACAAATAATAAGTTTGGAAAGCCCATTAGATGATCTAATCAACATTGTCACGAACAACAATATCTTTATTAGATAAAGATAGTTTACAATTTAGTTTGACGTGGATGTACCAAATAATAGCTGTATATTCACGCTGGTATTGCTAAATGTTTCAAGGTCGCAAGTATTTGTACATTAATAAATATAGTATATATCTTATTGTTCTTTATTACAGTTTATGACAACTGGTGAACATGTTTTCAGATTGTGGTAATAAAGTTTGATTGATAAAAATTTGATTTTATTGTTTATTTGTAAGATGTCATATACAAGGTTGAGTAATTCACATTTCTGGTTGCAGGTATGATTGCATTGAATGCATGTGGACTGCCTGTTTAGTTGTCGTGGTTTGATTGGTTGTGAGTGAAACTGTAGTTTACGTGGTGGGAGATATGAATTTATATAGTCACTCTAATGATTGATTTTGGGAGAATCACGTGTATTCATTGATCATCATTCATGAATCATTCCTATAGATATTTCAACTAAATGGGTGTTAGACTATGTGTCTTGTTGGTTTGGACTGTGTGTCTTTATAATGGTAATCTGTGGGATTAATGAGTAATAATTAGTACATTTACTTGTAAGTATTGTTTGATTTTTGTAATGTTGATGTTGGAAATGTAAAAATAATTTGATCATTTGTTAAACATTGTGTTATGTTTTATAGGTCACCTGTTTCTGTTTCTGTTAATGTTAATGTGCTACGGATAGTGTTACCGATATTGTTACCCTGGTCGTTACTGTTCCAGTTATTTATTTTATGGTGATAAAAAGATCTACACGAATAACTCATCAACCTTATCATCTTAATCATCTTCTTAAATGTGCTGCGGCGTTTCAAATATTTAGTTTACCACCTACTCATCGTCATTGCATCAACGCAAAAAAGTGATTCATTGATATAAAGAACTCACTAGAGAATAATTACATATATATATATTATAATTGTATTAAACATGCATTATGCAAGAACAAAATCTGCTTATTACAAGTCTTTCTTTAGGCCTGAAATGTTATCTAAATTATCAATTAGACATTAATTAACTTATCCAGACCATAATAAACTCTTGATGTCAAGGCTAGCCTTCGATGTTGGCTGGATTAGATTCCTATATGCCGCTAACGGCCGTTGATAATTAAATCAGAAAAATTGGATAATCGAGACTATGCTGTTTATAAAATGATTTTAGTAATGATGACCGAGACTATGCAAAAATTTCACCTGCTTCTTTCTCGGCTCATAGTGGATCAATTTGACTGAAATTTTCAGCAAATTACCGTTACACTATCTAGTTTTTAACTATTATAGCGAGAACTGCCATCTCTTTATCTTATCTCCCATAATGTATCTTTAATATAATATTGTAGTTATATAAAGATATTTAAATTATACTGTGTTTTTGTTTATATGTTACTGTTACATTATGATTCACAGATAGCGCAACTATTCAATTTTAAATATAGTCAGTATATTTTTACAGATATATGCACATGCATGAGTCTAATGATTTACTTATATTCTTCATGCACTATAAATCATCAGGGCTGTATACCATATTAAAAGTACATGTAATGGTATTAATAATTCCAATATTAAAGTGATTATACCACCTTCATTTTACATTTGTTACGTTCTTCAAATCACTGGCCTATTACCGTATAAAGTCTATAATTGTTCTGTGTATGGTGGCCAAATGGTTTAACGTATGCACATTAGATCATAAGGTCTGTCATTGAGTTACGTGGAAATTGTCTGCGATATCACCACAGGTGGAAGCGGATGTAAACCCACAAATGAACAAACTAAGGAATGAACGAATGTCAAGTGGTGTGGTTTCAAATCCACGCTTGTACCTGACAATGAGAAGGGTCACCTGTCTAACCTCGTGGGGTTTTCTCCGAGCCCTCTGGTTTCAGCTAGAGACTCCTAAGCCCAAGCTAATTATTGACATAAAATTGAACCATGTTAATCCCAAATCATCTAATTTGTGTCAAGTGGATATTAAACCCCATTTCTCTCTATCTATAATTGATCAGACATGAATGAGTTACTCAATACATGAATCACTATGTCAAATATTTTGTGATGTCATTATTTCCTAGAGAAGTTGTAACTCTTTGGAAAATCGAGAATTTACACACACAGCAAAAATAAAAACTTCTATTTGCTATAGATGCAAAGGCCATAACTTTAAATTAATTGGTTAACAAAACATTGTTTGTTTAAAGTGAGTCAGGTTATAATATTCAAGAAAATACCAAAGCTTAGACTATTGGAATTTCTGAATCAAAATGCATATTCAGCAATTAGTATGATTAAAAGCTAATTAATGACAACAAATTATTGTACCTAGCACATTAATTTTGGATTTGTATTAATGACGCTACAATGCTTCCTATTCGAAACAATGGACCAGTAGAGTAGTGTTAACTAACATAGAACATGTGGCATGTGGGCGTAGTCAATAAATATATGGTAATTGAGTAGGTGTGAGATAACTGATTGATGATGTGGTTACTTACCACGGTGATACTGACAGCGTCATCAAACTGTCTCATAAAAACACTGACAACAGCTGAAGCTAACAATAACATAATCAATGGATCTTTAAACTAAAATAAAAAAATTACAGACAATTAAATATTATAACTATCAGTTTCATTAAAAGTATATAGTCTCAAATAAGAAAAAGTGGGGGCTGATAAAGTTGCTCAGGATTTTAAAGGTTGGTTGGGGCAGGATGAAGGATGTGGAGAGTGAAAAGTAATTCACTGAGCATGCTCAGTTTCCCTAGTATTCTCATACAGTTCTACTCCACTATACCTCGGATTAATCCATAGGGTTTCCACAATTTCTTGGTCTTGATTGTAGCTTGACTCTACGAACAAATCAAAAAAACAGTTTATAAACTAGTCTTACTAATGAAACGGCCTTCGTTTCATGTTTGGTTTTATACGGGTAGATAACCCTATTCATGACAATTTACTGAGAGTTACTTTCCTTTGTCAACTTCCTTTGCAATTAATGATTTACGGGATTGGTAAATAGCACAATCATCAAGGGCAGATAACTTGAAAATATGTCCCCAAAAACCACCCCAACCCCTACCCCCCAAAGGGTTAGTGGAGTGGCACACGGAATGCGACCAATGGGGATACCGAGGATGTTCAATGGGATGTAAAATGGGATCAACCCATGTACTTGTTTGTGTGCATATAAAAAACTATTGACAGTTGAAAATTTGTAGAAGAGTAAAAACACTGTCGATCAAGCCAAAAATAGCACACTGCATGGTATATGACAACTGTCTTCATTTGCCGAAAGCAAAAGAGGCTACAGTCTTTAACTAATTATTTTCAAGCTTGTGAACATGATAGAGATCAGATTTCTTGAAGGATCCTTCTCATATCAAATTTGGTGAATATCCAAGTTTTCCTTGGATGTTGTATGGGCGTATTTCATATCCATTGCAACTCCTATAATAAACTATAACTTCATTAACCTGTCCAAGATATTTTTTCCATAATGGTTCCTCCTGTGATATCTCAAAATCATTGGCTCCATATAATTTCTGTCGCTGTTTTGCTTCAGACTCAGTGAGTCCATCATCAAGGCTTGTTTTGAAAACATCTGCTACTTCATCATAATCCATAAAACAAGCCCTCTCTGACGTGAACCCTGCCATCATGTCGTTGTTGTGGCTGTTGTCCTGGTTGGACTGAAACAGATTAATCAAAAAATATTAGGGAGTTGGGTCAATAGCTCTCTGTATTCTAGGAGTATGATTGTGTACTAGTTCTTGGGGGTTTCACAGATATTTATGTGACCCAAGCAGGTAGGGATGGTCTACTTACAGAGATTTCAGGTGGACCAAGTTTCCCATTTCATTCAACAGAAACATATTTTGGGACAAATTATATCCGATGTATTTCCACCACCTTTATTTTAAACAAAATATTTGAATTGTTTTGCTCAAGACAAAAAGTTAAAGATTCATTATGGGAGATTAGATAAAGAGCTGGCAGTTCCCACTATAATAGTTAAAAACTAGATATTGTAAAGAAAATTTGCTGAAAATTTCAGTCAAAATGATCCACTGACCACTCAGAACCAAGATTTTAGCCTCGATCATCATTACTAAAGTCGGTACAATAATAAACATAGTCTCGATTATCCATTTCATGATTAAATCATGAATAAAAGTTCAGCAGCAAATCAGACCCTAATCCAATAAATATCGCAGGCTAGCATTGACATCACGAGTTGATTATGGTCTGGATCAGTTAATTAATGTCTAATTAATAATTTAGATAACATTTCAGGCCTAAAGAAAGTCCTGCAATAGACAGATTTAGCTCTTGCATAATGTATGTTTAATATTGAGAGCTAATAACTCCTTCCGATGTTACCCCTCTCAGTGATAATAGCAGCAAAGCGAAAATTTACTGCTGATCAGTTTTGGAATGGACCAAGCTAGTGTCACCTTTAGATGTACAGGTAATACACCAACACAGATAGCAATGTCCGACTCCACAGTTTAATTTATTGAGAGCTAATAATTATCGGTTATTTGAGTTTATAATATGTATTTTCTGATCATTACAATTATCGTACTTATAGGTGAAAATAAAGATTGAACATATTAGCTATTATACTCGAGGGAACATACGTATAAAACTTGAATATTAACAATCTACCTACAATACAATATTGACAAAGATTACCAAATTATTGATCAGTTGATAAACTTATTATATCCATATTTACCACAATTTATATCTTTTGGCTATTATTAAAAGTAGAACAAGACTGGAGGCCAATAACAATTTCATTATTTAAATAAAAATAGTATATTAGATAATGTCTTAGAGTCAGATTGAACTAATACCAGACACATAAAGATGACAGGCTTAAAATCAACAGAAACCCATGTAAACTAATTAATGGAAATGACATGTGAATAATTTTTGTAACTATACGTTTTGTGGTTGCACAATGACGGTCTGCCCAGGACTTAACCCTATATTCAACTTCTATTCTGAAATCAGATCTCTTACTTCAAGCAATATCCTTGGCAAATGAGAAATTCAGGTACATGGTGGCCCATCTGGCACGGTAAAACTTGGATCTTAAAGTAAAGACGGGTACCAAGTTCTGAAATACCAGGAAAGATCCTGGAAGGGGAGTATAGCCACCCAAGTACAGTAGTTTTACATGTATATTTATATTCTGGGTGTGACCAGGGATTTGAAGAGGCTGTTTCGGTGAGCAATTGTAATAATGTTGATATATGATTGGGGTTAATCTTATAGATTCCTCCCTAATTGTAAGAGACACTTCCCCTTTAATCCACTTGGTTAAAAGGAATGAAATGAAATGAAATAAAATGAGGTTTAACGTCCTACTGTTCTGCTCCTATACTGGGCTAATGAAGACGGGCATACGCCATACAGTGCGCTGAGGAAAATTTTGCCTACTCTTATATCGAATTCCAACTACCAAGGGATCTTTTATGTGCATTCCAATGTATACACAGGACCTTGGTTTTTCGTCTCATCTGAAGGACTAGACAGCTGTCCTTGTCAGGCCCTCCGTTCTGCACCACTGACAAGGGGGAAACCACGTCAGAAAATCCTGATGAACTTTCTCAGCCAATGCAGGGATCGAACCCCCGACCTCCAGGCTAGCGAGCCAGCATCTCTTGATTAAATGATGTGCAAACACTGCTATTGTCATTCTGTGTGATAAACACTATCACACCAATCTACACCATTAATTGCAATATGGTTGTTTTTCCACAAAAACTTTGACAGATGTCACTACCATTGCAATTTGAACTGTTGCAATACATCTGTGTGTATTATTGGCAGTCAAAGGTGACAGAATATAGCAAAGCAAACTGTTTTGAAAATATACATGTAGCAAACTGTTTTGAGAATATCTACATGTACATATCACTGTGGTCGTTTTCCTACCTGACAATATTGAGATGACTATACACTAAAGTCCAAGACATAATGTGCAATAAATAGAAATCCAAAATAAGATTAATATAACATTTCCAATTCAAATATTATAACAGTGATGAAACTATATGATATTATACACTACAACTGGTCATAAACTGTTCATTATTTAATATAATACTATTATTATGCACACCTGCTGTATATATACAGTATATACACTAGCGTTATAAGAATAGAATTTTCTCCTCATTATTTATATTTAGTACAAACACATTGTTTATTCAAAAAATATTTTATATCATACTTTAAAGAGCCACTTAAAGATGCATTATGTATGATTTAGATAATGAGCTGTCCATTATTACTATATAGTTTACAAATAGATATTGAAAAATGCATTTAAAAAAAATTTCATTCAAATTTCTTTATTCTAGGCAAAGTTATAACTGTTTGAATATGTAGTGTAGATCGTTTATTATCGTAGAAACCGAGACTCTGTTTCGATTATCCATTCTATTGTTAAATTTTAAAATCTTGCATGTGTTCAAATCTTTTTAATTCCAGGTCATCCGATGATCTAGAGAGTTGTTTATAGGCTTGTCATGTGAATAAACATCTAAATAATAATTAAACATACATTATGCAAGAGCTAAATCTGCCTATTGCAAGTCTTTATTTAGGCTTCAGATGTTATAGAAATTATTAATTAGACCCTCGAATGGCTTGGATATAGCTTGGATTTAAACAGTTGTTCATCTAAAATTAAATCAAGAAATGGCCGACCAAGCTAACATTTATCGTTAGTCACTGATGTCAATACAGGAAAATGGTGATGAAAGGTCTACCAAGCGAGGGAACCATAGCCATTGAGAATGTTACTTGATAATCGAGAATATGTGGGTGGAGTTATCATCTGTCAATCAAATGTTTGGCAATTCACATAGACAGTGCGGACAGAGTTGATGCCTATTTCTAGTAAAAACTTCCAAAAGTGACAACTCCGTTTGGAATAAAGTAATTTGACTGAAATTTTCAATATTTTCTTTTTTTTTTATCTATTTTTGAATTAATATAGCAAGAATGGACAACTCTTTATTAAACTCTTAACTAATGTATCTTTAATATAACATTTGAAGTCAAAAGAAAGACCTGCAACAGGCACATTTAGCTCTTATGCATCTTTAAGAGAATTTTGATATGCCATGATTTGACTAAACAGTTACATCGGGGCTTTTAATTTGGATTGCCTGTAAAAATTTGGGACAAATCTGCCAATACATCGTCAAAATATTACTATAGTTGTAACCTTTATAGCCCATAGCAAGTGCAAAGAAAGAACCATACCACATAAACACACAGAAAACTCAGTACACAACCACGTCAGCAAAACACATCACATGTGCAAGTAATAAACAATGTAATGAAATCCAATGAAGTGAGGTTTAATGTCCTACTGGGCAATGAAGATGGGGTCTTTTACGTGTATGTCAATGAGTACACAGGACCTCAGCTTTTTGTCCTATTCAAATGCACCACTGACAAGGGAACCACACAGGAAAATTCCTAATGAACTTTCTCGGCCACACAGGGCTCGAATAGGGAACCTCCAGGTTATTAGCGAGCCAACGTCTTACACAGTGAGCCATCACTGCTCTACAGTAATAAACAATAAAAGTACTATCAAATCAAGTGAATGCATTTAGAATCTGGCAGTAGGTTTCAAAGTTGGTCATTTATAACCAAAGGTTAGGGTTAGGAATATGGAAAATGACTTAATCATCCAGACTGAATGTCTAAACGACCTAGGTGTCAGATGGGATGGAAGACATTTTACACCAGCAGCACACGTCATTTAAATTTGAATACTGATAAAAAAAATCAATTTTTTCACTAATGTAACAGCTTTCAATAATTGATCAATAAAATATTTATTTCTTATAACATATATTGAATTTTGTATTTTATTATGAACAGTGTTTTTTATAATGAACAGTGTTTTATACAGAAGTAAATCCTTGTTTAATTCTTGTAATTAGACATCATAGGACTAGAAGTTATATTCTGGATTTGCATACCATATTGGAATACATGACAATTCGGACCATAACAAATCTGATTAAAACACAGATCCCATTTCGGTTCGCTTTTTATAGTTCAAAATTTTGTTTTACTTGTCTTTAATACACTAGCATATGGAAGAGTTGTTACATGTATATAACAGTGCACGAAATTATGGGTATCCAGAATCCCACTAGAAACATCAATGATGATTGGTTAATCAAATATCTGACGTTATAGGGTCGAAAGCTACTCATATGACCCCTGACACAACCTCCCACTAAAACCAGTCAGATCTTCATGTAGTGGAGGCCATCGACAGTATAAAAAAACAAAAAAAACGAAATATAGCTCTGTATTTTAATCAGATTGCATTGAAGAACACTTGACCAAGATTGAAGACCATTCCCACCAATATGTTTTTGAAATAATTTATTTTTTTCATAAATTGTTGATTTAATAAAGATTACTGTTCTGCTCCCACCGGGCTAATGAAGAAGGGATGACACAAAAAACTTAAATCATTCAAAATTAGTAAAATATTATCAATCCAAAATATTGATCAATAATAGTTTGACGTAAGTAAATTAATTGGTTTTATTAAAATACCATATCATAGTTAAAGCGGAAATTGCACATTTTTAAGTTATATTTTTAAAATTTATTAAAATAAAGCCTGAAAATAGATGGT